TGAGTTACTTTTGTTTAGATTTCTCCTGTTTTGAACGATTTGATTTGTAGCGTTAATCTCTACGACTGTGTTTGATTATCGGTTTTAGTGTCGCTCACTGAGACTTTCGATATTGTCAAGAGAATCATGCGAGTTTGTGTCGTTTTCTGTAAATTTGTTTTGTTTGTTCTTTCTTTTAAGCTAGAGGGTTTGAAATTTCAATCCTTTTCTTATTCTTGTTTGTTGTCTGCTTAAGGTGCTTGCATAATTGATGATTTCAGGGAACGGTGGAAGATTCTCGGGTGGTTTTGACATCAATGTCTTCCAGCAGGTTCATAAGACTGGTAAAGTTTCTTCTGATGTAAGTTTTACAGTGAAGCATGTTGGTTCCTGTGTTTTGACAACCTCATTTCTTGGCAGGGGATATATCGCTTATGCCTGAAGTATCCGTTGATCTTGTGTGCAACCTTATGGAAGGTCTTGAGCTTAATCTCAAAGTTTTTTTCTTTATCTTTGAAGGCTGATATATTTCTCAATAAGGTAGCCTGAAACCATTGCACGACATGATGTTGATGCTATTTTCCTGATATCAAAGACTGTAGGAAACCGATTGTTGCTGCAGTTGAAGGATTAGCTCTTGGTGGTGGTTTAGAATTGGCAATGGTGGGATTTTTAAAGTTTATTTCCCCTTGCAGTTTTAAAAGTATCTTTTTTTTTTATTGTTGTGTTGATTAGTGTTTATTTTTCTGTCTCCCAATAATCTTTAGGCGTGTCATGCTCGAGTTGCTGCTCCAAAAGCTCAACTAGGCTTACCTGAACTGACACTTGGAGTTATTCCAGGTTTTGGAGGTATGGATTTGTTTGTTCAGCTTGGTCTTCTTCTAGATAGTTATTCTTTAGATCAATGGATAGCTTTCAATAGTGGTTGGTAAATAATCAAGCTAATTGTGTCTATGAAGGAACCCAACGTCTTCCAAGATTAGTAGCCCTTGCAAAAGCAACTGATATGATACTGGTGGGGATTGCTTTTGTCCGCATTTACCTACATTTTCATTGCCAAGTTTGCTAAAATCTTATTGACTTGGCTGATAATTTTGTTCAACTATATTCTGGTGCTTTTGTAGCTTTCGAAGCCGATATCGTCAGAGGAGGGGCAGAAACTGGGTCTCATTGATGCTTTGGTGCCACCTGGAGATTTGTTGAGCACCTCCAGAAAGTGGGCTCTAGACATTGCAGCTGGACGTAAACCCTTTTTGCGTTCACTACACAGGACCGACAAAATTGGTTCTTTATCTGAAGCTCGTGCTATATTGAAGAATGCAAGACAACTAGCCAAGAAGATAGCCCCAAATATGCCTCAGCACCATGCTTGCATTGAGGTGATTGAAGAAGGAATCATCCATGGAGGATATAGTGGGGTTCTTAAGGTAAATTTTTCATTAGGATTCGACGTTTCCTGTATTTTTCTTGTTTCCTTACTCTCTTCAATAGCTCTGACATAATTTATATACTACTAGTTTGTGCACATCGGACATCCTATTTGTTGTTAATTTAGGAAAGCAACCCTGCTTTATTTCGCAAGTATGTATCCACTAATTCCCTTGTTGGTTACGTACCTAAATTCCTTGATTCACTATGCAGGAAGCAGAAGTTTTTAAGCAATTAGTACTATCAGACACCGCAAAGTCACTTGTTCATGTGTTCTTCGCACAGCGTGCAACATCAAAGGTGAGATTGGCCAAACCTTTTTAATTCTCCTAAAGCTGTATCCACATGCAGGAATTTACTAACATTTAATTGCAGTGCATCTGTTGCTCCTAGTACTTATAGTTTCTACATTCAACGTTCATCCTTAGCATCGTTTTAAACAAAATTTCAGGTGCCTAATGTAACTGACGTTGGATTGAAACCAAGACCGATGAAAAAAGTTGCAGTTATTGGTGGAGGTCTGATGGGTTCTGGCATCGCTACTGCTCTACTTCTAAGCAATATAAGAGTTGTGCTCAAAGAAATAAATTCAGAATACCTTCAGAAAGGAATAAAATCAGTTGAAGGTTATTATCTCATCCAGAGCATATCCAGTTGCTATTTAATAGAAGTGCCTATCGTGGTCAAACCGAAAATTCTAAATGCTGTCTTAGCAACATTCTAGATTTTAATACGTTGAGCCGGCCCAGATTTATTTCTTCACTGAAAATGATTGGTTGCTTTGTAAAAAGGTTCATTTCTGTGGTCTTCTTAGATTTAATGTTTAAAATGAAAGTATGCAGCTCTAAGGAATTAGAGAGGTGTATAGACACTTAAATGAGTTGTTTTGAGCCAAAAGAAGCATCCATAGCATATGATGAAATGATAGATAATATGGTTTATTACTATTCCATAGCAATAAAGTTCCGTTTTTTCTTGTGACAGCAAATCTCAAAGGCTTGGTATCTAGGGGAAAACTGACGCAAGATAAAGCAGGCAAGGCCCTCTCTATGCTCAAGGGAGTACTCGATTACACAGAATTCAAAGATGTGGACATGGTCATAGAGGTCTGCCTTCTTTAGCAGTTACTGTCTGCTTTGCTATTTCAATTATATCTAGTTAGTTCTAAGAGGGGGTCAACTCGTGTATCATTTTTCAGGCAGTGATTGAAAACATTCAGTTGAAACAAAACATATTCAAAGAAATCGAAAAGGTTTGTCCACCACATTGCATTTTGGCGAGCAATACATCTACTATCGACCTCAACGTAATTGGGGAAAAGACTAACTCAAATGATCGCATTGTTGGCGCACATTTCTTCAGGTCATTCTGTGTTTCCAATGTCTCGAAGATTTATATGCTTTTCGTTTTTTCAATGTAATTTTACAAAGGTTTGTCTTTTTTTTTTTAGCCCGGCTCATCTGATGACCCTTCTCGAGATTGTTCGTACAGAGAGTACTTCTGCTCAGGTGATTCTGGATCTAATGGCGCTTGGTAAGGCCATAAAGAAAGTTCCTGTGGTGGTTGGAAACTGCATAGGCTTTGCAGTGAATAGGACATTCTTTCCGTATACACAAGGTGCACATATGTTGGTCAATCTAGGTGTTGACTTGTTCAGAATCGACAACGTTATTACCTCCTTTGGCTTGCCGTTGGGTCCTTTCCAGTAAATCTCTTCCTCCTTGTTTTGTTACTGTATGGCTATTCTCAGCATTTAAAGAAACGTTAATTTTTTTGGGATGACTCACTTCTCAGGCTTGGTGATTTGGCTGGACACGGGATTGGAATAGCAGTTAAAGATATATATGCCAAGGCCTATGGTGATCGCATGTTTAGCTCTCCATTGACCGAGCTTCTGCTTAAGAGTGGACGAAATGGTATGTCATTGCTCTTGCCTTTGCAACTTCCTCATCTGCCGACTTTTAACATTTGCGGCTTCAGGCAAAATCAACGGAAGAGGATACTATATATACGAAAAGGGGAGCAAACCAAAACCCGATCCATCAGTGATTTCAGTTGTTGAGGAATCGAGGAAACTTACTAATATCATGCCCGGTGGGAAGGTAAGACCAAAAAAAAAAAGAGGTCTTACTAAATATAAGCAGTACTTGTTTTGGTATTATTTTTCTAAGTTTAATGCAGTCTTGTCCTTCTTCTGCAGCCTATATCAGTAACTGATAAGGAGATTGTAGAGATGATCTTGTTCCCTGTGGTTAACGAGGCATGCCGTGTCCTAGATGAAGGAGTTGTGATCCGAGCCTCAGACTTGGATGTTGCGTCTGTCCTTGGAATGAGTTTTCCTTCTTACCGGTTAGGATTCTATAGCATAATCCCCATAAAGAAAATCTCTTGCTTTTGCTCTGATCTTATTGATTTTCACTTCATGATGAATATCCATCTTTCTTATTCTGTTGAGTCTCTTCTAGTCACTTACTAACAAGTCACTATTTCAACAAACTTTTTCCTTTGTGATATCATTTCTTATGGTAAGCATTTTTTTTTACCTTGTTGCAGCGGGGGACTTCTTTTCTGGGCAGACACGGTTGGACCGAAGTACATATATGAAAGGCTCAAGAGATTGTCGGAGACTTATGGCGGCTTTTTCAAACCGTCGAGGTATCTGGAGGAAAGGGCAATGAATGGAATGCTTTTGGTAAAGTCTCTCATCTTTCTTTACAATTTTAAGATGTGGAGAACATAGTACCTACCAAGTTCCCTTTATGAATAATCGATAAACAATATGAGAATAGAATTTAAGGTGAATGATCAAATGCATTCATCTGTTGCAAATGACCAGTTAGCAGAGAGCATTTGATGAATGATCAATATCTCGAGACTATACCATTGAGTTCAAGTTTAGCATGAACCATGTTGATTGCTTTTGTAGTTGGCTAGAACAAAAAATTTAGACGCTATGGTTGCAAAGAAAACAAAATATGATCATGTAGTGTAGTTATAGCCTACTTAGTTCTATGAAAGAAATATTTCCAAGCTTATGAATGCAGTACTATTCCAGCTATCATCGATTTATTCATTTTCCCGGTCTTATGGACTGTAATTGATAATGAAACCTCCGGTTTTTGGCTGCAGAGCGAACCGAAATCGTCGAGGTCTCGATTGTGAATGCAAAAAGGGAGTTTAATAGTAATCAGCTAAAAATGCGTTTGAACAAGTTTACGCAGAAGGAGAGGCGTCAGGTGTTTAGTCACTAAATCAGAATAATTCAAGTTTCTCTTGTTGTTTCAAGATAAAGTGCTATTAAGGTGTTTCCTTGAAAACAGTTAAAAATAAAACAGCTTTTATGTTCTAAATAAATGTTTGTAGTGACATCGTTCACAATTCTCATGTATTTTCGTCTCTTATCGAATAATATAAGAAAATTGCATAAATACCTTCTTTTTCTTTATTCTTTTTTTTGGGGGGGGGTCAAAGAGAGTAGAAATATGATAATTTTAATTAATTATATCAACCCAAAGTCTTATTAATTGTACTAGACACTTACATCTTTTCTGAAATTGATTTACTATATGTTACTCTCAAATCCTACAAAAGTTTATTTTTCTAAAAACCTCTCTTTTAAACTTCAAAGATATAAATGTGAGCTTCAAATTATAGTGTAAAATATTTTGTAAAAAATAAAATTTAAGAGTATTTTATTAAAATTAGGCCCTAGGCCAATGTTTCTAAATCATAACATAGACACGGTCCTCTGATTCAGATGTCTTTCTTCTCTGATAAAGGTGGAGGTTTATGAAGATGATGAGGGTTTGAGGTATTTGTTGCCGTCGTCAGCTGCAAAGGCTGCGGTTTGTTGATTGTAGGTTGAGTAGTGGTTCGTGAAGCTCCATTCATAACCGGTGGTATTTGCTGAATCCCATTCTCGGTTTTCACAGTCACGGTTGTGGTCGTGGTTGCTGCAGGTGACTGTACATGCCTTCTTGCTAAAGATGAACACTTTGATTCTGCAAACTTAACAAACTTTAGAGAAGAATGTTTCTCGATGAGTTGGGTGTGAAACACGAGGAAGCAAATGTACCTTTTAATTCTGCGTAGGAGATAAGCCGGCTAAGGCAATCTCTGAATTTGGTTAATACCACTCTCTCCTGCTCTGCGTAAACCTCTGATTGGCCCTGTGAGTTTGTTCCGCAGCCACCGGGGTCCACTGAACCATTAGGTGAAGCTGCTGCAACCATGAAGATAGTGTCCTGTTCATCACACATCAAAGCCAGAGTTGCAGGAGATAGCGGCTTTGCTTTGGAGGGATCGGCGCCATTTGAACTGGGATCCTCTGTGACTGACTTATCAGCTTGATTTTCATCAGCTGCAACCATCTCCACATCAGCTGCATCTTTATTGCCTTGGGGTTGATCTTGTGCAGAAGTAGCTAAAGAAGTTTCTGTTTGATCTTTCACCCGACTTTCTGTTTCATTCCTTTGATCTGAGACAAGTTTTGATGAATATCAATGAATAATACATATAGAGCTACAACCTCAGTAATAAAGAGTTTAAACTAAAAGTTGCACCTGTAAATGTCTTTGCTGCTTCTCCAGCTACAGCGACCAAAACAGAGCAAAGCGCTTTCACATCCTGCGGTTGGATTATATCTGCTAAGAGGGACCTTCAAACGAATTCAACATATAAGTCAGTTTTGTTGCAGCTCTTGGATCAGCTAAATAACTTGTGAACACCATAATTTTCACCTATATACAAACTTCGATGGAACATTGCCACCAGCACGAGAAACAGGTGACGGAGATGTGCCTGAGGTTGGGCCACTAGTTCTTCCACTATTTGCCTATACACAAATAATAAGATTTCATTTCACTAAGAAAGGCAAGAAAAAAGGATACCAAAAAGAAAGCATATCCTAAAATGGTAACTGGGTACCTGTTGAAACTGTCCAAGTCGATGCGTAGATGAATCTTTGGTTGCTTGGTTGAACACAATATCTTGACCTTTCCGTCTCTTAGGTGCTGGAGCAGGAGCAAAGCCAGAGGAACCTACAGCTCCGGTAATGGCTGCATTTGCTTGTTGTTGGAGATAAGCCATGTTGTTGGCATGTTCCCCATGAAACAGAGCTTGTCTCTCTTCACTTCCGTCAAAGTTTTTGCAATCCAAGCATTTACAATTCTCGGAACAAAGAATGTTTGCTTGAAAGCACTCACAATACTTCTTAAGGCATCCAGATTTCTTGCAGTGACATCCTTTGTTATGTTTCCCTAACAACACAACTTCGCCAATCTCCTCCTGCAAAGACAAATCAACAGTTTAAGCATCCCATAATAACTTAGAAGCTTAAAGAACTTCCAAAAGTTCACCAAAGTCTTCCCACAACTGAAAATGTAATGGCTTTTATCAGTAACATCGATATGCCTTAAACCTCGTACCCTTTTATCCCGTACACCATGCGGACTGCTAGCAATTTTCGGCCTGAACGCATTTGGATTCCGCTCCAGAGTTGCTTCAACAGCTTCTCGTCTTGCAGGTTCATTTTCAACATTGTTGAAACAATTGACACAGTTACAACCATCACAATATGTTCCGGATGCAAAGCATTCACAATACCTGACAAGATATTGCACAGTGTAAGTTTATGGAGGTTAAAAAAAGTAAAGCCGAATCAGAAACTGTAATGCACAAGTCTTAGGAATGCAGCAGAGAAAGGAAAAGATATTAACATGCAACAGCTCCAATAATCCCATAACCATACCAAAATGTCTCCCGGAACTAAGAGGGGATCACTTGATAGATAAACTATACCATTAAAAGTTTTCGATAAAATCACAATCCAGATACATGAATGGGAAGACTTACAGCTTCAAGCAGCGTGAGTGTTTGCAGTTACACTGTTTCTTCTTTTGAGGGGTTCCATCTCTAGCTTCCACTATTGGCCTTGGTCTAGATTTTGGAGACTCGGGCTTTCTGCGAAAAAAGAAGCAAATTTTTGAAAATTCTGAACCTTTCCGGTGATATCAAAGCTTAATCCTTGAACAGAAGCCATTAAATTAATTTTAAAAGTTAAAAGTTAAACCATTTTCATAATTCTAAATCACACTTCTGCATATCTACACACAAAAAGTTTGAATTTTGTTCTTCAGAAAATATCGAAACGAGACTAATTCAAGGACGAAGCAAAAAGGGTTCAATAGATAAAACTTACGGAAGCCTGATTGAAGCGTTAAGGATTTGTGATTGTGGCGGCGGATTTGGCGTCGCCACCGGTAACGTCGGTCGTACTTGACCGATTCCCACCGCCGGAGGAGGAGGACGAGTCGTCGTCGGCGTCGTTATCGCAGCTGGTGAAGGAACAGAGGGAGTGGCGATGGTATTTGCCGCCGTAGCGAAGACGGTAGGAGCCGGTTTAGACACTGAATGTTCATCGGAGCCACCAGTGAAGTCGAGTTGCCTCGCTGGCGTCTTCGCCGGAAAACTAGACTCTTCAACACCGTCCTTTTTTGGCGGGAATTCGCCTCCTCCACCGCCCTCATCCATCTAACGAAAATTCGAATCTCGATGGAACCCAGAAAATTTCCTTTTCTATTTTCCCCCGAGAAAATCACACAGTTTAAACCACCGCGAGAAAAAACGAGAAATTCCACAAATCAGCTCACGAAACACACACGAAAAATCCAGATCCGAATCCCGCCGGAGCGCGGAAAGAAATCAGAACCGATTCGGCGGCTGTTAGAGCTCAAACGGGACTTTGAATTTGATCCGCGTGTATAGAGAGAGAGAAAAAGGGATAAGCTTAGAGAGAGATAGATGGGGAATTAGGGTTCTATTGGGTTTTAGCTCTAGAAGAAGACGATGAAGGAGGAGAAGAAGAAGAAGCCCTCAAGAAAAAATTTGGTAGAAATTTAAAACAGCGGAAAACAAAAAAAAATAAAAGCAAATACTTTCGGTTTTGTTCTTCTTCTTCCGCAGCATCTCTCCTCCTCCCTCTCTCTAACATGTTTTGAAATTTCAATTTTCTGGATTATATTGAACGGTTAGATTTGCGTGGCAATCGCATCGTACGGATCACGTTAAATACGACGATCCAACGATTTAAATTCATAAAAGCTTTAGGTTTTGTTGTCTTTCGACCGTCCGATTTCCTCCGATCAAAGTATCCAAAAAGCCCTTTAAAAATTTTGCGTAATTTAGATATATCCCAATTGCGAACCGACACGTACACAGACCCACTCGTGACTGACTCCGATGCATCACATTGGAAGCAGAGAGAGAGGCCACTTTAAGAAAGAAGGCGTATTTGTGATTGCGCCCATTTCTACAACTACGAAAGAGAAATCAAGATTGGCTTTTTTTTTTTCATTTTGTTGAGCACCAAAATTTGCAAGGTCACATTTTGATTTTTCCGGCAAAAATTTCAACTTGTCTAAAGTCTAAACCAACATTCTCAAGACATACACAGTTTTTGTATCAGTAAGAATTTCCCATTCTGTCTCTGCCACCACGCCGATCGTCTCGCCCTCTTCTATCAAAGTAACTGTCACGGTGGTAATCCCTGAGTGCTGGTGGACCGCCTCTCAATGGCGGTGGTGGTGGACCGCCTCTTAATGGCGGTGGTGGTGGACCGTGTCTCAATGGCGGCGATCTGCTTCTCTCTCTTGAAAGTCGTCCTAATCTGCCACCACGAGGTGGATGAAGCGGTGGACTGAGAGGAGGTGGCCGTCTCTCATAGTGAGGTCTCGGGAGCGGCTCAGTACGGACCCAGTCAGGTGCTAAACTTCTGCTAGGAGGGTACTCATTGTCAGAGTAATGCAAACGGTCTCGTTCTCGTTCTCTGTCTCTCCATGTGGGATGGTCTTGTCTAGGTGGCGGGTAGTCTCTGGGCCAGCCACGTGGTGGAGGAGACCTGTAGCCATTGAAGTCTCTTCTCGGGGAGAAATTCATGGGAGGAGGAAGATGACGAAGCGGTGGAGGACTGTTGGCTGGTACATAGCGATGCCTCTTGCATTTGTTGCAGTATTCTCGTCTCGCAAAGTTCAAGTTTCTGCATCTGTATCCATAACAAAAACAAAAGAAAGATATAGTATATGAATTGGGAAACTTATGTAGATTTTGAGATATAGCCAAGGTTACTTACAATGGATCTAGACAGTACCAATCTCCATCTCTTGGTTGCACCTTTGGATTATTGTTTCTGCTCATGCTATCTGCAGGTCCAGGCCCATCAAAACCTCTTCCATGGGGACGAGCACCAGCTCCACCTCTAGCATAAGGTGGTGAATAGTCTCTGTGTCTCCCAGATGCTTCCCTTCTGCTGCTCAAGTCACGGCCACGAGGCGGAGCGCCTGAATGATTATGATCAGAATGTCGGTGATCCTCATATGCACGACGGGCTGGTGAGCTAGAACTTGCACGAGTTCTATGTCCTACACCCCAATTAAAAAAAACAAAAATTAGCCAGCAGGAGAGAGGCTGGGTCAACTACAGTATAGTTAAAGGTTCAAACTATTATCAAGTCAGCAAGTTGCAAGTACTCCTCACAGTAGAATCACGAACGTATATATTAGCAGACAAGAAAGTCCAAAATATCATCAAAGAGATTTTGTTTACACATCACTGATAAAACACTGGAGCAAAGACCATGAGTCTGTAGGTTCCCTAATAGCATTCTCAGATGGTTGCATTACCGAAAGACTCAGCTCAAGATTCTTACATTTTTACACTGAACAAGGACTGTTGATATGAATCTATACCAGTGCAATATTCATAGTACAACAACTTTTAAGTGTCATTGAACTCTTAGCTATACAATCCATTAAAGCATTTATAGCAAATGAGATTCTTCTACTTCAGAAGAACTTACAGACATCATAGGAACCAAATGCTAGCGAAATAACCAAACATAACAGTATCGATTAACTCAGAAATTGATAGATGAGCATGTTTCACAAGTTAACGGAAAGAAAACATCGAGTAGAACAGTCGCACGTAATGAATCTTTCCAAGTAGCAGTTGCTGCAACGAAGAAGAAACTGAGCAGAAAAGAGAACTGGGCTTTAATAATGTTGGAAGAGATACGAACCATTTTCACCCTTGTGTCGATCCGAGCGAGCAAATGAGGGCCGGTCACGGGAGAAATCTCCGGGGTCATAGTCTCCGGCGGCGGCGGCGCGGCGATCGCTTTCTCCGTCGTTGCTTCCGGATGGCCGCACGACGAGACTGCTGATGTGAGGCGGGTGATGCTGATCTCTTTCGTTCGACCCCATTTCTCTCCGATTGTCAAGCACCCCTACTCCTGGAATCTCGATGTCCGTTTCGGAAAGGGAAAAAAAAAAACCTAGGGAGACTTCCCGATAGATGCTGGAAACTGTCGTTAATTTATATTTTGGCCTCTCTACTTTAGTTAGATTTTCAAAATAGCCCCTCAAGTTTAATACTTAACATGATAGTACTATAGGCTAATTCATGGAGTCGAAAATCTAATGGCCGTTCTGATTTTCCTTCTTCTTTTCTTGGCAATATAACGTTCACGTTTATGGAAGAATCAGACGCACAAAATATGATTACACTTCTGAAATTTACGAAATCGATGGAAGATATTCAATAATTCAATAATCCATGTCAAAAAAGACATTTATGGTTATACAGTGGATTTCATTGAAATGCTGACTACAGTTTTAGTCCAATGACTACTTCTGGGACTAAGAATTTGATTATGTAATTTGGTAAATAGAATTAGCAAAATATCGATGACAACAAGGATTGGCTTTATTCATGGCCTCAATGCCTCATCATGGTATTCAACAAACTCCGACATGAGAGGAAAATACAAAAATGAAAACTGAGATCAAAGCCGTCAAAAAAAAAAAAAAACAGAGTGATGAGATAAGACGGCCGTGCTTAAATGCCATTCAAGATCAGGGAAATTCTATTGTAAATCCACTACTGGTAGACTTTACATTCACGGGTCCAAAGCCGTCAAAATCTGAATCTGAGTCCATTTCTCTGTAATCATTCCACTTTCCCGGAGAATCCTCATCCGGTCCACTCCTTGTCGGAGGCACATAGAGCTCAGAAACTGGAACCGGAAGAGGCTCTTCACTGAAATATTTGTCATTCAACATCTCCATAGCAGTAGCTCTGCTAGCTGGATCATAACATATAAGCTTCTTGAGCAGAGATATCACATCCCCTGAATGGTTGGGAAGGCAGCCTTCTATACCAAGAGGAGATTCTACTTTAGCAAATGAGATTGACTTGTAGTCTGGTAGATCGACACAACCTGGCCAGACCTCTTCGTTTAAATTTCCGAGCACGTTGGTTACTCTGCTGATCTGATCAATATCTGAAATCCCTGGAAATAAAGGCTCAAGAGACAAGATTTCTGCAAACACACAACCAAGCGACCATAGATCAACCTTTAACCCATACATTGTAGATCCATAGAGCAGTTCTGGTGGCCTAAACCATCGGGTTCCCACACAAGATGTCATCAAACCCTGTTCACCATCCAATGCCTCATCAGCATCATAAGAAAAAGAGTTCCTACCGAGATCATCATCCATTTCACTAACAGTGCACGTTGCAAGGCAAGATGTGTCTCCATCATGCACATTCGAGTCTTTATCGGTATCATCTCTTACAACCTTTTTAGCCTTGAGCTCTTCCACCTGTCTAAAGTATTCATCTTTACTCATCACTTCTCGTTCCTGACCATCAGACCCTTGCTGAGACGAGTTCTCATAATCAGGAATCACCTCAGGCGGTTCTCTGCTGGTTTCTCCATCTTTGTCTTCCACTTTGTAAGCATGTTGGTTTTCATCTGAAGCGACAAAATCAGGCTCCATGAGTATCCTAGCCTGTAAACGAGCCATGAAGCCAAAACACCTTTTTTACAAACCCAAGAGAAAATTTCACACAAAATATGGTAAAAACATAAAGAGGAGCTGAAAATAGGCAAAATCAAAGAACTCTTCATCTCCTAAACGAAGCATTCTTTTTTCTATCCAGAAATTAATCAAGGTTTATAGGTTCATCATCTAGAGGTTTTTCAATTTCGTGCATCAAACAATGGAAACAACAAACATCAGTATCATGATAATCACCTGACCAAAATCTGCAAGCTTAAGCACTCCATCATCAGATACCAACATATTCCCAGGCTTCAAATCCCTGTGGACAATCAAATTCCTGTGGCACGCATCAACGCCGGAAAGAATCTGAATCATCCATCTCTTGATCTCCCCCTCCGTAAACCCGTCGTCTCCTTCCTCCCCGCCTGATGATCCCTTCTTCCTCCTCTTGGCATCTCTGATCACCGCCGCGAGATCCGTCCTGAGGAACTCGAGCACAATCACGGCGTTCTCGTCCTCTCGCCAGAAATACTCGTGCATAACAACGATATTAGGAGATCCACTGAGGATGGTGAGCGCATCAATCTCCCGGAACGCCGACTGGTAATCGAAGATCTCTTTGAGCGCGACGATGAGACCGTCCGAGATACGTCGAGCTCTGTAGACGTCGGCGTAGGCTCCGGATCCGACTCGCTCGAAGATCTCATACTTGGCGATTATCTCCGGCCGGGTATGGATACTCCAGCTACTCGCCGGCTGTTTATCCATCTCTTTTATTACGGCGTCGTTTTGGACAGATTGTTCTTCCCTTTCCCGGTTTGATGATGATGATACATTTATACTACACTAACGATTTCCCCAGTTAAAAAAAAAAAAGATCCCGTTCTCAGATAGTAAATGACTAGATTACCCTCCACCATTTTTTTCCTTTTAGCAGAAAATTGACCAAACTAATTTACTACCGGTTAGAAGTTGGAACAAATTTTTGTCTATACTATTTGCATAGTTCATTGAATATAAATTATATATACTGTTGAACTGCATGAAGTCTGTTTTTTTAATTAATGTTACTTTGCCTCGTTTGTTTACTAGTAAACTGGTTTTCAGTTTGATTTCTTTCAATTTGGATTCATAATAGTTTTTGGTTCGATTTCGGTTTAGTCTGGTTTTAGTGATACAATATACAAGTCCCTCAAAGAACAAAAGTTTCAAATTTGAATCCACTAACTTGTTAACAAGACAAAAAGACAGAGTCTGCAAATCTACACAAGCTGAAACAGACAAGGAGTTTCACATACAAATAAGAGAACCAACAGTTCCCTTATCTTTCACAATTCCAATTTCAAACTAGGAAACCACAAAAAACGACCAGAGAAGAAAGAGAGTCACAATGTAGTTGTCGAGATTTGTATGCTGTGTCCTAAGCCGCGTTGCAGCCTCCACAGACAATACTCCTGCGCAGGTATATGAGAGGTGAGATTGATAAGAGTCTTGTTTGTAAAAATTTTACAGCAACATCTTCATAGAGTAAAACAAGAAAAGATACAATCTTTAAAGCGCTTACGCAATAGAGCAACCGGATCTTCTGTGTTTCTTCTTACTCCTCGTTACCTCCTTCCTCCTTGGAGGCTGAAGAACCACTTTGATCGCTGTGTCAAACACTGCTTTCACATTCTAACAAAAAAATCAAAAGCAAAAGAATCATAAAAAAGATTCTGACTTTTTCATCAAAACATTCCTCTTTCTGTGAAGGGGAACTTAACTTACCTGTTGAGTCTTGGAACTGCACTCGATATAAGCGGCTGCACCGATTTGCTTCCTCAATTCCTCTCCCTGTCTCCACCAAAAGTCATAAGCTTGAGAAAGCTTCATTCATGTCTAAAGATTCATTTCAAAAGCAAAACCAATTACGCAATATATACCTGAGCAGAGGTAATGACATTTGTGTGATCCGCGAGGTATCCCTTATCATCCCGGAGATCTTAAGAAGACCAAGACGTAATGTATCAGCCAATAGATATTCAAAACAAAGTACAAAAAACAAAAATCTCCGAAAGGAAAAAAGACTTGCCTAGCTTTGTACCAACAAGGACTATGGGAACATTTGGTGCAAACCGACGAAGTTCAGGCATCCACTGTATGTACACAAATCAACATTCACATAATTCACAATCCAAGTCTATTCCAAACCAAGGAGGAATCAAAACATTTACCTTCTTTAGTACATTCTCGTAACTCGCCTTGCTGATAAGCGAAAAGGCTAATACAAAAATATCAGCTCCTCTGTAACTCAATGGCCTCAGCCTACTGTAATCTTCTTGACCTTAAAGACACCAATAAAACAAACAAATGTATGAAAGATCCGACACATAGAAGACTTCTGAATCATCAGTTTCAAATCATTGGTTCACTGGTTTCAGAACTAAATTAGAAATTTTGTTTTTACCTGCAGTGTCCCATAGCCCTAGATTCACGATTTGTCCATCCACAGCGACATTGGCACTGAAATTATCGAACACAGTCGGTATATAATCCTGACAAACATGAACAAACAGCAAGAATCACGCATCATGCATTAGAGGAAACCTTAGAAACTGAAAAATGGAGAATAAAGAAGCAAGGAAACCAGATCTCTTCCCAAACTCTAGAATCTCATAAACCCAAGTGGAGAAACTAATTAAAAGAAAAATCAAATCAAATTTTTGAGAATTGTTAACCGGAATAAACCAAAAGAGAAATCATTGGTTCTTCTTCAAGCTAAACCCAGTTGGAAATACCAAGAACCCAGATGAAATCTCTGAAAATGAAAGCCACAGAGTCTGAATTTGAGGAAAACTCACAGTGGGAAACTTGTTGCTAGTGTAGGAGATAAGCATACATGTCTTTCCGACAGCTCCGTCTCCGACAGTAACACATTTGATGAACTTGGAAGCGCTCATCTTCTTTGTAAGAACAAGAATCGAAAACCCAGAAGACTTGAGGAAAATATGAACAAATACAGAAGCAGTTAAAGACAAGGAAGAAGAAGAGTGCTGAAGAAGACTAGAAATGAGCTTACAAGTGACGCTTGCAGTGAGAATCAACCACGGAAAGTACAGAACAAAAGAGTGTGAATTTCGATATACTAATTAATTTCTCAAGAGGGAAATGTGTTTTGTAGAGAGTCGAGACAGAGAGAGAGCAGCGATGAGAGTAAATGTGTCGGATTCTCAGGTTTCGTCAAAGTCAAAGTCTCAAAAAAAAAAAAAAAGTCTCAAAAAGGGCAACTTTATTGTCCCTCTCAATAAATTTCAAAAACTTGGCAAAACGAAAACACACACCATAAACCATTTGAAACCATATATCCTTTCTATCTAAAAAGTCTGATTTTTTCAACGGTTAGGTTAAAACACGTATCGACCGTTGTGGAATACGACATCGTTTCTACTTTTGTCTTCTTTTTGGTATCCAGCTAGTAGTGTTTTGTCTTGGGAGTTTCACGTTACTTCTCATTTGGATATACACGAGTATGTCTTGAGCCCTTCAAGGATTTTATGTTCGAGCCGTAATAATACCCTTTGTATACGCAATACATTCAAATTGGGTGACATTTTTTCTATTAATCGAATTGAAAATTTCCTCACTTCAGCTTGGATTTAAAAGTACAATTACCACAAGTGAGATCAAATTAATATTGGTCTGATACCTTAAACCAAGTCCATGTTGCTCCTCCCAGTCAAAAACTTCCACATCAGATTGCAAGTGTACCAAATTAGAAGAGAAAATTTGGGTTGTGTAGGCTAAAGATTATTTTCCAAATGTACCAAAATGTTATAAAGAACCACCAAACAAAAGCCTCCTGGGCTCGTTAAAACACCTAAGTCTTAAAAGGGAACATAAAGAGAGACACGAGAATTCAAAGTTTGAGAGATAGCATGAAAATACAAAGGAAGAAGTAACCAAAGGAACCGAGTTGGTTCTATCTACTCTTCATCTTCGTCGTCTTCGATCTCGTCAAACTCAGAATCATTACCAGACTCACTCTCCGAATCACTCAGCACATACCTCATTTGCTTCCTATTTGCTCTTTGAGGCCTCGCTGAGTTTCCCGACGACGCCGCCACAGTCTCACTACTCTCCTCCTCTTCCTTATTGTTGTTACTAACAGCTAACCTCCCCATCACTGAACCACTCTTCTTGTTAAACGGTGACGATCTCATCTTCCTCACTTTCTTATCCGGCGACACATTAACAACCTCCGCCGCTGGCTGCTTCTTGCTCGCCGCTGGTCCGCGTTTTCTCGGAGCTGCCGGTGGCTTCGCTGCTTTACTCGCCGCTGGTTTTCTTCCTCCTTTTGCTGGTTTTGCAGTAACCTCAACCACCACGTCGTCATCATCGTCATCCAAAGCTATTGCTGTCGATGTTTCTGTTGATAAACCCGCAGGAAATACAAGATTAACTTCATGATCTGTGGATTCTTTCTCAAAAATACGACATTTTTTTTTTGCTATTAGAAATCTTACTGCTTGAATTCTCAGAGGTGGCGCCGAAACTGTACTTAGCAAGCCTTTGAGCTAGATCCATCATCTCATCCTCATCTTCATCGACCTTTGCAGCTGGAGCAGCAGGCGCCTTCTTTTTGGCTCCTTGTCTACCTTTTGGCTTCGCCACTTCCACAACGGTGTTCTCTTTAAAAAACGTAAAGAAATGTATATAAGAGATCTATACATGAAAAAGAAATGCCAAACTTGAGAACTAGATTTACCTGTGTCCATTGCTGAACTGGAAGTCTCTGTGGTTTCTGATTCAATGGCTTTCTTTGTGGTCTTCTTCGGTGCTGGTTTCTTTGTCACCTGCTGTTTTCTACCCTTTGCTGGTGCTCCATTACCGGCCCTGAGCCTGATTTGTGTTGCCTTTCTCTCTTCTTCAGCTTGGGCATCGCTCAGATCAAGTTTCTGCAATGTAAGGAAAAAACATTGCATCAATGACAAATTGTTAATCGACTGCTATGCAAAGCGTTATAAAAGGATAGCTTGGTGAATCCATACATCTAGTTCTACATCAAGAGACGCTAGGTCTCTGAGCCAGAGGGATCTTGGTGTGGCTTTCTTCAGGTCCTCAACTTCTTCCTTCATTTTATCTCTATCTCCACATAACTCCTGTACTTTCTCTAGAGTCAACGTTGCTATGGCCAGTGCCAATAGGTAGTCATACTCTGAGCCAGTTATAAACGTGGAGCTTGAACTTGAAGCAGGAGCAGCATCTGAGTTTTCTTCAGTTGTATCTGCATCGACTGCTCCAGCAACTGCCGCTTCAACGGGCTTGGCCTTTTTTGGGAATGGTGTAAACCCTCTCTGTCTCAATTCCTGGACGAGATCAGCCTTCTTCCTATTGTTCACTATTATTTCTCCACTGACAACTCCAAGAATGAACTTCACTTTGTTTTCTATCTTCAGTAGCTCCAGTTCCATATTCTCCAGCATAATTTTCTGTATACATATCACACAGTTGATGTTAAACCATTGCCTTAATATCATAAACCTCTAAAAGACTGAATCATTGTTTGAGATTTCGAACCTTTCTCTTCTCATAGTATTGGAGCCTGAGGTCGAAAAACTCTTCAAGAACTGCAAGGTGGTGTTAGATATCAGTGTATATTATGGAGAAGAAAAACAGACTGAACAATTTGGGTCTTTTCTTACTTTGCTCTGGAGTCGCATATTTCTTTATCACGCTCTTTTCATCAAAGAGATGCATATTGGTTGTACCGACTGTCGTGGTGAGTTTGAACATTTTCAGAAAGCCCTCCTGCCGAGCTATCGCCATGTTCTCTTCACTCATTGTAAGCTCAAAGTGCACTGACGATTCGTCATGATACTCTCTGATTTCCTGAAAGAAAGAAGCAGAATAAATAAGAAAGAAACGTATAAGAGAATACAATCACAGTTTCTGATTTTAGGCATTCTACCAGAAAAAAAGGGACATTATTTGTCTTCAGTGCGTTCAAGAATTCCTTATAGTCATCGGTCCACCTTCTGATTGGTAACTCCGTAATACGAACAGTCGTTTCATCTATCTCCTCACACACACCAGTGATTGTGTAGGTTGACCCGCCTTCTTTGGACGCAGTTTTCTCAATGGTTCCTTTAAAACCCCTATACCAGGGATGCATAGGCACCATACTTTCACCATTAAGTAGACGCCTTACGTTGGCAACAATCTCTCTTGGGTTATAGTTTGGTATGAAAGTACTCCACCCAGTTCCTATACCTTCACAGCCATTGACTAATACTGTTGGAATGATGGGCATGTACCTAAAAAGCATTAACGTATCAAGTTAACTAGCCAAAAAAAGAAAAAGTCGGAATAGATGTACTAGATGAGCAAAGGATTACCATGTTGGCTCTATCTTTTGACCGTCTTCATTCAAGTAGTTAAGGAGGACATCGTCATCCTTGGGAAACAAGACCCTTGTTGCTGGAGAAAGCTTAGTAAAAATGTATCTTGCACTGGCTGCATCTTTTCCACCCTACGACCACCATCATGTCCACCAAGATGAGTACGAGAATGGATAAACAAGATGAGTAATGAATGCTCTATCAGCTATACTTACCGCAGTTCGTGTACCATATTGACCAATTGGTTGCAGCAGGTTGATGTTGTTGCTGCCAACATAATCCTGCGCCATACCGATGATGGTGCTGGCAAGAGACTGCTCGCCGTGATGATAAGCTGAGTGCTCCGATACATAACCAGCGAATTGGGCGACCTTGGCTTCCTTGATGAAATTCCTCTTAAACGAACAAAAAAGAACCTTTCGCTGACCAGGTTTTAGCCCATCAACCATGGAGGGAATTGACCTTTGGAGATCCGCCATTGAGAACAAGATAAGTTCTTTGTTCACAAAATCACTGTACGTAATTTTCTGTTCCTTCTGGTCAAGATGAGTGCCAGCCTGAATGAAAACTAACATCAGAACAGGCAGATACAATGGGCAAAGAACAGGTATCTTTACGGAAAATTCAGATGTCCAGCATACCTCAAAATTCGAAAGCCAATTCTTTCGGGCTTCGATTTTCTTTTTACTGAATGCAAGCTCAATAGCTTCACCATCTTGTTCATCCTCCCAGACAAAGTCCTTTTTGTGAAGATCAAGTCTCTTAAAATACTCTTTGCCCTCTTTAGACGTGCTTGTACCCAACCCCTAGAAAGACATAAGGACTATAATTAAGCAGAGAACATAAGCACTTTCCAAAATTGCTGTCTTAATAGTTACATTAGGAAGCAAACCTTGTAGTATTTGATAGTCCATCCGGTTGCATTACCCCTAAGACTTTCTTTCCATTCTTCGTACTCGGGCATTGAGTAAAATGACAGAACCGTTTTAGTCCTGTTGTTGCTAGCCTGAGTAAGATAAGTTTAGGGCAGTTGTTAAAATTCATGTATCTACTATGTCAAGCAAGATAAAATATTATGCAAGGATGAAGGTATTATACTTACCTTCACAATCGGTGTTATAAACTCAACAAGGAACGATGGAACTTTAAGTAACGTCGGCCAGAAAGAGTGGATGAAATTGATTAACAGCCCCTTTATATGGGAACCATCGTGATCCTGAAAAAGGTGGACAGAAAGATTTCATCAAATGAACATATATAAAGACAACACACATATATGTAGAACAATGCACTAAGTGTAAAGATAGGAAGTATACTTGATCGGTCATGATCATCATATGGCCATATCTCAGTGAGTTAACGTTTTCGTACACCATATTTTGCTTTAGTCCAAGGATCTTCTTAATGTTCTCAATTTCCTTATTGTTAGTGATCTGAGTGGTACTGGCTTCCCTGACATTCAATAACTTTCCTCGAAGTGGAAACACACCGTAATAGTCCCGACCCACTTCACCCAGCCCCGCCATCTGAACATAACGAGCATTAGCTATGTTGAAGTAAAAATAGAGAGTTAGCTGACAATAGATCAAAACCACTTACAGCTAGAGCTTTAGCTGAATCTCCTTCAGTTAATATCAGTGTACACTTTTGGGAGTTCCTCCCTCCAGCTTCGTTTGCATCCTCCAACTTCTCAACTTGAACCCTCCCAATTTTAGCTCCATCACTCTTCTTAAGGTCTTTGCTCTGCTTGAAAGTTGCCCATGAAAGCAAATTTTCTACTACTCCGGATTTAGCCACTAGAACAAAAATGACATGAAAAAACATATTTAAGCAGTCTTCTAGAAACCAGTTACATCAGTGATACCCAACTAGACAGATGAAGCAAAACATACCTTTCTTCAGAATATCTTCTGAAAGTTCGCATTTAGACCCGAAACTGCTCTGTCGAAGAGTCAATGTTTCTTTTGTTTGAGAATCAAAAGCAGGATTGTCAATCAGAGCATTGACAAATACCCACAGGTGGTTCTTCACGTTATGAGCCTTAACATTGGCGTGTTTGTTCTTCTTGTTCACGATATTGACTATGTAGTTTGTGATCTGACTGGTCACATAATCAACATGTGTGCCACCCTTGATTGTGGCAATGGAGTTGACAAAGCTAACCTGGTAACAGAAGAAAACATTGTTAAAAGTTATACTCAATCGTCATGAGATGAGTTGAGAGAAAGATAATATCACTCAAACACATACCTGCTGAAATTGTCCCTCACTTAGGCTCACACACACCTCCCATCTGTCACTAACTTTCTCAGTTATCCTAATCTCACACAAGAAAAAAAACAGAAGATCAAAATCAATTCCAATACAGAGTCTACTTATATAGGTGATCAATAAAAACGTTCATAGAACAAACAAACCTTGGGAGAGGGTCAGTCCTTGATTTATTGGCTGCGGTAAGGTAAAGATCAACATAATCACTGAACGATTTGATTGGAACTCGTTTACCATTCAGCTCCACCTTCACTGTCTTTCCCAAACATCCAGCAATATCAAACACTCTTTTACTCATTAGAGCAACCACATCGTCTTCTAAATGAGTCATGCTGAATTTCCCCAAATCTGGTTTGAAAGTGACCTTCGTCCAGTTATCACTCTTATTGCACTTGCTTATCACCGGCTCAGACTTCTTCCCCATATTGTTTGTAAACACCTACATATCACCAGATAATGTCAAGTTCCTAAAATTACTGTGATCAATCGATAATACCCTTAATCAGCAAGAGAAGCACCATAATACCAAACGAGATCAATGTAAATGCAAACAAAAGACACAGAAGCAAAATCCATTGTTGGTACCTGCTTGTATCTCTTCTGCCTCTTCCCATCGGCAGTTTCTATGGTGAATTCAGTGGAGAAGATGTTAGTAAGCTTCGCACCATACCCGTTTCTTCCACCGGTGGTCTTCTTCACATTGTCATCGTAGTTGCTGCTAGTCAGAAGATGACCAAAAATCATCTCAGGCACATAAACGCCTTCCTCCTGATGAATCTCGACGGGAACTCCATCTCCGCTGTTACAGACGCTGATCAGATTCTGTTCAACATCAATCACAACTTGGACAGAATCCATCGACGGATCCCTCTGTTTGTTGTCGGCGGCGTTCACGAGGATCTCGTCGAAGATCTTGTAAAGGCCAGGGACGTAAGTGACAGGACGATTCACCATCTCTTCGTTTTCGTATACCCAGAGAGTCTGGGTATGCTTTTCAATAGATCCGATGTAAGTATCTGGACGGAGAAGGATGTGCTCGAGCTGCGATTTCTTCTGGTACATCTCTTCGATCGTCTTCCCGCCGGCTCGCGATGCCGCCGGCTTCTTCCCCACATTGACGTTGTTGCTGCTCTGCAGCGGGAGTTTGGTAGCCATGGTGTTGGGGCAAATGAGAGTTTCTGAGACGGAAACTGTGTCGATCTCGTGACCTAGACGGAGAAATCAGAAGGAATGAATGAGAGAATCAACGAAATCTCGGAGATGGTTATGGAATTAGGTTTCTGGGTAGTAGAGACTAGAGAGAAAAAGGAGAAGCCGAAATGAAAGAGAGAATAGTGAGTGAGAGTGATACAGCGGTTTCAAATAAAAAAGTTGACCGAATCAAATTTCAAATTTTGAAACTGCGATAGGAGCGGGATAATGAGGTTTTTCAAAAAAAAAAAAAAAATTGAAAATCGTACGAAGAAAATAAAACAAAAAATTATTGATCTCTTGTGTAATTGCGAATATTTTTTTTCTTTTTCTGGTTATGTCATGTGTGCTTTACCCTTACGCTAATTTGGGTAAATGCGTACGCTTACACTATAACACATGATAATAATGATTCTGACAAACCCTTGTTACCAAAAAAATAATGATTCTGATGAAAATGAAATTTGGTTCAAAGTAACAAGATTGGTCCACCGAATCATAGCATTATGATAATATAGACATGTTTGCTAACAAGCTTAAAATTAGTAAAGTGTACAACAATTAGATTATTTGCCTAAAACAAAACTTACAAAAAAACAAGACGCTGATAGGCATGAATAAATATTCGATACTATCACATCCTAGTGTACCATCCATTATCATGGCATCAATATTCATGTTCTGTTATCGATTTATACTATCTTTTTATTGCTGATAATGGCTCTTTTTTGGCTAAACAGTCTTTCATTAATTGCATAAGCTTTTATGAAGGTTTTCTAAGCGTTTAAGAAAGAAGAAGAAAAAAGATATTGTATTTTGCAAAACAAAAACGAAGTGTGATGTTTTTATAATGATATATCCGGTAAATCCAGATATATGACTCCTGAAAGCTTTTCCCAAGCATAAAAAAATATTACATGTCATGAAGGTTTGATACTAGTGATTGAATGCGAGATTCATGTGTTCCACCTAACAATATAAATTATCATTATCCGAAATAAATTCAAATCTCGGAAGGAGTAATGTTACGATGATCATATACACATAGAAATAACCAAAACCGATCCTAAAAAAGAACCCGACATTAACAAAACGTAAATTGCTAATATATAGCTTCAAGTTTTAAACAGATGAACAAAACAAAGCTGCTCTTATTATTAGAAAAAGAAAACAGATCGATACATCTTATTTTTACGTTACACTCTTTATTAGAACTTAGAATACACATCCACAATTCCACACTATTGTGATTGAATCTTATGGCTTCTGTGTGGAGGCAACAAACCAACGAACTTGACGAGAACATCGACGGAGTTTTGCGCGGCGAGGCTGCCGAACAAGTCAGCCTCGTTGGAAACGTCGGAGCCACCGCCGGCGAGATCGGAGAGGGCACGAATGACGACGAAAGGGAGGCTTTGCTGGTGGCAGATGAGAGCTACGGCGGCGCTTTCCATTTCGACGGCGGTGGCGTTGAATTTGGAGCGGAGGAAAGTCCGGTAAGCTGCGTTGTCGACGAAGACGCTTGCACTCACCCCACGGTCAACGATGGTTACCTTCGGTGCTCGAGGAAGGCACGTGGTGTTCACGCACTGTGGTAGTTTCGTGCCCTGTTTTTTTTTTGGTTTGAATATAAGAATGTAATCATTTCACGTATCATATAATGTAACACGTACAATCCAATAGTTTCATGTGTCAAATGTAACACGTATAGAAGACGCAACAATATCATAAGAGTGGAACATTTTTTACTGATAAGAATGTAACAATCTAATAAATTCTACATATAGCACATATATGTACAGTTCGAATCTATTTAACGTACATTTGATGCCTTATTTTTTCGAACTACATTATACATGTATAGCTGGATATTAGTGATTTTTATAGAGCGTGACCATGAAACGTGGAAGTTTAAATATATATATAGTCAAATATGTATATTATATATCTAATATAGGCGTCACCTAACGGACTAACGTGTTGTAGATATTTGCAAATATATACGAAAACGCAACTTGGTTATAAAATAAATTATGAAAATCAAAACAGATCTAAATATGTGAGTATTTGTCAAACCTCGAGTTGGCGTGCAAGATCCAAGTAGGACTTGTCAACGGGAATCCAGAACACGTGTTCCCGGACTTCGGGAGTTCCGGTGACCGGAAATATTTCTTCCGGTTGGTACCAAATTCTATTGAGCAAGTTCTCGGTTTGGTTACTGTAATTGGAAAACTGGAGATAACCAATATTCCGAGTATAGTCTCCGCCGGCTTCCAAAGCCAACTCGTCGTCAATTCCATCTCCATACCTCTGTATTCGAATTTGTAAAATGAGTAAAGCATTTAAGGATATGCATATGATACCACCAAAAATATATGAATGTCACGGTAATATATACTTATATTTAGATCTACATAGTTTCAATTGATGTATCATAGTAGGTTTTGAACATGTACTATAGCTTTAACTTTCAACATCTAATATTTATGCAAACATATAACTATAAGGCCATTGACATTTGTGCCTAGATCGTTATTATCAGTCATCCAAAATGGTGACAATATTTAACAGCTGGTATACTGATGTCAACAGCAACAAAATAAAAAAAGTAATAGCTGCTATTGGTTAAATATCGTTCGCAAGCAAGGTCATACATGTATATTATAGTAGATTTGGTAAGTTAATAGACCCGACCTGCCAATTCCAAAGACCAGTGTGAGCCCAAGATTTAGGAATAGTGACGTCACCGATCTCTAGGTTAACATCTGCGTTTCCAGCGATTCCATAATGCAACACTCCTTTCAGCCTAAACAGGCTTACTAGTAATTGAGTTGCTACTCCTGCATTTACCTGTTCATATGTATATTAATTATTGTTTAATAAAACTTAATTATATCAACGGATCAAACTTTTTTTTTTTACAAAAAGGGGAAAGAGTTGTATTTGGTAAATGAACGTACCATTCCTAATCCCGTCATCACGATTACCACTCGTTGGTTTGATATTTTTCCAAATCTAAATCTTCTACCTGCGTGATTTTTATATAAAACATATCAATAATTTAGGTACCTATCTATGTATTTTATAGATGTAATCAATGACCTATACAAGAAATAGTTGACTTTGTTAATTGATTCGATGAATCTATAGTTTTGATTTTAAAAACGTTATTCATGTACATTTTCAATAACAATGAAAACAATTTTTACCAGCGAAATCGATGAAGGGCAAAGAGGGATATGGAACATAGGCTTGAGAAGCGAGAAGAGGATTAAGCTCAAAGTTGTTTGGAGCTACAATCCCCAAATAAGGACCTCTCTTATTCATCCTCTCTATTTTGCTCAAAACTGATCGAGATATTTCACCATTTGCTTCTTGGATAACATTTCCAATAAACAAAATAACCACAAGAAGACCAATCAAAAAGTGTCCCATAACTTCTCTATCTCTTTTTCTCTCTTGCCATTTCTTTTATGCTTCTCGTGAGCCTTCATATCTTCCCGTTGGGTTCCTTTTATTTATGTACATGCAAATGCATTATATTAGTATATAGTATACGCACGTTATAACAAACGTGGATATTTTTATATGCTCAACTATTATGGGTGGGCCTAGAGCCGGTGAAAGATTTATAGACGTGATGTGATTAGTAATTTAGTATGTGTAGTAGAGTAAAAATAGGGGAGATAAGAAAGAAGAGAGAAAGAGAGAGGAAAATTAAGGGATAATTATTATTTTTTTAATTTTTTTTTTTGGATAATAGAAGGACATTGTTTCTTCCTCCGGTATTATGTGGAGGACAAATACCCTCTATAATAAGTCTTTCCTTCCCCTTTTTAGTCGGAAATTGTCTTCTTCTTCTTTTTTCTGCTTCTTTTCACCTGATTGATGCACTATAAGAAAAATCTCACAGTAATCTATTATCTTAAAACAGAAGCACATTTAGTACTTGTTTCCAAACACTCTTAATTTTTTTTAAGTGTTTAAAAGTAATTTTAATAATTATTTATATTTAATTTCGAAAATTAGTTACTCCCTCTGTTTCATTATAGATGATTTTCTGAATATTTACACACAGATTAAGAAAGCTATAAATGCTCAATTATTTACTGTTTATTTTTGTTAATTAAGTTACTTTTACAACTGATTTCATTATTTTTATTATTACTTTTTCTTCATTAATATTATTCATTCAATTTAAAGAAGAAACATAGATTAATTAGATGTAGGAAATCAAATATTATGAAACAAGAAAAAAAACCTAGAATATCAACTATAATGAAACAGAGGGAGTATTAATTTAAATATTTTTAGAGTTCCTTAAATATAGGTAATTTAGATTTGATTTGATTAAAATAATAAATCAGATTTTAATTTAGATTTGATTTAAAGATTCTAATTTAAATAATTTCTATACTATTAAACATTTTTATCAAAAATATCTAAAATTTTTGAAAAAAATATAATTCACATATGAAAAATAATGGTCATATTTGAAATATAAAATATTTATAATGATTTAAATGATATGATATTTATGTTGCTTATATAATATATTTACGATTATGATTTATTTACAAATTAATAATAAAATAATAGGTAAAATTCAAATGTATAATTTAAATATTAAAAATATTTTTTTTTAAATTCATAGAACTAAAAATATATATAAAAACTGGGTTAAAAATATTTTAGTAACTAAAATCATTAATTTTGAATTATACACGTATATCAAAAATATATTTTTCATACAAAATAAAAACATAAAAAATTTTTAAAAATTATTGCATACACTATAATGTGGTTTGAAAAACCAGTTGTACACTCTCTTCGTTGATTAAATTTTAGAAAACTATAATGCTAAATAATACTGTTAATACATCTCAAACTTTTAACAAATATTTATATTATACGGTAATATGAACGGAAAAGTTAGAATTATGTTTTCATAATAAATCATTTTGAATTAATATTAGTGGACGGGTTAAAATTATATTTTATAATCATAATTAATTTTAATAGTATAAAAATATATCTAAACACAAAAATCAATATTTTCACTTATTAAAAAATATATTTATAAAAATAATTATATCTAAACTCAAAAAACATAAATTATATTACAAAATTCGTTAAACAATAAAAAATATTCCCGTGCGATGCACGGAGTTAGAATCTAGTTAGTTTTTATTTTAATCTACATTCCCCTCTATTTTCAGCTGCACCCTATATCTTTGTTGGAGTAATTTCTTTATCTTTTTTTTTCTAAATTACTACTTCGTCTTGTATATACTATAGACAATAGTATATGTAATTAGGAAAACAAAATCTCAAGCAAGGTTTATTTATATAGAAGTGATTAATTACGGATTTATTATCATGCTAACATGTAACATCCATTTTTAAAAAATTCAAATGAAACAAGAGGATAATCGCATCGACTCCTTGCGTGTAAACTATTCATGTAGTATACATATATATATATATATATATATATATATATATATATTCTGTTAACGTAAACTATATTTAGAACACGTTATATATGTATGTAATCATGTAAAACACACGTACGAAACTAATTAAATTAAGAACCCTTATTACAAAAAAAAACTTATTAAATTAAGACAATCTAATACGTCTGCTAACGGTGACCAAAGAAAAAGTTTACTGAAAAGCGCCGTCGTAAAAAAATAAAATTGTTCGTTGGAAGGACAAAAATGAAATAGCCACAATCACAAGCTAAATTCTTCATTTGACGGAAAACATATAAAGAATATTATGGTCCAATTTTAAGCCGTGGGGAGACTGGAGACATCATAAAAAGAGGGTCGTTGGACAGCCGTTGTTGGACAGCCGTTGTTGGACACATTATCAAGAAATATTTTTATGGCCATATTATAATATGGTATTATAATAGACATCATAACATTAATTAATGTTTATCAAGAAAAAGCCGTGGGGAGATGGTAGACATCATAACATTAATTAATGTATGTTTAACATAAAACTTAAAGGTATAAATGCCACATTGAATGGTCTTCACTATCCAATGGCTTTTCCGTTTTGCTAACTAACACGGTAACGGGACACTGCATGGATACTGATTCTTAATACATAAGTCCTCAGTAAATGCGCTATTAAAAACATTAAAACACATTGATTATTAGTAATTTAGTTAATGTTATAATAAAATTTGATAGATATTATTTACTTTGATAGTCTCATAATCTGGAGTGAAAAAGGGCAAGCCCAGCTCCCAACTCCAATATGATGAAACTGTAATTTCTTCGTCTAAGGTACGCAGACTCTTTCCCGAAGCAATGTATACGTGAGGATCTTCTTGTTGTGATGGTGTATAATCTGGTGGAGACGGCATTCTGCAACCTTCGTATGACTAATATCTTTCTAAAGGCAATACTTTTTCTCTCTAAAAGCAATCTTTTTATTTTATCGTCTTTGATGGGAGTATAGTTTGACTTGTCACAAATTGCTCCATAAAAGAGAGCATAGAACTCACCAAATCACTTAAAAACAAAGAACTCAAAGCACTTGTATCCTACATACATCCCATGCACATGTTTTTTCAATACAAAGCTAAATATGTAAAACTATGTTAAGATGATATGACAAGCATAATCCTTTATAACTAAGAAAGAATACTTTGTATAATTTGTGTCATCTCCTCAATGTGATTATTAGGTTAGATATTACAATAGCCCAACATGTACTTACAAAAAGAAAATGAAATAAGGTATATCAAAATTACATTGGTCAGTAATTGTGCACTTAGTTTTGTAAGGCTATGTAATTGTAGGATCATATACGATTCTATATGGTGGATTGTTTCCCTACTTATTCAAAGATAAGTATGATTATCCATACAACGTCGGCCTTCTTGGTATATTGGGACTTCACTATTACAATATTCAAAAGATAATTTAATCTAATCCAATATTTAATCTTTCTTTTATGTTTTGAATGGAGGGAACTGTTGTTTTACATATGATATTATATTTTACCATTTTACATCTTATAGGGAACTAATCTCAAAGTGATTGCTATAAACAAAAACAATTCTGAGATGGTTGGGGTGGTTTCTCTAAATTACAAAACGTTGGAGGTCATGGATACATCCAACAACTTTCCTTGCAATTTTCAAACTTGTGTTTCCCAAGATATGGTTCCACATAAGGCATCCCTAATAATGCAGACCGAACTTTCCAGACTAAAAGGTGAGTGGAATTTGTATTGTGTTGTCCCCTAACTTGCTATAGTCTAGAATCTTTTTAAAAAAAAAATTGGAAATGAACAAGGTAATCATACAAACTAAAAAGAACAGAAAGGAGTTGCCGCATATGAAGCTGAAGGCGAGCAATGCTATCTTCTACATGAGTTTTAAGGGCAACGGTGACCCGATGGGTATCCGTGTCGAGTACCAAATGATTGTAGGAGAACCATGGATGGGATGCCTGGACACATTTGTCTAGAAGTTGATTCTCGGACCTACAAATCCAACTTAATAAAGATATTTCCTCAAGGTCTACTACGATTATGTGTTTATCTCTGTTAACTTAATCAACTTTATTTTAGAATGCAGTGAGGTTTATCGCTGTTTCACAGTAGCACTAATAGTAAGTAGCACAATAGATGATGCTTTTATGTGTAGCTTTCCTTCCGAGTATGACACCTTGTTTAAAATATTAACTTATCTGAATGCTTGCTTTTAGTCAAATTAGTTATATTTTTTTTTAGATATATAATTTTTGTAATAAGTGACAAAATTTTATTTTTGTATTTAGATATATTTTTTTTTTAATTTTTTCTAATATTATTATGAGTATGATCACAAAAACGTAATTTTAATCCGGTCATTTTATTAATTAAAAAATAATTGTTATTATAAAAACATATTCCTAATTCACTCATTCTATTAATCCAAAAATAACCGTGGTTATAAAACCATAATTCTAACATGTCCGTTCATATCACTATATTATATAAATATTTGTTAATTTTAAAATAATTTTTATCTTGATATCTTGCATATTTTGATAATCCAACCCGCATAAGACCAAAATTATTTAAAAAAATCTAATATGTCCCATCAAATTACCATATAATTTTAATATTTATTATTTTTAATATACGTAATTTTAGTTTGATTAAATATAATTAAAAATAAATATAATAACATATTTATCAATCATATTATTGATATGTATTATTCTGAAAATATTATTTAAATTTCAAATGTCAAACTAAATCTAACATATATTTAAAGAAGTCTAAAGTAATTTAAATCAAAATTTATTTTTCGAAATTAAAGTTATTGATAGAAAAAATTAAATAGTTTAAATTTTAAATTAAATACAACCTATATTTAAGGAAATATTTAGTTATCTAAATAAAAATCTTAATTTTTGGAATTAAATGTATATATAAAATAAATTGTATTTTTAAATAATTTTGGAATAAATTGAAATAATTTTAAAATTATTTCTAATATATATTTTTTTAAAAACTTTAGGAGTGTTTAGAAGCAAGTACTAAAAATACTTCTGTTTTAATATATATATTATATTATTTGCTATGATGTCATAGTTTCTTCACATGCATATATGATTAATACAAAGCTTTTTTTCGTTTGAATGGAAATTTAAAAATCAAGTTTGTTGGAAGACCACTACAAAGAAAGAGAGGAAATTGTCAAAACGAAATTTTGATTACATCATTTCAATTGTATAAACTCAATCTTATGTTGTCGATTCACATTTATTTAGGACCATATGATGCCAATAGTATAACGTTACTATTAAGTATTTTTGGGCATCTATTCTAGTTTTATCTCTTATATCCAACTATTTTCAAGTAGTCGGGACTAGAAAATATATAGGCGCCTATCTTTATTGCATCTTTCAATAATTTACTAGACAGTAGACATCATAACACTTATTAATGTTTAACAAAAAAAACTAAAATGTATTAAGGCCAAAATGATTGCTCTTGTTAGAATTCCAATTTATCTAGGAGAAGACCTTATGTCCAATGATGGCCTACGGATGCTTATTGGTTCAAGACAGAATATATCACCGTTTTTTGTGAACAAGTAGTCTAATCTGTCCAAGAAAAAGCAATAGGATGTGTCTCTAATGAGGAATTCAATCAGGCAGGAAGATGTCAATGTCGTTTGACCGCATTGCAATGAATGATTTGGAGCCGTATTGGTTGGCATATTCACTGATGATGGAGAGAAAATACAGTTAAATAAGGGTGTTGGTGGATGCATTTGCAAGAGGTCCAGAATTGTTGATCATAACAATCAAAGCAAGTTATCTCTTAAATAAAGAAACTGGAGACTATCAAAGCTTCCTCCGTAGGTGCCTGTATCACACAGAGGTTGTTGAGAACAAGAGGTACGTAGTCAAAGTGACGGGCTCTGCATCAGGTGCAATCAAGAAGAGGAGTCGATATATATGCCACATTCTGCTTCTCCTGCTACAGAAGGCCAAGAACCTCGTATGTGCTCTGCAATCAATGTTGTGCCAAGGATATACAGAGATTGTCTTTGAAGTTAAGATGATCCAGGATGAAGCAAGAAAGAAATACTAGTATTAAACTTAAGATCAGGGTTTGGGATAGCAAGCAAGTCTGCTTTCTTTTCTTTCTCTCTTACGTCTTAAGACAAGAGGCCAATGTGTGTACATATATACAGACGAATTGTATTGCAAAGATTGCTCTCTCGCGTCTTAAGAATTAAAGATAAGGCCAATGTGTGTACATACAGACAAATTGTATTGCAAAGTATAGTGTGCCTTATTCATCTGAAAGGCTTTTTATAAAATGGAAAATTGAATTAAAACTTCCCTGAAAATTCCTTTTTTTTTTCAATACAATTTACCATTCCTGAATAAGAAAAAAATTCCTTTTTTTCCCTCTTAATACAAATTCTTTTTGTATGATCGCTCTTTAGCCGGTTTTTCAGTAATTTCCAGAGATTAGGTTTTAGGGCAAAATTGGGGGAGAATGTTTAAGCCTGAGATCGTGGTTCGAAGGAATGGCAATGAACCGCCACGGAAACGCTCGTCTGCCGTTGTTCCAGAGCCTGAGCATGATGACGATTACGTTGATCCTGCCGCCGAGGAGAAATACTATCGGTAATATCTAGAGTCCGATGTAATCTCTCCATCTCTCTTCTCTTTTATCTTCAAATATTGGTATCTTAATTACTTTTCAGTTCGATTATATATATAAATTAGCTCTCTTAGACTTTGTGGTTGGCTTTGACTGATCTTTGAATACAATCATCTTCTATTGCTCAATCTTCTTCTACAATTGTGACAGGGTTTCGATGTTGATTACTGTCCTCTTCCATATGGTGGGTTGCTTCCCTGTGTATTCAAAGATAAGTATGATTATCCATTCGACATCGGCCTTCTTGGTAGATTGGGACTTCACTGTTACAATATTCAGAAGGTAATCTAATATAATCCAATATTTAATCTTTCTTTTATGTTTTGAATTGATGGAAACTTTTGTTATACATCTGATATTTACATTTTACGTACATCTTATAGGGAACTAACCTCAAATTGATTGCTATAAACAAAAATAATACTGAGATGCTTGGGGCGGTTTCACTGAATTACATAACGTTGGAGTCCATGGACACATCCAACAATTTTCCTTACAATTTTCAGACTTGTGTTTCCCTAAATATGGTTTCGGAAGAGGCATTCCTAATGGTATAGACCGAACTTTCCAGACTAAAAGGTGAGTAGAGTTTGTATTGTGCTGTCCTCTAACTTGCTATAGTCTAGACACTTTTTTTTTGTTTTGTTTAACCCGTTGGAAGTTCTTGTTATCAGTTCCTACTGGCTGCGCTTGGGCTACTCCTGTTTTCTTGGAGAGGGCATGGAAAGACAACGCAGTAGATGCATTTTACAAAGGTAAAATGCCCAGCTGGATTACAAATGATAAGCTGGCTGCAGCCGGCGAGAAAGGTCAATTTTACGAGGTATTTTTGTGTTTGAATTTGCTTCATCTGGTTTTACTTTGGTTTTTTGATATATGTTATGGTATCTGATTCATGTCACGTTGTGGAATTGTATTTATCACAGCAGCAAAAAGCAGACTTGCAAGAAAATGATTGGCTTCATCTATATGCCGAGTTTGCTAAGTTTGCTTTTAACTTGAAGAGGATTGGATCTGAGGTATGATCTTTACTCCAATGGCTTCATTGGTTATGATTTAATATACATATTTTTGTGTGTTTTTCTTATCAAACTTTACTTTGTGTTTTTCAGAATCGACTGAAGCAATTTCCGCCACTGGAGATGAAGAAGGTAATCATACAAACTGAAAAAAGTGGAGAGGAGTTGCCGCGTATGAAGCTGAAGGCGAACAATGCCATCTTCTACATGAGTTTCAAGGGCAATGGTGACCCGATGGGTATCCCTATCGAGTACCAAGCGATTGTAAGGAGAACCATGGATGGGATGCCTAGACACATTTGTCTAGAAATTGACCGTCTGACTTACAAATCCAACTGAATGGAGATATTTCCTCAAGTCCTGCTACAATTATGTGTTTATTTTTGTTAACTTAATCAACTTTCACCAGGATGCAATGGGGTTTATCGCTGACAGTAGCACTAGTAGTAAGCAGCACAATGTGATGGATGATGCTCTTATGTATAGCTCTCATATGACCCCTTGTTTAAAACTTCTTATTTCTTGCTTTTAGTAGTAATTATATTATTTGCTATGATGTCATAGTTTCTCACAAGCATTTTGGAACCAAAACAAGATTAATAAAAAGTTTTTTTTCTTCGTTTGAATGGAAATTTAAAAATATTCAGGCGCCCATCTTATTGCATCTTTATAAATGCACAGACATGTGTTTCCTTGAAACTTCTTGAAGCAATTATGAAAATTCTGTTGGTAGATGTGAATAGTTATGGACTAGTTTAAGCCCACATGATAGTTGGATTTTAAAGAATTTGGGCCCAGTTTACACTCATGCATTATCCTCAGAAATTCACATTTATCTACGGTCTAAATATAATTATTGAATGAAATTCTTATTACGATGATAGTACATGCTTACAGTCTATGTGTATGTAAAGATTCAAATGAACTTGAATAAATAAGAAATAGGAAAATACACAAGATTCACATGGACAAACTCGTAACCAAAAATTATAATTAAAAAAATTATTATGATGGAAAAAGAATTGGTCCGTACTTGTCCTAGCCTGAGTCCCAGTCGCTGCAACTCCTCAGGAGCCACGCCGCGAAGCTAGGGTTTTTTTTCTTCTTCTGATCGTCTCTTTCCCGGTTTCAGGTCTCAGCTTTGATTTCGATTTTTGGCTGTTTTGTTTGTTTTAGCGCAATAGCTTTTCTTCAGCTTCTTTGTGATCGAAATCATCGCTCTAATTTCAGCTGATTTGGCGCTCCTGCTGTGTAGTTAGTGTTCTGGGTTTCATCTGATCGCATCTAGATATGAAATTATCGATGATTTCGATCTCTAGAGTTTGGAAATTTGGGGTTTCTGATAGTATTTCTGAAGCTCGTTAGCTGATAGATCTGCATATTGTATTCTTATTAATCGTTAGTAGAGTGTGTTTAGAGTTGCTAGATCTCTGTCTCTCCTCTGGTTTCTTCTAGTTCTGCAATTTAATATTTTTAGCTGAGAGTGAGTGTCTTTTTCCATAAACGAATCGAAAAGGCCTTTCCTTTTTGGTTTGTTTCCTTTTTAGTTTTGATCTTCAAAAGGGAAATGATGATGAATGGGAGTTTCAAAACTTAAGTTGTAAAAATGGCTTTGTCTTTTGTTTTGCTGTCACAGAACTCTAACGTACTGGTAGAAAGCAAGAAGGTGGTTCTGTGGAATTGCTGCACTCTTCTTTCAATGGTTTCTTAGGTATGTTTCTGAGTGTTTTGGTAGCTTTGACATAAAGATCAGATGTTTATGTAGCCATCTGTGATTCTCATTGTTAGCTTTGGATAACGGGTCCTTTTGTGCCATGATTCTCAGATGATGAACAAGATTGTTGAGGATATTGTACAGATCCTTTGAGCAGCTTTGAAACACCCTAATTTTTTTTCAAAAATGGAGGATGATAATGGGCTCGAGCTCAGCTTGGGTCTTTCTTGTGGAGGATCATCAGGAAAAGCTAAGGGTAACAACCCCAATAATGGTGGAAGCTCCTCGGAGAACCACAAGGTAGAAGGAGGCGATAGAAGCGCTAAAGTGATTGATGACTTCAAGAACTTCCTTCATCCTACTTCTCAAAGACCAGCTGAGCCGAGTTCTGGTTCTCAGAGAAGCGATTCGGTTCAACAACCTCCACAGAATTTCTTCAATGACCTATCCAAAGCTCCTGCCACTGACGCCGAAGCTTCCACGAAACCTTTGTGGGTGGATGATGAGACACGGAAAGAAGCAGGAAACAAAAGGAAGTTTGGGTTTCCAGGGATGAACGATGAAAAGAAGAAAGACAAGGACTCGTCACATGTTGATCTTCAGGACAAAAAAACAAAAGCTTCCCATGTTTCAACCGCCACAGATGAAGGATCAACAGCTGAAAACGAAGACGTAGCGGAATCTGAAGTAGGAGGAGTTTCTTCTTTAAACCTCGCAAAGGACGACGTGACTCGACCTACAACTGATACAAACGTTGTAAACAACTTAGCCGGTCAAAGAAAGAACAGCCATGGCGGATCTGGCGCTGAAGAGTTCACTACAATCCGCAGCATGAGTTACACCGTACCTTTCACAGTTCATCCACAAAATGTCGTCACTAGTTTACCTTACTCTTTACCGGCAAAAGACTCTGGACAACACGCAGCAGCTACAAGTCTGATGCAGCCTACTGTTAACGCTGGGAATCTCCCACTTATGTTCGGATACTCACCAGTTCAGCTCCCTATGCTGGATAAGGACGGTTCAGGCGGCATTGTCGCCTTTTCTCAACCTCCATTCACCGGAAGAGGCCCATCAAACACGTGTAAGCAAACCTTTCCCTTAAAAACGGTGTAGGATCCTTCCTTACTTGCAAAGATGTTAACTTGTTTATGTCTCTTAAAAAGCTACCACGAAAGGTGAGGGAAAACAACCTGTTGCAGAAGAAGCCTCATCTGAGGATGCATCTGAACGACCAACAGGAGACAACAACAACAACAACAACAACAGTAACGCTTTGTCTTTCGACTTTTCTGCCATAAAACCTGGAATGGCGGCGGATGTGAAGTTTGGAGGATCTGGGGCACGACCAAACCTACCGTGGGTCTCAACCACTGGTTCAGGTCCGCATGGTCGAACAATCTCAGGTGTCACATACCGGTACAACGCAAACCAGATCAAAATCGTATGTGCTTGCCATGGCTCACATATGTCGCCGGAGGAGTTTGTCCGGCATGCAAGTGAGGAGTATGTTAGCCCGGAAGCATCCATTGGAATGACTGCCGCGTCAGCTCACACCTGAAAAAGTCGCTCGGAGAAAAAAGGTGTTAAATCTTGTAAACAAAACGGAAGGGTTTGTAATGAGTTTCTTTTGGGAACATACATTTTTTTTTTCTATGTTTACTTGCTCGGATCAAACTCAAGCCAAAGTTTTTAATGCGAGCTTTTCCACTGTGTTGTAATCTCTCTGCTTATTTTGTTCCTCATTTCAACTCTATATATCTCTTCGCTTTTGTGTAATAGTAGTTTTGTAGTCCGCTCCTTTTTTTTTTGGTTGAAAGCAAATAATGATTTTGATCACTTTCTTTATTTAGTCTGCGATTTGGATTAATATTTTAAGAAATTGGCCTAATATCTAGAGGCCTAGTCGAAACCACAAGAACAAATGTCAAATAAAATGTGACTACTATATAAAACAACAACAAAACTTCATTTACTATTTGATTTAGTCGAGAAGATACGATTCAGACCGAAAAGAAGAAAGTCCATATATTAATTAGTTTTAAAAAAGTGATTCTATTATATACATCAAACTCTCTATCAATGTATCATTATACAAATGCTTAATCTTTTCTTTTGTTGTCAACGCAAATGCTTGATCATGCATGAGACCGAAATAGCAATTAATTTACTCATAGAAACAAATTTAAGATTACTTCGTGAAATAATTGAAAGACTAAAATAATACTGCATCGAAGCCATCACTCAATCATGAAAAATGCAAACTTTGACTTTTCTTTTTCCTACCGGAATTATGTGCAACTGGTCGTTGACTTATTATACTTCCGGCTAGTGCAGTAAAAATATTTACAATTTATTTTGAGTTCATTACCATTTAATTTGTCATCGAACCATAACTATTTCGAGAACCAAATCAAAAAGATCAGTCTAAAGAACCAAATGTGTGGATGCAAATTGTAATTATTTATTTATAATGACAAACAAGTTCCGATTATTATATAGTCGTAAATATGATAAAAATGAGGTCAGAAAATAACAGCTCAACAAAAGGTGATTTGTTTTTTAGTTAATGGAGAGAATAGTAGAAGACAATGAGAAAGCCATAGCATAAAAGAATGTTGTCACGTAGATGACGTAAATTTATTTATTTATATTTACATAAAAGAAAGATCCATATCTTCAACATAATTTCATTTTTCTCCATTTTCTTCTCCAATAAAAATAATTCAAACAAAAAAAAAAACATTTGCAGAAAACCAAGAAGCAAGAACAAAGTTCCTCTCGAATTGAAGATCTTCATCTTCTTGTTCCGATGTATCAATTTTTTTTCTTCTCTCTTACGATCTTCCACAGTTATAACTATGTCTCTGCTCAGCCTCCTCCTCCGTTCAGAAACGGCGGCATAGTCGAGAATTTCGAGCCGAGTTTAGCCGTCGTCACCGGAGTTCTCGCCATCATGTTCATGCTCACTTTCGTCCTTCTCGTCTACGCTAAGTGTTGCCACATCGATCTCCGATCAGGTACAGTCGAAGGAAGACGGCAAGATCGCCGGCTCCGACAAGGAATATTCTTCAACCGGTCAAGTAACTCGTCTGAGGATCGATTCTCCGGTTTAGACAAAACAGCAATCGAGTCACTTCCTCTGTTTAGATTCTGCGCTTTGAAAGGATCAAAACAAGGGCTTGAGTGTTCTGTTTGTCTATCTAAATTCGAAAACGTCGAGATTCTAAGATTGTTGCCTAAATGTCGTCACGCTTTCCACATCGGATGTATCGATCAGTGGCTTGAGCAACACGCAACTTGTCCTCTCTGCAGAGACAGAGTCTCAATCGAAGACGAATCCTCTGTTTATGGAAACAGTTTCCGGTTCTTGAATCAATCTGAGATAAGAGAAGATTCAAGCTTGGAACTTTACATCGAGAGAGAAGAAGAGGAGGAAGAGGAAAGAAGAAGAGAGAGAGAGGAAATTGGTGGGTCGTCGAGATTCAGCATCGGAGGTAGTTTCCGTAAGATTCTGAGATTAGGTGATAAAGAAAAACCGTTACTTGATCGACACGGGATCGAAAAAGAAGAGAAGAAGCTGATGCGTAAGTTCAATCACAGGATCGTTGTGTCGGATGTTGTGTTTAAGAATCGTTGGAGCAACGTGAGTTCGTCGGATTTGATGTTTTTGAATTCGGAGATGGTTAATTCGATTTCTACCGAGAGATTCTCGTCGATGGATCGAGTGAAGAGAGGGGATGAAGAGGATCAAAGTGTTATCTTGCGGATCAAGGAAGAGATGGATGGGAAGAGAATGTTGGAGCACAAGTTGACTTCGATGAATACTATGTTGTTGTCGGAAAACAGAGACTCTGGTTCGAAATCTAGAAGCGTTATGATCGAGCCAGGAAGAAGATCGGTCTCTGAGATCACTGCGGTTCCTAGACTCAGTATTGCGGTTCATGGAGATTGCAGCGGTTCAACCGCAGCGACTGCGTCTGCGTTAGAAAACGAAGGAAATGAGACGGAGGAGAGAAGACGGCGTTTGTGGCTGCCGATCGCTAGAAAAACAGCTCAGTGGTTTGCTAACAGAGAAAAAAGAAATCAAATTAAAACTACACACCAACATTTCGATGTATAGTTTCTTTCTTTTTATTCAAGAATTACAATATTTTTTTACAGAGTTACGATTATATTAAAATTACACAGGTTGGTTAGGTCAAAAGAAGATGATTTGTTGTATAAGATGGGTTTATATATAAACAAAGTTTTGACTCATAATATACTAATTGACTGAATTATTGCTGCAGAGTTTTGTTTTAGTATTATACTAAAAGAAAATATATATGACAATAATTGTTTCCATTAAATGGAACATGTCAGCTTGCCTGGTTACAGAAACAACCACGCTGATTTAAATTTTATAGGCCTGCATCATAAACTTTTTTTTTGTCAACGACTGCGTCAGAAATAGATATAACCTCTAATATACACACACACATTGCTTATAAGTCTATTTATAAGAACACGAACTTAAAATAATCAAACCCTTGGTTTTGTCTCTTGATAATTGTGTTCTTCTGTTTAGACTAACATTACTAACTCATGTATTTGATTTCAAAATACATATTAGTAGGTCAACTAACTGCTAATAATGTTATTTTATTAAAACTGAATGCACAGAAACCCTGCATCTAGGTTATAAATAAGCAATTAGTTTGTCACTTTCCAATAATATGAAACCTAATCCCATTTTTAAGCATTTTCCTTTTAATTGCTCTTATTTCTTTTTCCAGTTGCCAATTATAATATTATATCACCATTCAATATATGATATATAATTATTTGATGTAGGAATCTGACTCCTCTGATTTTGTCTTTTATAAATATGCCACTAAACTTAAAATAGACGTATATTTCTTCCTGCATATATATGCACATAATATGCTATCTAAAAGTCCTTATAATAAATGAAAAACCTTTTCTTTTCACTTTAATATCTTTTTAAGTTTAAACTATTGTAACGAGGGACACAAAGAACCTGGGATGCCTTGAGTGCAGCACCATCCGGGAACCTTTTTAATGTTGTATGATGTGATATTTCATCTAAAATCTTATAAAATAATAGGGGTATATGTATATTCAACATAATTACGTGGTTATCTCATTTCGACATTGAGAATCATGAACATATATGTTGGCCAAGTGGGTTTGCAATGTGTAGATGCATATTGCAAAACATTTCATTTAGTCTATTATTTCATGCTTGTTCCTTAGCACACTCTTGAACTTTATTAGAAAAAAAAACATGTATACTCTTCAGTCTTGGACTACCGAAATATTTATATGGTCGTTATAAAATTCAAGACTAATTAATCTGAAATTCCTTTGACGGAATTCATTTATCCATAACTTTTGTAAAACATTTTTGATTATGATTGAGACTATTCTCGTTTTTTATTTTTATTATTAAAAAAGAGATTTGAGAACATTATATAGATGGAAACAATTCAAAGAGCATATATACGAAATAGGTAAATGAGGCCAAAGATTGCTGTTATGTAAAAAGGAAGTCATTGCATCATATCATGTGGTCCATTTTACGCCGATTATGAATGGACATGCAATTAATTTTGTATATATTATTCAATTGAACCTTTCGAAATAATAAAATATAATCGTATTTCTATATATTATAATTGTATTAGGTCGAATATGGACCCATTCTTCGGATTTAGGAAAATAGAGTTTTACCCCTCTCTTTTGTAGAAGTGTGTAATCTAGGTTTTTCGATTTTTAAATCTAAAAAATAAACATCTAAAAAAGTAACTTAGAATGTATAGCTTGATTCAACTAGGTTAATGACTTAATGTACATTGCTAATGACTTAATGTACATTGTTCATGTAAATTCAGTTATGTTTTAATATTTTTTGTGGTTCGGTCTAGATTAAGCATATGTATACAAAAAGTATAAATATTTGTTCAAAGAATATATTTTGAAAGAGTTTCATAGCAATCAAATCATCATGAAATTGGTTCATATAGTAAATACTTTACAAATTTTTTTAAAGTTGGTTTCATAAAAATCAAATCATCATGAACGAAACATACAACAAAAGTACTTTTTTCGTTACACAGTTGGGATCCTCTCTTATGCGCTAAAGATATTGTTTCCATTGAAGTTGTCGGATACAAGATTCGAACTTTAGACTGGCTTCAGGAGCTCTCTAGTATTTGTTCTTTTCCAGTTAAACGGCTCAGTCCTTAGCTCTGTGGTTCTTCAATCCCATGTTGTCTCTCAACATCTTTCCTCAGAAACCTATGGGAAACAAAAGAAGAATAGAAAAGTGTGCGCTCTCGTAAGCCTTTTGAAGAACATCTCCAAGGTCAAGATTGGCTCTGGATATCTGCAAAGAATGTTACTATCCATTAACATATATTCAAGCAGCAGCACAAGGTTATGCCTATTTGGGAAACTTACACAGAGTGAGTAGCTAAGAAATGATATATATAGATGGATCACATAACAAGATTATACATCCGGTGTAATAATTATACAAAAAGTTGGGGAAAAATCTTGAATGTAAAAGCAAACATACAGTACTTCATGCCTTGTGTGTGTAACACAAATGCTTTCATGGAAAAACTCCATCCTTTACAGCTTCAACGAACGCCTTCGAGGGCACACACACATCTGGCAGAATTTACATAGAACCATTGCATTTTTTCCCTCTGCAACTACAGCAGAAATCAGAACTTGGTGTCACTAACACCTCCCAAAGGGCATGACTCACATTAATAGCGCACAATCTAGCTCACCATTTCAACTACATTTTCTTTGCATCATTTATCTGGAGACATGAATGACGAAGTCCAGCCGCCGGGTCTATTCCCAATCCCATACCCAGAATTTGAGGTTTCGGGAGGGAAACCTGACTTTCCATCATTTCTTTTTGAGGTACCCGCAGGAGATAGTGAAGTGGATGGCATGTTCATCATCTGCAATGCGGTTTTCATCAAAAATAAGGGGTCATTATGAGAATCAGTATCATGCTTGAATAATTCAATGGTTCATGAAAATTGACGATGCAAAACGTGCTAAAGCTATTGTTCTGACGCAACACAATTGCAGGCATGACAAGCTAACACAAGCCGCGAGTTGCAGAAAACAATAGTTCTTTGGAAAAGGTAACTTTATGAATACGTACATTCTTGTGGCCGGGGTGATCAAAACCCAGTGTCCTCCCTGTAGCAGTATTATTATTGATCTGTGGGCTTGGACCAATGGCATTACCCGATCTGACGCGCTCAGAGGCCTCGGCTTCATAAGAAATATTTGGTCCTCCTGCAAAACAGAGCATCAATAAAACAGAGATTTTGAAACAATTGCTACAAGAAACAAATCAAGCGATTAACTGGAGCTGACCCCGATGATTGCTTGTGTCCACTGGCATTGCACGAGCATTGCTAGACCCAGGAACTGCCTGCAGTACAAAGAACATATTTTTGTTAGAAAGTAAAACGAAATGTGGCACAGGAGCAAACCTTATCGTTAAGGAACCATTTCCTAAACTGAAGACTGATTTCTCGTTTTCTATACTAGATTAATAAACCATACCTGAGACTGATTTCTAGTTTTCTGTGCTTGTTGATACTTTATTATAGTCCAGTCAAATATATAGTCGAACTCATATCCTGCACAGAGGAAAACATTAGTTGATGGAGGTCTGTAACTTATGCTGGTGAATGCCTATAAAGAAGATATATAGTGTTTCTTCAAGTACCTTCCCGCGAAAACAAATCACGAAAAAGCCGCTTCAAGAATCCATAATCAGGGCGCTGATCAAACGTCAGTGTGTGGCAGTAATGAAAATAGGAAGCAAACTCCACAGGGTGATTTTTGCATAGAACCTGCAATGGATGGGATATGGATACTAAGTCGAATGAGGATTAACAACAACAAAAAAAATCCGTCGCACACACTAGAGGGAAAGAGACCTCAATCGGAGTTGATATCTTCTTCTCACAAATTTTGTCATATTTTTGCTTCTTGTCAACAGCCTTGAGACCCTGCCATGGAAGACTAGAAAAAGAGGTTCATGAAAATAGGACACAATGTATAAAGCAAGAAAAAAGGTTGTAAACCTCTAAAAAAGACAACACACCTTCCTCTTAGGAAATACAGAAGCACATATCCAAGTGATTCTAGGTCATCCCGTCGACTTTGCTCTGTGAAAGAGAAACCAAAATTTATGAGCGTAAACGATCTACTATACATAAGGAGAATAAATGGCAGCAATCCTTACCAATTCCAAGATGTGTGTTGCAACTTGCATAGCGTGCAGTCCCTGTTAAATTTTTGTTTTCCCTGAATATAGTCAAGTAAAGGCCATAAGTTGTATAAAGTGACCTTAAACTTAAAACTTTATCATCTGCAGAGCGAACACAAGGTAGAAACAATCTATGAACCATGGCCACAAATACCTGTAAGGGATGTGGCGGTTGGTGTTGGCATCACGATATCTTTTGGCAAGTCCAAAGTCAATTAGATAGACCTGATAACTGAAACTGATCAATGATACCATCCCTTATCATTTGATGCAGACAAGAAATTTCAGAAAGTTACCTGATTCGCTTTCCGACCTAGGCCCATGAGGAAATTATCAGGTTTTATATCTCTATGCAGATATCCTTTGGAGTGTACATATTCTATCCTCGTTAGCTGTAACAGTAGAATATTATTAGATGATCAATGTAGCCGTCAAGAGAACAGCTTAGTATGTAAATAGCATAAAGAACAAGACTTGACCCTGGGAAATCCATACCATCTGATCAGCCAGCAGCAAAACCGTCTTTGGTGAGAATTTCCTCCCACAATACACGAACAGATCTTCGAGACTTGGCCCTAGCAAATCCATCACTAAAGCATTTTCTGTTCCGTCCACTCCAAACCATCTTATGCGCGGAATTCCACCTGCAAACCACAAACACGTAGCCCAAAAAATTAGTTTAGACGATGTAATCATCTAACTCTTCGAAATGATCGGTCTCACTAAAGCCTTTTATCGATAAAGAAGTGGATAATCCATCCAATGTCCAATGCAACCAACGATTATGGAATGAGAAACAAAGATAGAGAATGAGAAGCATACTTCCTCCTTCAAGAATTCTGTAAAGCTTGGCTTCATAGAGAAGTTGGGGATGCTTCGTTTTACTGTTCTCCTGCAATACAATAAAAAAGATCGGGTTAATTACAATTGTCAGCTCGACGAAGAACATATCTCAGCTAAAAAAAGCTTTTCCAACTAGTCAATTTAGAGTTTAATCAATTGGGAGAAAATCAATTCAGATAGCATTAATTGAAGACTCAGACGAACCCAGAAAGATGATTAAAAGACTAAAAACAGGAGAGATCCAAATCAAATCCCCAGATAATGGATTTGTATAATAACCAAGGAGCTGAAACTTACGATCTTAACCGCTACGATCTCGAAAGAATCGACGTGTGTGGCTGCGAAGAAAACAAACACGAGGCGTAAAAATCATAAAAGCAAAGAGGAAAGGACGAGGGACAATAGGATTATTAGGAGGAGAAGACGAACCCAGGAAAATCTCTCCGAAAGAACCACCGCCGATCTTCCGTCCGAGCTTGTACTTGCCGCCGATGATGCGTTCCATGGCAGCTCCGATCAAAACCGAATCTGGATCATGCGCATAGATGATAAAGATAAGGATTTAGGGTTGAAAATTTGCAATCAGATGTAGTATATTAATATATTATTATTTTATTTTAATTTACATCTTTGCCATGGACCCGGAGCCATAGTGATCGTATATTAAAAAAAAAAATGGTACACCAAACCATTGCACCATTATGGGTCCAACAATCTTTTCTGTTGAACAGATGAATCACGAGGGCTTTTCTAGCATTTGTATAGAAAAAAAATTATTCATGTTTAATTTCATAAATCAAGTAATAAAAACAATCAAATTACACACCAAAAATAAAAAAAATTAATTACGCAAGATATTTTTTTGGGCATCATTTCCTCGGAGACATGAACGATGAAGTCCAGCAACCGGTTCTGTTCCCATTCCCAGAATTTGAGGTTTTGGGGATTGCCGCAGGAGATAATGAAGTGGATGGCATGTTCATCATCTGCAAACGAGGTTAAATCTTTTGTGAGACAACCATGAAGAACTCTGTAACCAACACAGTGAAATGCTAAGACAAGACACTTAAGACAGTTATTTGGAAGAAGTAAAGGCATGAGTGAGTACATACATTATTTTGGTGGGGGTGATCAAAACCCAGAGTCCTCCCTGTAGCAGTATTCTTATTTATCTGTGGGCTTGGACCAATGGCATTAGCCGATCTGACACGCTCAGAGACCTCGGCTTCATAAGAAATATTTGGTCCTCCTGCAAAACAGAGAGTTAGCATCAACACAACAGAGAAACTAAGTCAGCAAAACAATCTATGCCAGGCAGACTTTATTTCAGTCTTGGTTCGAGTTCAAGTATGGAAGTGGAGAAAAGAACACATCATCACCCGAAATACTATGTTAGTATTAACCAGCAAGTGACACAATCAAAATCGTTAACTAGAGCTGACCTCCACGATTGCCTGTGTCCATTGGATTTGCACGAGCATTGCTAGACCCAGGAACAGCCTGCAGTATACAAGACAATTTACCTGTTTTTGTTAGGAAAACATGCGTATCTACATTTACCACCAAAAGTAATACAAAAGGTAAAACCAGCAAAGCCAAGTAAAGCCTATCGTTAAGGAACTTTCTCTATGATGATGCATACATATAAGAAACTAGAACAAATGCTGATGATACACTCTATACCTGAGACTGATTTCTAGTTTTCTGTGCTTGCTGGTCCTTTATTATAGTCCAGTCAAATATATAGTCGAACTCATCCTGCAAAGAAGAAAACAGAGGGAGGTAAGTAATTGATGATGTCCTATCAGGTGAGGAAATCATAAAGATGATAGAGAGATGTTTTTCTTTTTTCAAGTACCTTCCCGTGAGAATAAATCACGAAAAAGCCGCTTCAAGAATCCATAATCAGGGCGCTGATCAAATGTCAGTGTGTGGCAGTAATGAAAATAGGAACCAAACTCCACAGGGTGATTTTTGCAAAGAACCTGCAAAGAACGGGATCTGGGTATTTAGTCTGAGGATTAAAAAAAAAATTGCAAAATTCCAACGCACACTAGAGGGAAAGAGACCTCAATCGGAGTTGATATCTTCCTCTCACAAATTCTGTCATATTTTTGCTTCTTGTCAACAGCTTTAAGGCCCTGCCATGGAAGACTAGAAAAAGAGGTTCAGGAAAATAGGACATAATGTATAAAGCAAGAAAAAGGTTGTAAACCTCTACAAAAAGCCAACACACCTTCCTCTTAGGAAATACAGAAGCACATATCCAAGAGATTCTAGGTCATCCCGTCGACTCTGCTCTGTGTAAGAGAGACCAAAATGTATGAGCAACGATGATCTACTTCACATAAAGGAGAAAAAATGACACAACTCCTTACCAATTCCAAGATGTGTATTGCAACTTGCATACCGTGCAGTTCCTGTTAAATACTTTTTTTCCCTGAATATAGCCAAATAAAGTCACTAAGTTGTATAGTGTGACCTTAAAAACTCATAAAGATAGATAACAGAACACAAGGTAGAAACGATATATGGACCATGCAACTCACAAATATACCTGTAAGGGATGTGGCGGTTGGTGTTGGCATCACGATATCTTTTGGCGAGTCCAAAATCAATTACATAAACCTGATAACTGAAACTTATCATATGTCAATCCTTTTTCAAAAAACAAAATCTGATGGAGAAGAGAAATTGCAGGAACATACCTGATTCGCTTTCCGGCCTAAGCCCATGAGGAAGTTATCAGGTTTTATGTCTCTATGCAGATATCCTTTTGAGTGTACATATTCTATTCTCGTTAGCTGTAACAGTAGAATGTTCAATGCATCACTCAAGAGAACAGCTTAGTATGTAAATAGCATAAAGAACAAGACTCATACCATCTGATCAGCCAACATCAAAACTGTCTTTAGTGAGAATTTCCTCCCACAATACACAAATAGATCTTCGAGACTTGGACCTAGCAAATCCATCACTAAAGCATTCTCTGTTCCATCCACTCCAAACCATCTTATGCGCGGAATTCCACCTGCAAACCGCAAAAACATAACCCAAAAAATTAGCTTCGACATGATTGATCTCACTCACTAATGCATCTTATGAACAAAACATTTTAGATATGAATTGCATGAAGAAGTGGATAATCCGTCTAATGACCAATGCAACCAACAATAATGGAATGAGAAAAAGAAAGATAAGAGAATGAGAAGCATACTTCCTCCTTCAAGAATTCTGTAAAGCTTGGCTTCATAGAGAAGTTGGGGATGCTTCGTTTTACTGTTCTCCTGCAAAACAAAAATGATCGAATCAAGAATAGTTGTTAGCTAAGGAGTACCATTTTAAGGAGCTTAAAGCTTGCCCGAATGATCAATATTAGAGTTTAATCAATTCAGAGAATGTCAATTCAGAGTCAAACACGAGCCAAATAACTTGATTAAGAATTAAAACAGAACATATTTAAATCAAATCCCCAGAATAGCTGATGAACTGAAACTTACGATTTTAACAGCAACGATCTCGAATGTATCAACATGTGTAGCTGCCAAAAAAAAAAAGGGAATGTCAATATGCATCAATTTGAAACCAAAGAAAAAAAAAAATCGAGAAACAATAACACAGACCCAGGAAAATCTCTCCGAAAGAGCCACCGCCGATCTTCCGTCCGAGCTTGTACTTGCCGCCGATAGTTCGTTCCATGGAAGCTCCGATCAAAGCCGAATCTGGATCAATTCATGCACAGAGATAGAGGAGATTTAGGGCTTTGAATTTCTTCGACAATTGAATTTTGCGAATAGACGAGACACGAGGTTTGTCTTTGGGTGACGTGGACACACCTATTATTGTCATGATTTGCTCTTTAGTCAACGCAATGTAATATCTACATATATAGTAATTTTATTTTAAGCTCAACAAGAAAAAGATAAAATAATAAATTTAAGTATTATATAAACAAAACTAGTGTATGTAGTTCGATATTAAAATGCAAATTATCAAAAATCTAAACTATTTTAAATATTACAATTTCTAATTTTTGAAAATTATAAAAAAAAGTTTTGACATAACAAAAAATTATAAGAAAATTTCTAATTGAAAGAGATAAATTTAAAATATCTATGTAAAATTATACGTTGTTACAGAAGTTTTTCTATGATAACGATACTTCTCTCAAAATGTAAAAGTATATGCGTTAGATTTGGAGATTTAGTCTCCTGTATTATGAGGGTTTTAACTTTTACATTAAAGTTTAACAGTAAAAGAGAAATCTTCTCTTTGTTTACGATAATTATTGAAAAATAATAGATGAATCAAATACACAATATTTCCCACAAAGAGAAACAAATTACGATCGAAATCAGAAAAAGGAATGAGTACCCAAAAAAAAAAAACTTTAATTAGAATTGCCTCTTTGAGCATTCAGAAGGCATAACACCTTTAAACCTGTTAGTGTCTTTGCAGTAATCATAGATCATGAAACCAGCTCGTATCTTTTGCATCCTTGCTAGTTGCGAACGAGTTAGCTGGCTAAACGATGGTGAAGTCCACCAATTAGACTTTATGGTTGGATCTGCGCATTGCTTGATGCTGACCGGTCCCTGCCACAAGCAAGCTCGTGCCTTGTACCTACGACCCTCGGCGACAAACGGTGCTTGTGTCCAGTTTGTCTTCACTCGACCTCCTTGTGTCGCCCAGTCGTCTGCGTTCCATAGACTCGCGAACACTTTCATACCTTGCTTGTTCGGGTATGCGATTCCTTCTTTCTCGTAGTTTCTAAACACTCTGATCGGAGTTCCATCCACGAACCACCTATAAGACCACCACATGTTTATTGTGTGGCAACAAACAAATAAGTTAACATTTTAGATTGTTATGTCTTGAGAATATGTGAAATATTCACAATGATTTTATAGGTTGTACGTGAGGATAAATCTTTGGTCTACATCTATAGCGTTCTTTAACCATGTATGCATATTTATATAGAAAAAATATAAACTCATTGAGATTATACTAAAACATAACATGCAGCAGTTTGGGATTCTTAAGAGTGTTTGGTTTTTAACGTTCATAAAAGTTCTTGAAAAGAAAACAAAATTTCCCAAGAAGTGTGTACTATAATGTTTTTTTAAATTAAACCAATCTATTTTTTTGTCTCTTTAAAACCTTAGTTATGCTTTTTATGAGGTACTTCATTGATAGGGAACATTTCTTAGCTTTGTTTAGCGTTTGTTTAAACTTAAGAGACGACCCTAATCATATTACTTACACAACTTCAGACGGATTCCAATGAATGGTATAGTTGTGGAAACCATTGGTCGGGTTGAACCATGGTCGGAATTGTTCCTCACGGTTTCCTTTCCCTTGAGCAAATATGTTGGTGTGGATCGTGTAAGGCTGACCAGTCGCATTCCCTAGGAACTCGAAGTCTATCTCATCGTGTGCACTTCCCGTAGACGATAACTAGCCAAAGAAAGATTATCCATCATCAAAATCACAAAAAGTACTAAACATAATCAAAAAATATAAAATGCCTTATTCTGTTATGTTAAAGATAAAAATTTACGTAATATGCTGCGACGGTTCCAGCAGAATTTCCTGGCACAAGTTTGATAAGCATTTCTACACTTCCGAACAAATGAGCCACCTTTGATCGAATAGCAGATCCTGGGATAAAATGCATGTTTATTTATCAATTTTCTCATAAATTATAGATTTATATATATTGATTGGTTTTGAAGTTAAGGTGTTATAATATTACAATACCTGCAGATTTGTCTAGGACAAGTCGAAGGTTGCCACCATTCATACCAATATGATGCTTACCCCATGTAATAATCATATTCTTGTCGAAGTTTGCCACCACAAATGTGCGATCTAAAATCGCTAACCCGACCACCAGAACGAATAGCGTTTGCGCTCGGAGATGGGCCATTTTACAAATTTGGTTGGTGTTTGAAACGTTTTGGATTGTGTTTCTATTCGATCACGTACCATCTGTTTGTGAGGGAAGGCTTTACTTATATATAACTTCTAAATATTTTGAAATTAATTTTGACGTACTCGAATAAGTATAATTAATATTTCTGACGTGCAGCGAATGAACTATGTATACATGAATTAGACAACTCAACGATTAAAATAATCAACTCTTCTATATAAAGAAAATGATAGACTAAAAAGGTACTCTGAATTTGCATTTTTCCCTTAAATTTTAATGACCACTATGTAGATTTTGATCAATATTATAAAAAAATTAAAATAAAAATGTGAACTTGGACGTTGTTAGCTCACGCGGCTGTGATAGCACCGATGAATAAACGTGCGGGAGACTACACTAATAGTGTCGATGAACTATATCTATAATTTTTTGTTCTTTCAATCATGTATGATCGGAGCTCAAGATTTGTTGCCTCGTTTCATAGGATTTTCGATATACTTTTTGTTTACAGCATTGGTTTGTCTTTTCTTATTGCTTTGGTTCTGTATTTAATTATAGCATTGGTTCCGTATGTGTATTCTCTTAACTTTTATTATAGCATTGGTTTAGACTTAAGAGTAATCAAACTCATAAAGGTCTCAAAGTTTAAGACATCATTAAAACGTGTTTTCAGGGTTTTTATGATATAAATAATCAAATCTAGTGATCAGTCAAGAATAACTTTCGGTGGGTGTTGGAACAGTATTGTAATGTTATTATATTCAGAATAAATCTCGATCAATGGTTAATAGACAAATATTGTACGAGAAAAAGTTTCATAATGAGTAAAAGATAATGTTGATCGCGTTTTTGTTAGTCTTGTTCCGAAATCATAATTAGATATATATTCAAAACTTTTAGTTTCCTTTTTTCATTTCTTGTTATTATTTATTCAATGCCACCAGTCACCATCAGTCCAAATTATTGCATCGTCGCTTTATATTTATTTTATACACATTAGACCGAAGACGCCAACCAATTAAAATATAGGTTCTTAATTAGTTTCTTACATATTAATTTTAATCTTAATCAGAAAAGCAATCGGTCAACATCTTTTTTTTTATGTCGTACCATTGTTGGCTCTTCTCACAACATATAATCATAAGAAAGTAGGAATAACATTTAAATTGATCCGAAATTACTTTATACCTAGATTTTGTTTTCTTGATTAGGATATATACTGATAGACGTATACTCACTGTCACTGATAATTTTACGAATATAGTTTTTTATATATTCTTGATTTATTCGAACATCTACCAAATACGATATACTTAGCCGTTACCCTCCTGCAGATTAGTCTTACCCTCGCTCATCAGCTCATGATCTATCTTTTTATTCAAAATTCCTTCTACTGCATTTGCATGGCTTAAGAATATACGGTGATGACTTTATGACTGCTTTGATTTATATAAAATCATGTAGATTTACAAGCATGCTCTTTAAGACAAAAGGAAAAGAAAAACATTTCTTGATATCAAATCCGATACCCAAAATCAAATCAAACCCTTACCTAGCTATATATTATTTGTTTCCCCTAATTTTCTTTGAATGTAAAAGAAATCCATGGTCTCCTTTCAATAATGTGACTTCATATCAAAGTGACAATCTCAACTCCAAATCTGGCTCAGTTGCGTCACTCGTTTCGAAGTTCTGAATACCTGATCCCAACGATTTATTTCTCGGATCCTATATTGATGGGGAAAAATCATTCAGAGAGATCCTTAAACATTATAAGATACAATTTTGAGACAATTAACACAAATGATCATGTCAAATCTTATCTACTAATCATTCAATCTCTTGACACATAATTATATATATAGGTATGGGTTTATATATAAAGTACCAACCTCATATAAGAAGTGTCTGGTTATGTTTGGTTCCCCAAAATGTTGGCTCTCCAAGATACCGTAGCTCGGGTTCCAACTGTACATGTGTTGTAAAAATTATTAGCTTTACATTATTTTTATATCACAGTCATCTAAACACGATATAAACAACATAACTTTTATATATTTGAACAGCATAAATATATATAATAAATAAAATTTTATATATGATCTATGACAATGTTTACGGACCTTGGTGCTATGTGAGGCTGAGAATCTCCGTATCTTATGGTTGTTCTCTCGTATTGATCACTACTTGTATTTATCTGTGAGATCACAAAGAGAATTATGAGAAAGTAGTGAAAACATTATTATTATAATTATTATTTACATTGACTTTAATTAAATGGATTTTATTCCATTTGTTTTCTTGTCACGACTATAAATTACGATTAGTAACCAGAAGGTTTTGCATATTAAAATAAGATATTTGAAATTAAAATGATTTCGAACTCAAATCAATATCTGATTAAAATTTCTTCTAAATCTAAGAAGATATACATTTAAGAGCAATTATGTGATGTGCAACATTACTTTGTGAAAACATTGATACTATTAGTCATAATATATATACACATATATACACAACATTGAATGTGGCATACATAATATTTACCATCATGTTTGGATGAAAGCCATAATGATCGGATGATGGTGATGATGAAGATGGCATGGATGGATATCCTCCTTGCATCCTCACATCCTCCTACATTATCAGCATTCATATAGTCCATATTGATCAATAATATGAAGCAAACACATGACGAATCTGTATCTAAATTTATATCATTCCAAATTAAAATTCGATCTAGATCTTACGTAAGATCATGAGTTTATTATGCTGTAAATGCGAATATGCTTTACTGATTTCATACGATTAGCTATCATGATCAAAAGCGTAATCCAATCAAAATCATCTTTTGTGTCCCGGTCAAAAATTCCCTTGATAAAATTCTCAAAAGTGTTCAAAAAAGACCAGTGCTACCAAACTACTTCTTCACGGATCTGTATACGTATGTGTGTAAAATTTTGTACCTGATGATAAGAAGTGTAAGTATTGAAACTGTTGCAGTTAAATTCACTGTGTAATCTAATCTTCTCTAACTGCGCGACGCCAAGACCTCTCTGCGGCTGCTTAGGCTTATCAGAACCGTTCTTGTTTTTCCCTCTCTTTGCCGGAGAAGAAGAAGATGATGTTGGTGACGAAGATCCACCCATTTTTGGTCTCCCAAAGAAACTACTACCCATTTCTTGTTAACAAATTATAATCTAGAACTAGAGAGAGAGAAAGTCTTGCTAGAGAGAGAAAATCCTAACGATACGTTTATGTGTGGGGTTGGTTGGTTAGCTTTGAGCTGAGGAATCTGAGAGATCTGTAATGGTGATCTCTCCTTTATAAGATTTTTTATTTTATTTTTGGAACAAAAATCTTTTTTATGTTTTGTTTTTAAGACCAGTAACTACTGCATTGCTGGATCAGATTGTGTCCAGATTTTATTAGATACATCTCTCACACATACGTACGTACAAACATATGTATATATATATATATATTACATAGATTTTATGCCCTTATTTTGATTCCACAATTAATTCTGGCAAGAAGAAAAACATTTTATAAATAACAATGATTGTGCAATATTTTAATCATGATTGATCATCATCATTTTTCTTTTTCTAATTTTTTGGGTCCTCGGTTTTGGATGACTTCCAACACAAAAGACTAAAATGCTGTTCGAATTAATTACTCACCATTTAAACATTTAAATAGGCACATATAGATCGAAGCTTATCACAATATTATTCTCATATATATTGACCCACATGATTACATAAATGAATAGCTTATAACGGGTTAATATAGTATTTTCAGATACTCTTTAGGATAAACTAATGCATTTTTTGATAATTTTGTAAACTGCGGGGTTTTGAGAAAAATTACATAATAATGTAAACTCCAACAGCTCAACTCTTTGAATGTTTCTCTCTTGATACTCTTTCAAAACCTCTTTTCATACAGTTTTTTTTTTTAATATCAACCATAAAAATCAATAGATAGCACGGTTCATATATGGGTTGACTAGATCGTCACATATATAGTATAAAATTATGGTCGGAAAAATGATTGAATAATGAAAAAAAATTAACTGGATAGTTTATTTTATAAAAAAATTATAAAAATATATAATATTACGGTATTGGTTTTAGTAAATTACTAAATTTCAGTTTTTTAAATATGTTTTGAACTCTTCCATGATATTTAGGGATATTATTTTCCAAAAACTATAAAAACATGATAATATAGTCAATTAAATAATTCATTTTATTAAACATATCCTATAAGAGAAAATATGTAAATTTCATTTAATCACTTTTTCTCATAGTTTTTTTTAGTGTATACAAAACGTAATAAACTATTAAAAAGGTGAAGAAATAATTTAAAATCAATCAATCGTACTAGATTTGTATGTGTTACGTGTGTATACAACTCTGCTGCCTTTCTCATAAGAGAGTTAAATAGTCACAAGCCAATATATAAATGTTCTTAAAACGTGTTTGATTTCTAGTATGATTATCAAACCAAATTAAAGGTTAGATACGTAGCACCCTGTCAAGTCGATACTCTCTTTAACAGGATTAAATGATTTTTTCACTCCATTTTTTAAATAGAAGTTTTTCATAATTTAAGTATATATGTTCTTGCAAGTCATTTAAGAAAGAAGAAAAAAACTAGAGCTGAAATGTCATCCAACAAAAATTATTAATATTATCTAACAGTTCACATAAATAACTTAAGTTATTTGATACTCCAGTTTCTAATGACATTATCACAATGTGTATACTTTATTCAACCATTTTCTTATACTAGCTTCTTAAAATGTCTTCAGTTCAGGTGTGGCTCCTTTATAATTATAAATACAAGAGGACGAGATTTCGGCTGTAGTATTAGACTATCGATGCTCTATTATCCTAATTTATTATTAGCCCAATAATAATAATTATTATTAATTACAGTATACTTATGTCGTGAATCATGTGATCCCCCGAACATCTCTCCTAGCCTGAATAACTCAATAAATAATAGTATAACTAATCAGCAAAGGGTCACCTTTTTTTTAAAGACAAGGAACAAACAGGTGTGTGCCACCTGGTAGGTCAGATGCTGACGAATTAATATTCTTTCTTAGTAATGACGCCACTTTCAGTCCGATTACTAGTAGTAAGTAATCTTAATATAAACGAATTATTGAGTTGTAATCATATTTTACCTAGAATCGAATTATTGAGATAAACCCCCTTCGGCCTCGATCTACGTACCGGCGAACAAAGAGAGCTACCGAGTTCTCTCCATACGAGTTGCATGTTTCGGATAATCAGACGTTGATCTCATCAGTTTCACTTCATTAGCGGTAATGACTAAAGATTTTTAGAGTAGATATATACAGATTTAATTATCTTCTGTTATAGTAGTTAGAATATTACTTGTGAATATTCTTTAAGGATGCTCAAAAGTAATATTTGTAAATTTGTTTATATATATTTCCGAAAGAATTATATCTATTAATCCTTGTTACAAAAAAAAAAAAAATTATATCTATCACATTTAGCTGTAACATTCTTCGGGATCGAATGCCAAAAACACAATGCACATATATCAAATAAAATTTTACGTTTGATTTATTCATTTACTACCATAACTTTTGAAATCCGGTTGTTACAAAACATGCAGATTTAAAAATTAAGAGAGTAATACAATGACCAAACTAATAAATTAGACGTTATATTATATGTCATGAGCACCAATCCATCGCACCAGCGCTTACCGAGCATAGTGGACCAAATGTATAGACCAAAATCAGTTTAAAATCATGAAATAATATCTACCGTAGATTTTGTGCACATGCATCCTCTGCTACACTATATTACATTGTCTATTATCATATTATTTTGTAAAATACTTTTTTATATAGACATATTATTTTGTAAAATACCTTTTTATAGAGTATGAATCCGATCGAATCAAATCTCATTGATCCTCTTACTAACTTGACAACCAATATCACACATAAAGTTCCATTTGTCGAATAATCCTTAATTACTTTTTCTTAATTATATGTTATTTTCAGTTTGATTAGAAGTTCTGAAAAGTAAATATTCATTTAATCGAGTTGTTGTTGCTAATATAGGATAAAAGTGATGGTAGTATAAAGTATATCAAATTTCAAAAACCAACTTATGCTACATATGTAGAGATGCGAGAATTAAGATTACATTAAGGCAAAGTTTCGTAGTTGGGTTTTTAGTCGATGCATTCCAGCTGACAATTAAACAAAGTGATAAAAGTTACGAAGTACTTAAATGAAAAGCAAGCAAATAATCAACTGAACGAATTAAGCAAAAGAGAAGTAACAAATAATTAAGAAATAAGATAAAAGTTTAAATAGTAGGAACTAGGAAGAAACCATATAGATAAGCATGAGTACCAATTTAATTAAGATGAGGAGTATATTTGAAGCATAATTGTAGAGCATGCATCAGTAATGTGAGACTCACACTACAGTGACTACACAGTATTTTTATTTTAATTTGTCAGTCTGATCGACGTCAAACCATCACTAACTAAAATCTTTAGTTACTCTTATTTGATGAACAAATGTGAGCTTGCTCTAGCGGTGAGAACTGAGAAGCCTTCGTTTTAACTGATCTTTTGAATGCACTAGATTACTGTCTTCATTTTCTTTATGTTGCATCAAAACAGTTTTTTTTATTTTATTTTGGGGGGGGGGGGGGGGGTAATAACACTAAATGACCTTATTAATATCATAAATTTGCAAAATGGTTTTGCAGTAACTACTAAATACGTTTCGTCTTAGAATTTTTCGAAGATAGCTTCCAAAAAAATGCATTTTGCTAAACGATCGAATCAATTTCACAATTTCGGTTGTCTGTAATATTAAAACTTGCACACCGACACAAATTTTTAAAATAAATCAGGGTGCAATAATATGTCATTTGCCATTATCCCTTTTTTACACCAGTATGTCATTTGCCAATTTTGAAGTCAAAATAAAATCCTATGAGAAACTATTTCTCAAATTGTTATTTAAAAACCCAGACTTTTATGTATTCAGGCTTCCCGCAACTGTCATTAATAAAACAAATATTTGTTGTATTGTATGTGTACTGGAGCTAGGGACATATCACATATGGATCATGGACGCTTGAGATTAAAAATAATTATCTTGTGTCACAAATAATTATCCAATGTTCAGATATTTTCATGAAATACTCCTTCAATATTTGAGTAGCTAGTATCATTTTGACATATGCCAGAGTGATTTTTTTTCTATACATACATATAATTAAACATTTGACATATATTATTGATTAAATGTTTTCAAAACATACATACATATAGATATTTATTTCTAAATTTATATATGCAATATATTACTGATTTAAACTCAAAGATTATTAACTTTTAATAAATGATAAATAAGGAACTGAGTTTACAAAGTGACATTAGAAACATAATCAACACTATTTATGAAACAAAAACGATACCGCAAAATAAATAGTACTAATTATATACTCTTAATTAATTAAAAATAGTTAAATATACTCTAGTAATTTGGCTTAAGTTTTGGAGATTAATTTAATCCAATAAAAAAGGGGATCCTGGTCACACAAACACACATGCACAACGTACCAAACCCAACTGGCCTTTCAATTTCAACAACTATATATAATAAAATAGTCTGAAGATTTTTCTATACATGTGATGTATTCTTTTCTTCTTCTTTTTTTTGAACTATTGTTTATCCTGGTTTTAGTTATGATTTTGCAGAATGTAATGTGGACGTGCATAATTTGACAACTTAACTACGCCGGAGTTCTGTTTTACCTCCACCAATGTTTTGTCCTTTTTAATGCCCAATTGCACTGTCTCAAATATATGAAATTAAAATTCATTGGAAATTAAGCATACGTTGATTCATATTTGGTTCTAACTGCAGCGAATTGAAATGAAGCATACATATCATGTATATATTTGACAAGTTCAATTTTTGTTGAGTTAATGCTGTAGATTAGGCACCATAATAAGAGTCAAATGTTCACATTTAAAGGTCTTATAGCTATGTTTCTATAACACATATCGTACTTATTTAACACATTTTTTTCAATCGTACTTATTTAACTTATGGAGGTAAACAGTTTTTGATTTTTTTTTTTTTTTTTTTTTTTTTTTTTTTTTATAAACTTAAGAAGAAAAAAGGAAAAAAAATGAGAGAGAAGTGTTTGACTAAAAGAGCATCTCTCCACATGCAAGGGCTTCAGGATTCAGGACGCTGATATCGCAGTTTCCAAGGTCATAATCTATATCTAGTTGTCTACCAAACTCACTTCAGATTATATTATATATTATATACTACTATATATAATGATATCATTTGGTTACATGATCATCTCCTTAATGTATAGTTTAATAACTACATTGATTTCTTATAAACTCGAACCAGTTTTAAAATTCTTAACGATCACCAGTTGACCATACACTTGTTAGCAAGTTGTATCTATGTCAAAATTGATAATTGGTGCTAACCGGTAAATAAATCATGTTTTTTTAGGAATAGTACATTTTATCTTTCATACAGAACGCAACGTATACAACATTCTCAAAATTATTGGTTTAGTCCAGTTATATCTTGAATATTTACAACATTCATGTTTCTTACAATTTTATTATTCGCGTTACTAATTAAAGTAAAAAAAAAATGTAGTTTTACTTGGAAACATTAAATATGCAAATATATCGAAGTTCTATGACAATAAGAAAAATATATTGAAGTCGTCTTCTCTAAGATCTCCTAATAACTACGCCTATCGAAAGAGACATTATTATATTTTTACAAAAAACAAAAAACATTAATATTGCAATTTGCAAATTGGGTTGGGTCTTTCTTCCCTCTCTTCCAAAATATATCAGAACACAAAATTAAATAAACATTTGTTGCTAAAACGACATCCCTAGTTGTCTTGCATGATCTATCCTTGGATATGGGCTATGGACATGTTGGTTTATTTTTAAGGTTATGCCTAATTTTTTTATTTTTTATTTATTAATGTTATGCCTAAATCATTGGACATCTATAAGTCTTCGAACTCTAATGTATGATACTGTTCGAATTCTTTATCCGCATTTAATAGTTGATGCTTGATGGTTGGATTGTGCGGTCGAATTGAAAAAGTGAGCTTCTTCCGTTGTATAATATACGTTCAATACATGAGGGAGCTTCATTTTATACAGAAAGTTGTTAGATTGCACGTATATATATACGACATACGTGAGTGTATATGTGTATATAATTATAGAACCTCTAAAAGGACTATCCATTTGCATATAATTATAAAGAATCACTCATTCTTACAACGACAAGATTCAACAAAAAAACTATTTCAAAATCAATTTTACAATAATTGACATTTGGTTCTATAGGTAGCATATAGGACTAGGTTTTTTTTTTTTCTAGTGTTGCTTGTAGTACAACAATTGTTTTTTGCTTATCAAAGTTGAAGAGCTATCTCAGAGTTTGAAGCTAGCTCGAGTTATGCTTACGACTTTCTTTTGGTTTTGCCTCTTTTTAGGATCTTTCAAATTTGTTTTAGGTTCTCTCTCCCCAAAAAGAATGCACATTTTTCTTTTCCGAGATAAAAAAGCTTGTTGTTTGTTTTTGGCTAATGTAACATCCATCTAAGAGTTATATTTGATTCCGCAGATTAATATAAGCATTTACCGATAGATTAGTGTAACTACAAAAAAAGAGGTTTAGTTAATTTTGCGTATGTATATATAAATGATTATGCAGTCGATAAGGGTATGAAATGTTCGTCCCACGTGGGAGAAGATATAATTAAATCAAGATAATCGTTGTTGCTGAATCTTTAGTAGCTCTAAGCGAATAATTTAAGGAGTATCTCATATCTGTTCGATGAAGCTTCCTTCACCATTAACCATACATATATTATTAATTCATCACAAATAAACTAATATTCTACTACCTTTCCAACTTTTTCTTCTTTCCTTTCTTAATGATTACTTTATGTATTAACAATCTTTAACATAGTACATCTATAATCCATTGGTTGATTATGTATTAATTAATTAAGTTGGCATCCATGCTGTTCTTGCTATTAATTAATGTTTTGGAATTTCAATAATTTTAGTCACTCAATAATATAAAGTTTAGGAACAGATTTTCATTCTTATTCAGAAAAGTTGTGACTGGATCGGATTGATAACATAAAACAGTATGATATAGCAGTATAAGATGATAATATATAGAAAAAGAAAACAGTAAAAAAGATAGTGGTAGGTACTAGTTATTTACCGAGACAATGATTGGTTACTTTTACATACATGTTGTCTCACAACGGTATAAAGTCACCAATCAGAGCCAGTTTTATCTTGATGGGTCTGGAGAGAAGAAATAGCAAAGGCAATTAATAATTGAAAATGAAAGTTGGAGTAGTACATAGTAATCTATTAGACTATTAATTCGAAACTTAAAGGTTCTCGAGTCAATTATTGAAAATGTGGTTCATTTTACATATGGACGGATCATCTGAGATCACTAAATTCACTGCTTAGACAAGCTGAAACCTATTTTCAATGAAAAGCTGTATATTTTGTTCATGAAGATGAGGTTAAATTATAAAAACTTGACTTCATATCCATATATGATATTCAATCTTTAAGTTCTCAACTCAATGCTAAAAATATTTGATTACAAGATGTGGCGGTCTATTCCTGTTTATCAAAACGCCAGAGATCAACAGCAATATCGACTTCTTTTCGCTTGTGGAACTTGTAGAGTTTCGGCAAGTCATACCTGAGCTGCAAGAGGAACAAATATGAATGAGAGTTAGAATGTTTTCAGACACATTCAGATCAGAAGTTTCTAAAATGATAATTTCCAAATCTCTGAAACCTCTTTTTACCTCACACAGAACTTCAGCACTTTTCGCATTGAAATCACGCAACGCCGCTCTTTTAATATGCTGCAAGAATGTAGTTAAAGGTTGTTACTAAGCAAAACATATAGTCAAAGCATGAATAGTAAGTAGTACTGTAAAGAAGAAGAAAGGCTTTGCTTACTTCTCTCGTCGATGTCTTATGCAAGGAATAAACAGCTTGAGATGCTACCTGTGTAACAAAATGTCATATTAAGTTGAAAATCAGAAAACAGTCGAAAGAGATTATGAATTTCTGCTTTTTACCTTCATCGCCGCAGAGAGAAACTCCATGTCAGCTCCTTTCTTTCGTGTACCAAAGGGAGGATTCATTACAACGGTATCCACAATCTGGCCTAAAAAACAATTCGTGGATTAAGCAAAAATGTTACCGGTAGATTCTTTTCTTTGTTGAATGAAATAAAAATGAAAAAAGGTTTTACCTTTTAGCTCTAATTTTGTAATGTCACACTGAACGAAATCAATCTCCACCTGCGTGAAACTTAACCAATTAGTGATACAACCAAAAAGAAGACTCATTCACAAGAAGTAGATATTCAAAAGAAAAAAAGAAAAAACCTCAAGTTCCTCTGCATTTAGTGCTGCTGTTTCAAGAGATTGAGGGTCGATATCGAATCCAATCACACAACTGTTTTGAAGCAACACAGAGATTAAACCTTAGAGAAAGAACAAAGATGAGAGAAGAGTGAAGTATAAAAGATGACGATATACCCACGCTGCATCTAGAAGAGCAGCAGCAGCACTTAAAGTACCACATCCACAACCAAAATCCGCAACAACCTTACCAGATATGTCTCCATATGAATTCTCTGCCTAAACAAGGGAAAGATTCAATTCAACACACACACACACACACACACACACACACATACTTCAGGCTTCAAGAACAGAACACAAATCCAAGCCAAATCACAACTCAGGCTACAGAAATATGACATCCACACATTGAAATCATTACTAGCCTGCTATGAATCTATCTCTCTACACTCAAGTAAGTATAGAGTCGACCAAAACGCATAGTGAGGTGATTACGAAAGACCCAATTCACAGGAAGCATGAAACTAATCGCATAACCCAGAAAATATAGGTGTGAACAGCAAAATAAATACACTTTGGAGCAAAGAGAGAAGGATGATACAGTGAAAAGCATGCGAGAAGCAATGTGAGGACCAGTTGGGTATTGCTCCAATTCCACCTGCGCCACAAAAATCAAAACAGTTTGTTTGACGAAATCAGCAACTAATTGACCATAAACACAATCTTATCATTCAAAGAACTAATTTTTCGCATACTTTAGGGTTGCTGAACTGCTCAAGATCACCCAACAAGCCTTCTAATTGCTTCAGCTTCATCTTCTCCGGCGCTTCTGAATTCTGACTGAATTCACAAAGCTATTAAAATGCCTCTGAGAGAGACAAATAAAAAATGGCAAAGAGAAAAAAGAATAAAAGAAGCATTATGGGCCGACATTCGAAATATATGGCCTAGTGGGCTTTCCGTCTCTCTCGCTGTCTCTCTCTTTCAAGAGGTAACAACGATTGCCTCCCTCCTGAGGTTTCTCTTCCCGGAATCGCGTCGCTCGCTGAGAAAGAGATACAGAGAGATGTGTCCTCGAGCTGCTCCAACATGCGAAATCTGCGTGAAAGTTGTATCCAAATACAAGTGCCCGTCTTGTCTTGTTCCTTAGTAAGTCTTCTTCTTCTTCTTTTTCTTCTTCTTCATCTTCTTCATCATGATCTTGCTGCCTCTTTTTTTCATTAAGTCATTGGTTCGTTATGTGTCCTGCAGCTGCTCCTTGGGTTGTTTCAAGAAGCACAAAGGCAAGTTATTTTTATTTTTTTTCCTGAGTTGGTAAACTTTGAAATCAGATTTAGCTCCCTCATTGATTATAGTTCTAACTTCGAACTGAGACCTAAAGTGTTGGACTTTGTAATCGAGAATTCGATGAGTCTCTCTAATTTTCCTATTTTAGCTTGATGATTGTACCTCAAGAGATTAATTCTGTTTGTGTATCTGTTCTGCTTCAATGAGTTTTTAGCTGAAGTTTCTTGATTGACTTTGGGTTTATGTTGACGTGGTTTTTAAACTATGTAATTTGACCAATGATGCAGAGACTCCATGTGCTAAGCCTTCTTCAACCGAGGAAAAGCCAGGTTAGTGTGCATTTAGTCATCTTCATTTAGTCTTTCTTCTTAGTTTGGTTTTGTATATCTGTGATATGTTTATTCGATTAATAATAGCATACGGTATCGATTTCCTTCTACTTTCTCGCTTTGGTTAGTTGTTTAGTGTGAATCTTGGTTTTGAGTCATGATTTCGTTTTGTAGCAGCTTCTCCAGGAAAGGAAGTTCTGGTGGATAGACCGGTACATGTTGAGGAATCAAGTGATGTTGCAGGAAAGACACAGCTCGAGGCTAGTGGTATGTTTCTTCCAACCAAGTCGCATTTAGATTCATTGGCTGGTTTTCTGAACCTTTAAAGTAGCCAGAGATGCTAGCATCAGACAACAAACTTTTGAACATGGTTTGAGTTATTACCTGCGTTTTGTAGCTGCAACTCCAGCAAAGGAAGTTATGGTGGCAAGACCGATAAATGTAGAGGAAGAAAAGTATGTTGTAGAGAAGACACAGCTCGAGGCAATCGGTAATGTTCTTAAAATAGATTATCATATAGATAATTGGCGATTTTTGATACCTTGTCTTAGTTAGTCGGATAGCAAACTGTTGAACGAATCTGTAGCTTCATTGGCCATTTCTAAGTCTGGAAATTTTTTGCAGCTTCTTCTAGTGAAATCCGAGAAGCGCTAAAGGATGAAGCCCTTCAGAAACTCATCTGCAATATTGATAGTTCGTCCAACCCTTTATCGGTACGCTCTGTTCTGCATCCGTCATGGTTTCATCAAAGATTCAACCTTTTTTTACTATTATTTATCTCCTTCAACAAGATTTGACGAAACTATTTGGTGGTTTTATCAGGAACTCGATCAAGCTATGGGAGTAGAAGCTTTCCGCGTGTTCACGGAAAAGGTACAGTTTTTGAAGCATTTATCTTTCTTTTCAAGAACTTGCAATATCGATGACCAACAAAAGAGCCTGTGCTAAGTTTCACACCTTGTTATTTTCAGATTCTATCAAACATTTCCAAGAGTAAAGATGCGCAATGATATCCGAGCAGAAGTTCCTGAAGTTATTCTTGATTAGTATTTTCGTTAAAGTTCCATTTGCACGAGAGAAATGTTCATTGGCTGTGAAAAAACAAGTCGTTTTGTAAACACATACATACATATATTCTTTGGCCCACATTAGAACATGTATATATTAACCCCGAGATTCCAGGTTCTTACATATACAGAAACAGGAAAAGGGACATACGACCTACTTTAACCATAAAAAGACCAGTAACTAACATCGTAGCTCCTTGGTTACCTTCAAAATTGCGTTTTGCTTGGAGAACAGATCCTTATTAACTCCACACATCAATCTGCAACAACACAATGTAGGAATCTTGAAACTTTATACTCATCTCACAAGAAAAACTAGTGGCCATTCCCTGATGTTCTTACTAACCTGTCGGTTGGTTCTCCTGATCCTCAGGTTCCTTGACACTGCTCGGGAGGCTAAAACTCAGCTGTGATGTTGTTTGATTCTATAAGAACATTAAAAAAAAAAAAAAAAAAAGAGGATCCTGTGTGAGCATCACTATTGTAGGAACAGAGGAATAAGCACAATGGATACTACCTGCAACGGAGGAGGAGGTTGTTGCATCTGAGGGAGACCAACAAACTGGCTATAAGGATTCAAGTAACCTGGAAGCCGAGGCTGGTTCGGCGCTGGGTCAGGCTGCTGACTTGGTAAATGGAGTCTAGATGGGTCAAAGGCTGGATTGTTTGGAAAAGGATAGGGCGGTGCTGGATATGATGGACCCGGACCAGCCATATGAGAAGCTATGCCAGGGAAATGTATGAACGGAGGCCGGTTCATACCCATCATCCCCATGGCCATGTGGGGCATGAATTGTTGCATATTTTGTGACATCATCTGCATAACAATATTGATTCAGGGGAATGATCTGCAGACTCTTCTTCACAATGCTGTAAACTTGGGAAGCAAAATTCATGACTTGCATGAAAACAAGAGTAGGACTTGAGAACAGAGCAATCAGCTATTAAATATTTCTTCCACCAAACTTTTATAACCCTTCCAAGAACATGTTGAAACACTGGTTAATAAGACCAGGGGAAAAAAAAGAATGTATTATGTTTTAGAGGACATACATGTAGTTGCATCTGTAGCGATTTCACGTACTCGATAGCATCTTCCAGCATGGAAGCTTTATCAGACTGATGAGATTAGAAGCAGAACAACTTTTAAAAGGAGTCAACGTTAACTTGAATGACAAGCTATACAAGACTGTAAAAAAGACCTTGTTGCTGCGAGGAACGAGTTCTTGCAGAGCCTTCATCCTCTCGTTGATCCTCCCTCTCCGTTTCTATTACAAAAAAGAATGTTAAACTTTTTAATGGAGATGAAATAAAAATAGAATGCTACACTTTTAATGGAGAGGCTCCATTGTTGAAAACTCGATCAGAAAGGAAAGTTTAAAGACCCTTTCGGAGAGATTATGCATTTCTGCAGCTCGTGACCTCTTCCTAGACGTTGAACCAGGAGCTTCTTTAGTATCCTGTCCTCCAACAGAAACAGAACAAAACAAAAAAGAAAAAGGAAAAAAAAAAACCATTTGACTGCAAAGCCGCACGTGTCAAGTGACTAACATGCGCCAACATGTGGATTGGGGAGCGCAGGTTAAAACTCATTAAGATTAAGTGTAAATATTGACTCACCTCGATATCGTCAGCGGTTTCTTGTCTCTCCTTTCCCTTCCTGTCATCGGCAGTTCTCGTCTCCGTCGCTGGCTGTACCTGAATCGGCTCTGCTTCGACCTTGGAGACCCCGGAAGATGATGTTCCAGCGATCTCAGTCGCAACCACCTTTTCAAGACCGGGAACTACAAAAGTGCGCGAGACTCCGCCAATGATGGCCGTCGATCGATTCTCGCTGCCTTGCGTCGCTGGTGTTAGACAGGATTCAGTCGCCGAAGACGACGGAGTCAAGCTCGATCCCACCTGCGTCGACAGGCTCACCACCGGAAGAGGAACCAACGGTCCAGCTGCTTCAACTCTACCGCCGGAAAATATGTTCCCTCTAAACCTCGACAAGTTGGTAAAGTTGGCCACTCTTCTCGTGTCAAGAATCTGACTGCTAGGCAGATCGACTGGTGGTGGTGGTGCAAAAGAGGCGGAACTTAGCGGCTGAGTAGCCGGAATGGAGGCGACGCCGGGATAGATTAGATCGGAGTAGAAACCATCCTCGCGGTGAGTATGGTAAAGCCAAGAAACCATTTCGTCTTCTTGGATTAATAGACTCTGATGATGAGACGGTTCCGGTTGGTCAAGCAGGGGAGTGTGAGGCGGAGGCGGAAGCGGAAGGGGAGCATTTCCTTCTACACCGCCACCGCCACCGCTTCCGCTGCCGCGGAGAATGGGAGGAGGAACGGAGATGGGTCTCTGTGACTGGCTGCTTTGAACGACTTGGCCACTCTTCCATAAGAGCTCCACGATATCATCTTCACCCCTAATTTCCATACAAAAACATGCACAGACCCTAAAAGTTTAGATATATATTGATGAGAGAAAAAACAAAACAAAAAAAAAACAATCTAAAACGGAACTTACATGATGGATTTTTTTTATTTTTATATTTTTCTTTCTAAGGAGGTTCAAGGAGGAAGTAGTAGTAGTAGTAGAAGAAGAATCTGGGATGTAATCATGGTGGGTTTCGGGAACTAACAATGATTCATGTCTTTGAGACAAAAAGATACAAATTTTCTAAGAGAAACCCTAGAAACAGATATTGGAAATTTGTGAGTTATTTTGTATATATTTGGGTTCAAAGCCCTGGCTTCTCTACGTCTAGAGGATCTGCGAATCCCTCCTGCATACACCCTCTTATATCAGAAGATATAAAATTGTGATTTTGCTACGATAACTTGACAAGAAAAAGGACAAAAAAACAGTTTTCGTAGCCGCTGTTTCTCTCGCTTAGTCTAATAAGAAAGCTCCAAGAAATCACCCAGAAAATTTAAAAATACCACTGAAACTTTTTATAGTGGTGTTTTGGCATATACTGGATGGGTCACATTCGTTGAATTTGAATATCTGTTTATTTCTTTCCTTACTAGTTACTACGTACTGAATTCTTTCGTTTTCATCTTTGTTTGTCTGATTCTTTTAATTTGCGGAATCCTCTTGTCTTTATTATGCTCTGTCTTTCTCTCCCACCCTCTAAAGTGATCCTCTGTCTACGTGCTATACTGCTATGACGTTTTTCGGTATTTCCGATGGCGTCATCACTCTCCACGTTGACTCTTTTGTCTCACTATATTTCATCTCTTTATGATCTTTTTCATAAAAACTTGATCCAAAAAGAATCTCTGGAGGAATCAGGAGATTCTTCTACAAACCCTTTTCTTAGTTCTTACGCAATTCACGCTTCAATATCGATTAACATTCCGATATAACAAAACATTTAGATATATGCTATACGCCGCATCTTTTTATTTTCTTTTGTTTCACATTTTTATCTGTTATCTATTTTTTTCAAAAACACACACACATTTATATATATATATATATATATATACACTTTTGAAAAAAAAATTCAGAACACATATTTTGATGATATTATATAGTTTTTGTTTCTCCTAAAATAAGTAAGCATTGAAATTTTCTTTTACTATTTATTTTAAATTTCATAAGTTTGAATGCTTTAAGAAAAAATTTGGTTGAATGTTTTAGAAAGAGATGAATTTCACTCTCGCCAACGTTCATAGATTGCCATAACTAGACCGGTTGGATAGAGTAAATTGTGTTGTTGTAATACCATCATATCAATCGTTGTTGGTCCAACTAGAAAAATACTAAGAATGAAATCTAAAAATCACAAAATCGAAATGACACTCATCAGGACAGAATCATATTATATTTTAAATTCCGGATCAAGTTTGGGGATGTATAAACCTTAATCCAAACATATTAGTCATAAAACAAAAAAGAAAAATACTATCACATGCTACTATGGTAGTATTCATATGCATGCATGGCTCTTTCTCCGATGTTTTGCGAGAAAATTTGATTGAAAGGTTAATTTATGAAAAAGAATAAAAAAAAATTATGAGAAGTCTAAAAAACATATTGGAAATTATTGAACTTTGGTGGATTAGAAGGAATTCATTTTTTTCTTCTCCGCTTGTCTATTTTCTCTCCGAATTTTATGGTTTAGAAGTGAACAAGTGTATCTCTGTGCGTCCTGTGAAGTTTTCTGTATTCCCAATGACGTCATCACTCTTCAACTTGTCTAATTTGTCTCTGTACATCTCTTGTAGTCTCTTTGATTGCTCCATGTATATGGACATAAACAAAAACATCCAGAAGACAATACAGTGAGTTTTTTTGTATCAACCTAAGGAAACAACATACATTGAACATGCAAATGTCAGCTCTATCTGCAGCGACTTTTCGATTTCTTCTTGGGACACTTGACCACCTAGCTAAGAAAAAGTCAATAAATATACTTAAGAGTGTGACAAATTAAACTTAAGAGTGTGACAAATTAAGGTATGTATGATGCCAATTTTGCCCTTATTCTAAAGAGGTTCCCACTTGGAAGTTTATGTCGGGATAAAGAACACACATTGATCGTTGAACAAACACACATTTCCAGGTCTACTTGCATATCCTATCAAATCATTCAACTTGTTTTTGTTACGGTTTAGCATGGATAACAAGCACACCAACATGTCTCGAAGTATGCATCTTTTATCCACACAATCATATATCACCAGAGTCCCTATTTCCTCATCGTCGATACATAGAAGATAGAACCAGTCATAGGCAACGCCTTTTCATATAAAGAGCCAGGTTGATCATTAAGGTTGCGTTTTGGTGTTGGCGCTATTATTGCAGATCTGAAGTTAAGCAAAGTCTTATTAAAGCCCTAGTAAAAATATCTAGGAAATTAACCACAAAGTTTAAACAGAACAGATATAGCAGAGCTGAAACAGAGACTTCGCCCTTTTAGAAAGAAACCAAGAAAACCTTAGTTTTGAGGAAGAGAAGGGATTCGACTACAAAAACAACACTAGCCATCGTTTGACAAAAGCATCGTGTCACAGGCTCACAATCTTTCATTATATATGAAAAACTCTAAGTTATCAACATCAATATAATTGAGTAGTATTTTAAGCCGATTTTGAGAAAAAATAACAGTCAAAATTTCATAAAGATAATGGAAATTTCACTTTGCATATATTAGACATCTTATGTCACGCATATATATATATTTTAAAATTGCTTCCTTAATTATATTCTGGAGTCTAAAGCCATGATAGTGCTAAGGTTCATGGGGTTCATGTACTCAACCGAACCAGTCATGATCTGTTGAACGATGAGCCTTGTGGCTTTCTCGGTCGGGTGGAAAGGGTCCCAAAACGCATAGGCGTTGCGGTCAGGACATAGACTCGATAACGGGGTGCAAACGCCTTGCCCGTTATATGCTCCTTGTCCGCAACATGCAACCTTCGACGTCACGAAACCTATGTAATTTTTCAAATTAGGTCTGAAAATGGTTAATGACATATATGCAACAAGGAAAATAAAAGTGATGAAAAGACGATGTCTATACATATACACTTGCAGAATCACGTAACTGAATACAAATCGCAATTCCATAATATTCTGTGATAAGTTGCAAATATTGCGTGTAGTCATTAGGTTGTTCTATCATTCCACATTTTACCAGTTTAAATTCAAAACCATATAATTGAAGGAGTACTCACCAAATCTTTGGGGATTGTTGATGAAATCTGCATTCATATTAAAGGCATTGGCCCCAATGAAAACATCAGAACCAAACTCACGGTTAAGCTCTTGAAGCATTTGATCTAAAAGAGGATTAAAGATCGCTGCAGCTTGTTGCGCCTCTGGTGCACATTCTCCGTCTGCGCTTCCCGATGAGGCGAGCTGAGCTGGTACGCAACCCAACGGTCCTGTTCCCGTAACCATCACCCTCCTTGCTCCCAACTCATACAGCCTCTGTATCACCAAATAAGAGCGATAAGCATAATGAGTTTATACCAATAAAGCCCTAAACCTAACTTGTAATCTAAGAAATTAGTATATGTACTGCAAGGATTTTCTTGTATTCGGAGATGAGAAGCTTGCTAAATTCGCCGAGAGATGATTGGCGGCCTCTAGCGGAGAAGGGCAAGAAGTAGTTGTTGACGAAATCGTTGCCGCCGAGAGTCATGAGAACAAGAGCTCCATTTACAAGCTCTTGTGTTTTGTCTGAACCAATAATCTCACTCACTCTCTCTTGATACTCTTGGAACAGCTCGAATTGCCTACCGATCCTTAGTATGTTCAACTGCATTATTCACAACACCAAAAAGCAAATTATTAGATTTGGGTCCCAACATTTTTTATTTCTTTTTTTAAGTGGAACTAAACACAAAGTCTGTATTTCAACTCGAAGAATATAGTCTGAAAATTGAAAACTTATTTCGAGTTTAATAAAGATAAAAAAAGACTTAAATCGGATTAATGAATCACATGATGAAATTGCTTGAAGAAAATTGTCCCTTCTTTGCTATTAAACATAAGTAGAACCGTAGACTATTTTTTTCAGTTAAATATGAACTACTTAATTTATTCGATTCTCATTCTCTAAATTAATCTTTATATTGTCTTTAATCTTTAATAAATAATGAGAATTAAAAGGAAAAATAATCAGCGAGTACGTACCACAAAAACAATACATTATGAAAATAGAATGTTTTTCGACAGAAAAAGGTGACAAAATGACTTACAAATTGAACACCGGTATCGTTGAGAATTCCGATGCCGGCAGAGGCAAAATTAGCTCCGATCAATAACTTCTCTCCAGTGAGCTCAGGGCTAAGAATTGGTAATGTAGGCTCAGATCCAATTTGTTCACCTAAATCCCCAAGCAAAATATCACTTAATACGTATACCTCTCTTAAGTCTAAATCAATGAAACAAAAGTAAATTAAAAACGGCGTCGTACTGATGATGTCAGGGAGGTTCAAGCCGTTGGAGAAACGACCCGTTGGACGGCCGGTCGGATAATCGATTCCGTACGGCGGAGAATCGGCACGAGCGGTGGTGACTAAATAATTGTTATTACCACTGTCCACAAGTGAGTCTCCAAACACGTAGAACGCTCGAGCCGCGTTTGTTTCTTGCGGCATAAGAATTAGCGTTCCCCAAAACGCGGCGGACAAACAAATCGATGTTAGGAGAATGGTGGACATTATGTAAAGCGAAAAGAAGAAGAAGATTAGTCTCCCGCTCTATGGCAAGTCTCTTCGTTTATAATATATAGTTATAGTTATATACTACAGGGGAAAAGTGTATTAATGGTTCACTTTTTTTTGGTGTGTGTGATAAATGTTATGTTGTTGTCGGTTGATCTACTTAGAAGAAAACAAAACTGTTCTAATTATGAGAGAACATGTAATATTTGAAATGTAATTAACTCAATCGGTAAGAATAGTAGTATTGTTTTACTGATGTTTGGATCTGAGTTCAAATCCAATACTTCCGTTTGAAGAGAGACTAAGACGTAACCAGAATGATGTCCAATCAAACCAAAAAACATAGGTTGGTCCAAAATTACAAAAATAAAAATTAGCTGGCATCAAAAGCATCCGACCACAATTAAGTATTATACATAACATGATGTGTAAAACCTAATATATCCAGTCATTTAATGTATAAATAATGCTATCTGTACATATACTTTATTTTTAACATATACATTATTTCTCATAAATGTAAAAAATAATGCTATCTATACATATACTTTATTTTTTAACATATACATTATTTCTCATAAAAAAAATATCTTAAAATTTTAAATAATGAAGCCTCATTGTTTAAACCAGATGTGATCATCGGGGTTTTGCTTGTTTTTTCTTTTGAACAATGGGTTTTGCTTGTTTCAACACAGAGAAACACAAGTTCTTTGCAATAGGATCATAAAATATCCCAACTTCATCTCCAACATTAAGCTCTGTCATCCTGCGTATTTCTCCAATATAATATTTATCAGATGAATCATAGTACCCCAAGATTACCTCTTGCTGGCTCCCCGTATCGTAATCGTCGATCTTGATTTTTATGGGGTCTTTTTTCACTACATTAACCTTCTCGCTCAACTCTTTCACTATGTATTTCTCAACATCGTTGTTATTATCAAATTCCAACCAGCCTTCACTTTTCTCTTTTAAGATCATCCTTATCTTCCACAGAGATCTTCTGTTTTCTTCACATATATTTTTCAAAGTAGACGAACACAATGACCTTGCCATTTTTCTTTTCGTTTTTCTTTTCTATTTATGCGTTTTCGATTATGTTGATTTTCTTATGGATGTAATGTAACATACACACACATATATATGGGATTTTCTCATATCAGGTGTGCGAAATCATTTATTTTCATTTACTCAAGGGAATGATTCCAGATTTAATATTATCCCAACATGGAGTTGTGAATTAATTACACATTATTCTCTACATTGAAGTTAAACATCAATTGAGATTTTATAAAATTCCACTTTCAAACCTGACAAAATGAAAATCCGAAAGTTTATAACTTCATGAATTTAATTTATAAAAGAAGAAAATGATATTCCTTTTGTTTCAAAATATTATTTTGTTTGGACATTTCACGTAAATTAAGAAGAAAAAAGTTCAGTATTTATTTCTTTACAAAAGTATATCAATTTCTGGAATTCTATTGTATCATTTCTTTTGAACATGATATCTATAAAAAATAAAGAAAATAGCATTTCTTTTGAACATGATATTTAAGAAAAATGTCAAAAAGAAGAAGATTTTTACGTCTTTTATTTTATATTCAGTTTGGACAGGTTGACAAGCATAACGGCAAAAGAAATACAAAAATTATTCCAGTAGAGTCCAAAATTTTCAAAATGTGTCATGATCCTCTGATGATTAATACGTGCATGTGGCTATGAATGTAGACTTTTTTTTGTACAAGTATCAGTGTCATCTTAAACTACCTCTACTTAGATATATAACGTAACAAATAAAATAAAATAAGAAGAAAAAAACAACAGCACATGACAAAATGACATATTTCTGAATTTAGTGTTGCATGCATCAACATTTGTGTACGCCAAAATTAATAAATAAAAAGAGAGAGAGAGAGAGAAAGAGGAAAGACTAAAAGGTTGTAGGTTGGTTATAAGTGGTTGCCTATCTTTTTCGGTCATCTACATTCACATGCATATTTAACTCCTATCATCATCATCACCGTTATACAATCATCACAAGCTATTGAAGTATTGATTGTACCTTTTGCATCACTTGCAGATCTCTCTAACAGTCCCCATGTGGTGTACTGGTGTGAGGAGAAGTTGAACTTCTGAAGAAGGAAATCCCCTCATAATGAGCTTAACTACATAGCCCAATAAACAATAGGCTGGGTTACTATAGCCCATTTAATTTGCTCGGCCTCATAACTCGGCCTTATGTTTGACATCAACCCCATACTTTTACTTCTCACTTAAATCTAGGTGGAACCTCTAGGGTATTTCTTGGTGGATTTGTATTTATTTGTTTGTGGGATATTTTGTAGGAGTGTATCCTATTATGGGGTTTAGCCTCATTTAATTATACTGTAATTAACATTAGAGATGTCAAAGAAAAAACAGAAACAATAATGAGGATTGATTATTACAATCTACTAGTTGATTATTACAAGGGCGACACCTTTTAAGTTTCTAACAAACAGACAATACGACCATTAACAAAGCTTCGGATTCTCTCCTTATCCGTCAAAACAGCTTCTTTTAATATATTTTTTTTTGCCAGAAATCATTATATTCCCGTAATCACCAGAATTGTATATGTCTCCTCGCGATCGCTGATCAGATATTATCAGAATTTTCGTTCTGCTTTTTCATATTTTCTCAGATATCGATAGAAATCGTGTTAGAAAAAATGAGACACAATTGCTGTCATGTCTCGTTCGCTTCCGTTCTCAAGATCCTCAATTTCCTTCAAGCTTTTATCGGTGTATCAATCATAATCTACTCGGTTTGGATGCTCGATCAATACAACCGCCACGTACCCGTCGAACCTCCTCCGCCGCAGCCTCCGGCAGCTTCATCGCCGGATTCTTATTCCTTTTCTAGTACTGGAGCTGAGATCACCAGTCTCTGTGGTTCCTTGAAGAATCCCATCAAATTCGTATCGGGTATCGATTGCTCTGGTGGAGATTCGGGTTTCAACCTCCGTTCCCTAGATCTTCCTGCTCCATGGTACTAAAAGTTTCCATTTTTAGGGCTTTCGATTTATTCTCGCCCTTGTTGACTAATCTTGTTTATACTCACCTCTGTTTGGACCCACAAGCTTTCTCAAATGGGTTGTTTTAGATCAGTTTGTGATAGGAGAAAGGACAATGCTTTAAATGCTTGACGATGATTTTGGTTTTACATTGGGATTGAGCTAAGCTTTACTTTGATGCTTAATGGAATTGACCAATGAACTGGTTTGGTTGCGATTTTAATTTAATGCAGGTTCATCTACTCGTTCATGGCGATTGGGATTTTGGTCTGCATTGTCACTATCATCGGTTTCATAGCAGCTGAAGCTATCAATGGCTGCTGCTTGTGTTTCGTATCCTTATATAGACAATACAGACTCTTACTCATTTGCCTCTGTTGATAACATTCTATGGGGAAGTTTAATCCTTGATAGGTCTTAGTATTCTATTCTCAAAACTCTTCTCATCATACTTGAAGCGGCTCTCGTGGGATTCATAGCGATTGACCGTCACTGGGAAAAGGTGAGGTGGTTTTCTTACATTTGAAGCTTGTATCTTTTGTGTTGATGTTAACGGTCTAAACTCGTGTCTCTTTAGGATCTTCCGTATGATCCAACTGGAGAACTCACTAGCCTTCGAGCTTTCATTGAAGCAAACATCGATATTTGCAAATGGGTCGGCATTGTTGTGGTGGCGGTCCAGGTAAAACTAACTCAGTTCTTGCCTTTTCGACATTTGAGCTTTTCTGTGATTCCCTCTTTTAGACTATTTTATGTTTGTCTTCATACACGAGTTTTGTGTTTCAGTTACTGTCATTGCTAATGGCTATGGTTCTGAGAGCTATGGTTTCACCGCGACAATCAGAGTTTGACGATGAGGATGATTATGAGAACCCGATGAGTAGAGCACGTGAGAATCTTCTTGGTCCGCAGGCAAACCAAACATCTTCTGGATCAAGCAATATTGACAATTGGAGGTCCCGAATCAGAGAGAAGGTAAAAAGCTAAGTTTCTTGATCGATTGAAAGGAGTACCAAAGATTTAAGCTTGTGACTGATTTTTTTTTTTTATAACTGGTTGTCTTCTACAGTACGGATCAATCAACGGTCAGAGTCAGAGTCCATCAGTTTAACTCAAAAGACTGTGGTCTTGTGTTTGGAATCATCAACTTCCTCTCTCCCCATTTTTTTCTCTCTCGCTGTCTTTGTAACTTTCGAGTGTGCATAAATATTACACCACTATGTAATCGTTTGATCTTGTTTGTTGAAACTCGGCTTAGATCTTAGCAACACTGCTTTCATTTTTTATTTGTACAAACCATTACGAGATGTGTGTTAAAATGGGAATAACTTCTTATTGCTCTGATTCAATAATGGTTACATAGCATTTTGTTCCCTCTCTCAATCGTTACAAAACAAAAAAAAAATCGAGACACAAATCTTCCCATAGACAAAAAGAAACTTGCACTATATTACATTTTTATTGAATGTAGTACTTGCTCTATCGTTCTTGTCTCAACTCATCGTGTAAGATCGATAACGGCATCCTCTACGAGCTCTTGCAACAATGTCCTTTCAATTTCAATCCCAAAGTCGTCTATCTCAACTTGCAAGCCATGATTCCATGTCCTCCCAACAATCTCGTCTTTCACTAGACTCTCTGCAGCCAAACTGTTTGCGTCTATGTCCTCTACATAGTCACGCTTTCCAGGCTCATCCGAAACCCAGTCCTTTACCTGAGCCCACACATGCTCCACCAGGTCGAAAGGCTGAGAATCATTGCCCATGCGTGTAGTCGTTGTTTCTGAAATGATGGAGTTGATGCGGTCGAAAATGAGCTTACGTGTTGACCTGTGTTGTCTGCGTTTTCCTTCGTGAATAAACTCCTTGATGTTGTTGTTATCTACGTTGGTGTATTTGTCTCTGAGTGAAGGGTCTAAGGGACTGTTTGGCAAGTGCCACCGCGTCATGAGCTGGTCATGAGAGACGGTGCAACCCCTGCTGAAACCAGCAGATGTCAAGAGCGTTTCTATTAATGCATACCAGTCTTCATCCTCATGGACTCCCACTACGGGTTTAGATGTGTTGTCTGTGCATGACTCATCATCCCATGAGAGGATCCGAGCGATTGACCCGATTGGTGGTGACTTGTCGATGAGATTAGATTTAAGAGACATTTCCTCTCCTGTTGAGAATGAAACATGTGGAATAATGTAAGAGGAAAGCTGAGTAAGTTAACTCTCTGCAAAACCAAGCAACCGAAGGACTAACCTTGAGTTGTCCATAGCTTAGTTGACCCAGAACATTCTGGAGTGCTGATAGATTCCTCTTCAAATGGCGGAAAGAGAACCGAAATTGGACTTGGCTGGTCCTGGTTTTCACTTGTATTCCCAGCCGCTAGGGGCTTCGGTGTAGTCAGTTCCTCCTGCAAACAAATGAAAATAGCTACTGATGTAAGCAAGAATGTTCAGAATCATCAACGGCTCCTTGACTACATTGAAAAAGGTTAGAGAATTGATGGGATACCTCGCCTGGGATTATACTTTGCTGTTGTGATCCATCAGGAGGGAGACTATTTTCGCTGGTTTTCCCGGGAAGAGTAACAGAAGAAGGCATTGCTAACTGAGACATACTACTGTACTGAGATGCATCTCTCTTCTCCTTGCTTGCTTTCTTATTCTTAAATGAGAACAAGTTCGAGACTTTCCATGAAGATTTCAGGCTTCCCATCTCAGTCAGCTCTTGTGGAGCTTGTGCTTTGGAAGTCCCCGAAACAGATGTTTCTCCATTGAGCCTAACGTCAGAGACTGATTTTGACCTCGCAAGGATATTCAGAGAATCACTAGCCCTTTCCACTTGATCCATATGACTGGTTATGCATGATGTTGACACCCTTGTCTCTAGTGCTCTCTCATTGGTCTCGTAAGGTCCGGTTGTCACTTTGGTCTCTGAGAGTGCAAGCATTTCCCCTAAGGTGCTTGAAGATCTTGGTCTGTGTTTATGCGGCTGAGTGCTTCCGGTTACTGACATCAACGCCCATCTTTCGGAAAGTCGCTTCTTTGCCTCTCTGCAGACAGATGACTCTGGAGAAAATGAGGCTCGGCTGAAAGAGGAAGGAGAGAAAGGACTTTCAAACCTATTAGGACAGTCCCATGAATGTCTAGAAGCTGGTGACATGATCTCAGACTCGCTAAGGTTTCCCACTGGATCTTCGTTATCAGACTTGTTAAACGAACTATCATCACCAATGTAGCCATTGGATAAGACAGAAGAACATTGAGTCTCATTCCTGTGGTGGCCCATCAAATTTTCGCGCACTTGACGCGTAACTTCTTTTGCCACTTCATTAGACTCAACATCTCCAGGCTCATCAAAATAGCCCCCATTGGGAAGACCCCTCGGAGAGGATGGGGATGATGAAACAGCTTTTATATCTAGAGACTTCCCTAGACTAGGCTTCAACACGACAATTCGGGTTGGCTGCACGTGGTGTTCCTCGGTTCCCCGGTTGACATAAGATGACGAGTAACCAAGATCACGGTTTCCCCATCCACTTTCTTGGCTTGATGAAGCCAATTTCTTAACCTGCTTGTTCTTCCTCCCTTGGACCACAAATTTTTCAGTTTCAACAGCCTTTGAAGGTCTCAATACTGTGATGCGCTTAGCCTCTGAATGAGGAGGAACAGGCTGCAAGTCGGAAAGATGCTGAGAGAAAGCATTTGATTCCTCGAGAAGTTTAACAAACAAATCCTTGTTGGAGCTTAAAACTTCAAGTGCATCTTGGAACTCTTTGGATTGGTGAAGACTATCATCTGTTACAAGGCGTTTGGCTTCCGCGAGCTTTTGGCGAACAAGTTTCTCAGTGATACTGTCATCATATCTTCCTTTTCTAGGCGAGCTATCCCTTGAACGACTCACCTTCTGAGGCGACTGCCACGTTTCATACACATCTTTAAATTCTCTGCTAAGCTCCTGATAATTCCGGACCTCATTATCCCTCGAAGTCACCGGATGATTCAGCGAAGAGTATGAATTGCTTCTGGATTTGCCTCGCTGTGTAGGGGATTCTAAATGCAGCTGAGGAAGTGTTTCCAAACCCATCAGCTTAGCAACCACATTAGTTGGGCTCTGTTTAGGTTCGACTTCTTTTGACATCTCTCGAGCAATGAGTTTCTTCATCGGTGTACCACTTACGTTGCTAGAAGCACTTCTCCTCAAATCAGACATAATCTGAGCAAACATCAAGTGGTGCAAATAAGGACAACGATCTGAAAAAATCTCTGTTCCTGGCATGCATAATAATATCTTGATTATAGAACTAAAATTTACCAATTCAGCTTCTGAATGGCCTTTATAGGAGGGGCTTGGCATTCGAGTCACATCAGATCGACTCCTTGACAGAGAAGATCCTGCCAACAAACTACCTCGTGTCAATAACATACATGGTGCAGGAACATCTTACTAAATGTCAGAAATTTTTTAATAAAATACATTTGCGATAATAACACAGAGTTGCTTCCTTGAGTTAAAAAAAAATAACTTTTGACTTGTGAACAAACCAGTCACAAAGGGAAACAGTCATTACCATCACGATGTGGTTTATCTGTAAGCAACTTGTTCCCATTAACAGCTGTTCCTAGATCAAATAGGTTAACCATCCTCCCCAAGCATCCTGGAATTGGACTTTCGACCTTTTGAACCTTTCTGCCTCGGATCTCATTCATTTTGGCCCCTGCAGTTTCACAGCCATTAGTTATTTTCTAAGGTTGCACTTGGCCTGGAAGCAGATTACCATGAAAGACAATAATGGTCGTCTGAGGAGAAAATGCAAGACTGCAATCTAAGTGACATGAAATAGACTGTTGGAGTTGGAATCAATATTTTAGGAATCCAAGAGAGAGAGAGAGAGACATAAGATACAAACTTTAAACTTAAAAGATCTAAGGAAGGGAAGAATGTAGAAGAAGAGAGAATTTTTAGAAACGAAGAAGAATAGGCCAAGCATAACAAAACAAGAATTTGGTAAGAAAAGAAAAAGAGAATAAGATTCTGTAATCACAGGGACACTTGATAGTGTCTGAACATAAGGAAAGAAGAACCAATGACCAATTTTCACATATGACCTATCACAATCAAAGACAGACACTTTTACACTCTGAACAAACTAAAATTACAACTCAACAATTGGCTTACCTTTTAAAATAAGAAGGAAATGGGTTCTCGGATCCTCAAATTCCGAGAATGATGATAGAAGGAACAATACAAGCAAATCCTCAGGCACAATAGATCTGCATTTATCAGATTCTAGCAATTAGTAGTGATATAACGCTCTAGTATCTACAAACTCAAATTTGTCATCATCAGTAATAAATGCTACAACTTTTATTAAAAGATAACAAACAAATCGACAAACAGAAGAGTAAATCAATCCAGCCAAATTAGCTTATTCAATCAGAATTGGAAAAAAAACTGTAATTTTCGCTGCAAGACAAAAAGCTAAATTTTTTAAAAAGAAGCTAATCGGTGCAGAGAGAGAGAGATAGAAGGTAAGGATCAGAATCTATTTCTAGTAAGAACACAGAAAAGCAAACAAGAAATCGAAACGAGAAAATAGGAAAAGCAAAAAAGAAAACATCGGAAAGTGAGATCAGAGCTAATGGTTCAGACATTTCTTGCTTTACTCTCGGGGGAAGAGAGAGAGAGAGAGAGAGAGAGAGAGAGAGAGAGAGAGAGACCTGTAACTGTTAGGAGGTAGCTAGATATACATCGGAAACTCCGCCGGAGAAGATGCCGCCGGAGATGAAGTAGCCAAATCTGCCTATCTCTCTCACTCTGGGTATCTCCACGCGCTCACCGAGTGGGAAATGGAGTCGGACGCGAGAGGTATTTTAGTAAAATAGAGTTAATTACGGAATCTCACGTACAGACAAAACATATGAAGAGAGAGAGAGAGAGAAAGAAGAAGAGAGGAAGGAAGAAAATGCTGCTCTGTACTCTCTTCCTCTTTTGTGTTCTCTTCTTTGCTTCCCAATTTTTTTATTTTATTTTTTCTCAATATCTTCTCTTATGTCTTTTGGTTTTATTATACAGTATTATATATCATTCAACAATATTGAACTCAGATAAGGAAATAAATAACAATTCATCAAAATTTTGTTGTATCTCAAGATAAAATGCTACATCGGGAAATCAAATTTATTGATGTAGTTTTGTAAAAATCAAATTTATTGATGTAGTTTTGGTGATCAATGTAAGCAAGCAATATAGTCAAATACTTTTGGGTATTATTAATGGAGTTCCCTTATTGATAAAGCTGAAAACGAATTTAGTTAATATAGTCAACAATTTTTTGTTTAGGTTAATTTTTCAGATCTGGTAAATTTATTGTCTTACCAACTAAAGTTAAGTGACTGTATTTTTTATATAAAATGGTGAAAGCTAGTCATATTTACAAAATATTCCATAACATCTGGAAGATGGCAAATACGTTTGGACTTTGGAACATCAAAAGTATATACATGTTCTTGAGAAGAAAATAAGATTGAAGAGAGAATGTGATTAAACCTTTAATAATTAGGGAAGCAACATCAAATGATGATATAATATGTTTCTATTTTTGGTTGAATGGATGGATCGTTCGTCCCCATCTTCACATTCACAATGAATGCTTTGATGAACGTTTGGTATGGCTCAACAACCAAATCCTTTGCTGTGCTACTTTCACAATTACTATACATTGTATTTTACTTTTGTTATTGGTAATTTATATATACACATATTTTTATTTTTTATTGCTCTAAATTTCGTAAGGATTGGCTGATATAAATACATCATTCAAACTAAACCAGTCAATATTTTTATCATCTACTATATAACTAGTGTCCAGAATCTTGGGATAACCTCAGCTGAAATGAATATAACATAATATGAATTTAAAATCAAACTAAACTTTAGTTTATAATTTTTCATGTATCTAAAAGTACAAATCAAGTAAAAAACAGATTAAACCCATATGTTTTGAATATCAGCTTATATTACATTATTGTATTTTACTTAAAACTCGAATATGAATCACAGAAAAAACAAAAGCGTTGTAGACCAAACCAAACAAATACCAGGGGATAAATCAAGATCTAAAGTATTCTATAGCGATTTTAATTAAAGTTGGTCATTGTGGATGTTTAAATGATAGAAATACTTGGTGATAAAATAAAATTTTAACATCACAATCGTCTTTATAATGTAATTAAGAAAACCATTTTTGTGATTTTTCGTCCATATTTATGGGCATATTAATTTACATACATTTGCAACAATAGACGACGCACTGTTCTATTGGAATTTCCCCACTGATAAGTAAAAACTTTATTAGATCCTAACAGAACCATTTGAACATAACTTGTCCTTTTCATGTATGGGTAATGGAATGATGATCCATTTCTCTGTTGTCAAATTACTATTGGCGATGATTTAATATCGGTCTTCCAATCATACAATTTATTGTTTCGTACCCTATATACTGTATTACTGTTTAACATCTAACTCTAACAGGCTCTTTATGTTTTTCTATATATAACCAATGAGAACTTAAGATCGAAATAGATAATATGTAAAACATGCGTAATCTATGTAAACTATGTATACAGTGACAAAGGAGAGGATGAGCCTGATTAACAAGAAACGATAAAGATCATTACGACTCGACTACTATCGTTTGATTGGTTCTACATGTTTAAATAAAAAGCTGGACCAAATAAAAGAAAATCTGAAATGGACCAGCCAATGTATGTATCTTTAATTTCAATTAATAATAATAATGTCAAACTATATTAAAAAGAGCAATAAAAACGTGTTGCCATAAACATTATGGCTTTAATAACTATATATATAATAGAACAAAAAAAACTATATAGAAAAAAAAATCGCCTAATGACATATTTTTTAATCTGTAAAATCCACCAAATATATTCGGATTAACGTTTCATATATTTTTATTAGTCTTTTTTGCCAACTTGTGAATCACAACTTACGACACTATATTTAAAATTGGACAAGAAAACAGTTTCTATTTTAAATTACGACATTAAAACAAAATTTACATTTTTGGTTGTTATAAAATAAATAAGACTTCGGCTAAGATGGTTATGAAAACAAGAATGAAATGCAAATGTCTTTTCCTGAAGATTTATGTAGTACTAGTGTAAGTTAATATCTTATGATAACTTTGAGGCCCTTGTAAACCTTTGAATATAGTGAGTTTACAGTGAAGGGACCCTTAGCAAAGACAAGCCATAGCAGTCCACGTGGTTTAGTTTACACTTACATTATCATCTCCCCTCCGGTTCGGCTTCATGATAACGGTATAGAACTAAACCTTTAAATTATCATCAGGTTCGTAGAATTTTGAATCACACTAAAACCATATTTATGTTTAATCATTTGTTAGTTTGGTTACATGGTGTTTGTTTGTCCCATGAAAAAATTACCAATCACCAAACACATAGGTTGGGGACAGGCCAGTTGGATTTATCTCTGAGTGACTGAATGAGTGTAATGTACTATTTAGTTGAATGTACATATTCATTCACCGTTGAATTCAGAAGACAACAACGTATCTATATTCTAAGATTATCATTAGCTACTTTTCAAAAAAAAAAAAGAAGGGACTATCATTAACTTATATACATCAGTCAGATACTATCTAGCTTATAAAATAAACTACAGAAAAATCTAAAATCACTAAAACACAAAAATCTTGAAAGAATCAGAGAAGAAAGAAAACAACATGGCCATTTGATGGGACTATATCATTAGTTTATATATGGAGGACAAGTAAGACAAGAAGATGTACAGTTATGTAGCCAATAAGTGTTCCACTTCATGTGAGACCATTGCACTCATTAGAAGACCAACTAAACCTTATAATATAAGACTAATACAATTCATAAACATGCATGTGTTCATATTTTTTTATTTTATGACACGATATTTGTGTGCGTTTGTAAGTTTTTCTTTTGATAGTTTTTTTTTTGCTTAAGTTTTCTTTTTCTTTTGGCAGTTCTGTCTCGTATATCATTATGTAGTGGTCCTATAAGTTAGCGTATATAATTATGAATGCAATAAATTAACAATGTGGACTATCTAATCAAATTAACCGGGTTACGACTTAAGAGAATAGTTAAGTTTAATCAAGTTGGTATATGTATTGTATATTGTAATACAACAATATAAAGTATACACACTAGCTAGTTTGGTGCTTTTGGAGCTTTAGGAACGTTTTGACATGACTGTTGATGCCGAGTTAAAATGTTAAATGGAGAGTATCCAACAAATGCTGAGCATGAGTGGCATGGTAGGGAGCAACTTTGTAGCTAGAACCTGTCAGATTTGCCTTGACCCTCTTGAGTAAGCATAATCAAAGAACAAGCTAGTGATGGTTGGATTCAGTGTTGGCAAAAGGACTTCGCATTAATACATCTGCGAAAGAAAATAAAAATTTAGAAACAATATCAAAATAAAAACAAGAGCTATGATTATCGATGAAATATTGTAGAGGGTGTCAATGTGATGTTGAAATAAGCATAAGCAATTGAATGTAGTATTAATCATCAAAGAACCAACCATCACTTCATGTACAAAGATTAATCTCATCGTCTTTGAATGTAGTCTTGAATTTATTGATTTCGTTAGTGAGTTCAATCATGATATATGTGTCATCTAAAATATGGTTTTCTGGTTAATTGATTTGCAATAAGAATGGTTATTGATTAAATTATTTCATTTTTTACTCGCTGTGAGGAAACTCTGAGATATATTTTACATTTTATCCTCATATAATAATCCATTTACAAGGGAATTATGAAAGGAAAGTGCCACGTCATCACATTATCCTTAAGAACCGATATGTAATGTACACGTGGCAGATCTCAAGTGGAGGGAAACGATTCGTTTAACCCAAAACATCTCAAACACTTCCCTTTTCTTAGCCGTTCGAACATTATTACAATCAACAAAACAAAACAAGAACCACTCTTTCGTGTCGGAAGAACAACGAGAAGAAGAAAAAAAACCAAAAGATGGCGATGACGTCAGCATCTTCGGTGTTTGTTTTGACGGCCAATGTCACGGCGGCCGCCGGCGCTTCATCGTCCAGGAACTCCGTGTCTTTCTTGCCGATGAGAAGCGCTGGTTCTAGGCTCGTAGTCAGAGCATCCGAAGAGGCGGCTCCGGCAGAATCTTCATCGGAAGGTGCTCCGGCAGCTGCCGTTTCTCCGGCTGGAGCTGCTGCCACCAAACCCAAGCCACCTCCGATTGGCCCTAAGAGAGGGTCCAAGGTCAGCTAATTTAAACCATCTTGTTATATACTAACATACGACAAAATTTACATATCGATCGATGGATTTGTGTGAAGATTTTATTTGAATTACATTGATATCCATTGGTAAACGGTAATCCGTAAAATGGTGAAATGATAAAATGATTATGCGATTTCCGAAGCTTTGCCAATTACACAATTATGCTTATGCAAAACTGAAATTCTAGTGACCAAAAAATAAAAAATCACCACATTTTCTTAGTGGAATCTTTCTATGAAACTTTATGGGTTTCCAAATTCAAAATCACTATGCAATGAGTGGATTAGTCCTATTTTCGATGTCATTTCTAACAAATTCCATCATTTGATTATTATTTTGTTACTACTAATCAGATATAGATGATCTTTTGTAAATTTTTGGGTATTTGTATTTGTTTGGAAGTTACGGGTTATATTTCATATTTATGTAAACTGTTGGGGTTTGTAGGTCAAGATTCTAAGGAAAGAATCCTACTGGTTCAAGAACGTTGGATCAGTTGTGGCCGTTGATCAGGTAAACGCATTTAGTCTCCAATCAACGATCTAACGGTCACACATATACATCTTACAACATGCGGGTTTATACAATTTTCTTACCCGGGTTACAAATGTGCAGGACCCAAAGACCAGGTACCCGGTAGTGGTCCGGTTCGCGAAAGTGAACTACGCCAACATATCGACCAACAACTATGCATTGGACGAGATTGAAGAAGTTAAAGCTTAAGGAGGTGTAAACGAGAGACCTAAAAGAATTGTGTATTTTGGTTTACTGTTTATACCGGTCTATCTGTTTGTAACTTGACCCGAACCGTATGTACCGAAAAGTTTTACCATTATTTCTCCTCATCTGAATCTTGAGTCGGCATCCTAAATTTTTTACAAACTGCGTTGTTGGAAAAATCTGGTTAAATTTCTCTCTGCTCAGGTTTAACTCTTAACCATACCGCTTCATAAACATTTTCAAACCGGTAAGTACTCAGTTAGGTCAGCTAGATACACGGGCTCGATTAGGTCGCAACAGTGAAATTAATAATTTTGAAGTCAAATTCTTTCCATAACTTTACATTTCCGTTTTCTTATAGAAGACTAAAAAAAAACTTTTAATTACGTCCCTAATTTCGAAAGTATCTACACTCTACCATCCATACCGTCAAGAAGACCGGTCCAGATTCCCTTAACCGGAGGAAGCTGTGCAACAAAGGCTTGCCATGGAGGATAACCCACTCCACTTCCTCTTACACGCCCGTCCAAACGTAGAGATAAATACCTACAATCAACAACAATCACGCGAAAACACTCATATTCAGCTCAAGAACTCATTCAAGTTTCACTCTAAACCGGTTTCAAATTAAATGCAAAGAACTACTTACACTGGAGAGTCTGAAGAAACACCAGCAAGCTTCTTCTGCTCATCTAACCACCTGATCAAGAAAAGTAACTAATCAAGAACACCTACAAATTCGACTCTTTCAAGTCATGTTTCACTCTTTATATCGAAAGATTCTTACCTTTCCCAATCCGAGACAATAACTGGAGCCACACGCCACAATCTCCTCCTTCTCTGGCTCATTTCTTCATCATCAGTGTCAGTCTCATCGAGCTCCAAAACCGGAGAATTCCCATCCGTAGCATAAGCCACCACAACTACACCTCTCTCAACAAGCCCTTGTGTAAACTCTCTGCTTCTCTTGAACGCTTCTTCGATATAATCCGCAGGACCAGCGCAGATCACAAGCCTAGCAATCCCTCTCAGATCACCCACCGAGATAACCTTGTTGTTCTCTTCGACCCTCATTTTGAGTTTCGCAAGATTCTCTTCCCTCGAGAGCCTGGCCATTTGAGCGTTCTTGGTCTTGTTTTCGCGGAAGTAGAGGAACGCAAAGAGAGAAGCTGCACCAATGTCGATTCCTAAACCCTGTATGATCTCAAGAACTTCGCCTGATCTTGCCGGATTCGCTAAGGCACCGATGAGCCTGGAAGTGGCTATTAGTCCTCCTAGTGAAGCGCTTGCTATGAAGGCGAGGTAGAAGAACATTCGGACTGATCTGAATGGAGACAGAACCTCACTTCGGATTCTGGCATCAGCACTGGAAGCATAAAGCAAAAGAATTTCTTTAAGGTTTCTCAAATGTTCTCTGAAATTCTGAGAAATTTGCTAACTTTTCCCGGGAAAGAGCGCTATTACTGGGTTTTATGCAATCGTCTTTCAAAGTTTCAACCTTTCATCATCTCATAGAGCATAAATTTCATTCAACAACAACTGAGAATCTAAAACCCATAATTCATCAAATCTAAAGACGAAGCCCAAATTTAAAGAAACAGTTTACCTGATTTCGGATGAGGAAGAGGGCTCGTCTGCAGCAAAACACACGGTGCTGAAAGACAAAAGTTGCTGCTTTCCAGTTATCGTCGAAGACCAAAATCTAGGAGAAAACTCACGTCTTTCTATGTGATTATGACGGGAAAATCTAGGAGGAAAGTATGGTTCTTTTGTCTGTATAAGAGCTCGTTTACTCAAATGAAAATGGTAGATGTAAGCCTGGGACGAGACCAGAGTAGCCATTGGTCTCTGTAGATTCCCTGAAACTTCCTCTGTTCATAAGATGACTTCTCCTTTCATTTTGGATCATGTTTTTTTTTTTTTAACCTCTCTATCAGCCTGTGATCATAAACTCGCCACGCTTCTCAGATTCAACATCTCTTTTTGGGATCTTCTGGAACATCCAATAGGTCAATTTTGAAATTTACAAGATCTGTTTTTTGTAAGTTTTGGATTACTCTAAAAACTGGTGAATTCAAAGGGTGAAAATCAAAGAGAGATCAACAACTACTGAATTACTAAATGATGTTTTGATATTTATTTAGTTTTATTATTTTATTTAAGTGAAGGTTCAATGTGTTGAGCCAAGAATACGAGGTTCAATGTACATACAAAAGAGAGAAAAAGGAGTTAAAACTCTTCCAAGCTCTATATGCAAAATCTCCAAACCAGTTTCATCAGCTCCTCAAGTCTGACCGGTTTTACCGTTGGCTTCAGCTAACATCAGTTCCAGTTCTCCTTTCCTGTTCAGCTTCACTGTATCTGTAGTAAAACAAGACGAAGATATACAGAGAACTGAAGTGAGAAAGATCCAAAACACTGGTGGTGATCCGCTTAAAGATAGGAGAAAGTTTTCTCCTTGACTATGTAAAATCTACACAGAAACAGACAGGCGGGCGAATGAGAGAGAGAAAGTACCTGTGCAGCCACCAATGTGCTTGCCTCCTGGTCATTAAGACAAAAGATTAGATACTGTTATGTCCTGTCTTAAACCGAAACCATATTGTTCACTTCTTTGGTGCATTTAAAGATTTCATCTTTCGAAGCAAGATATAAGGAAAAAATGTTTGTATATACTCCTGAGTATTTAAGCAATGTATTCGATTCAATGAAGATATGATCGATGCAAAAGGATTAAACTACTTACCGACGAAAATATTAGGAACAGTGTGTTGCCCAGTAAGTCTTTCCAGTACCTTCTGCAGTTGTGGCCCTTGTGGACCTGAAAATGAGCCAGAGATCGAAAGAATCCTGAATCACCAACTATTTTGACAATTGCATCTTCAACTGTTTTCAAACATTTACTAGAAAGATCCAAGTATAGACTAGTAATTCAACAAGAAACAAAAGCAGATTATCACAAATACCAAAGGCAGACAAGAATCCCCAAAGTGTAAATTTCTAAACCGAAGTCCACATATAGAAGTTAATGGAAAAAGAATATGAATCAATTGGAACCCGATTCATTCAACGAGTCTACATGATCACAGCATAAACTAGATTAGTATTGTGCATCTGGACCACATGCAAAGGTTAAACGCAATACGGATGGATGCTATTAAACAGCTAACAAGCACTCTTTCATTGTCTATCTACAGCCATGACATAAAGTATAAGGTTAATATTATCATACTCTAAAGTCTCAAATCGATAAATCAAAGCTAAGCTGACTAATGTATGAAAAAAAAATAGAAATGTAGACATACCAAGTTCATCCAATTCAATCACCAGTGGCTGAACCCCCAGTCTCTTGAACAATGTCTTCACTTCAGAACAGTATCTTCAATACACAACAAAACCCAAAAGATATATGTTTAGAAATCAATCAAAAGAGTCATAATTTGTGTTGAGAAAGGCCAGAAGACACAGTAAGGTCTGACGAACAGCAAATTTTGTTTCTTTAAGAAAACTTTATATGGATATGAACAAAGCCATTCTCCAATCAAGCAAGATTGAAAATAAATCCTAATTTAGATTATTTGAAAATCCAAGAAAATGAAGAAAAAAATAAGAAATGAAACCTACGAGCACCAAGTTTTGGAGTAAACAACGACGGTGTTGTCAGTCACCGTTTTCTTCACGCTCTCCTCCATTCTCGATCCGAAGGAAGAAGACGAAGCAGACGAGGAAGAAGAAGAAGACATGGCTCGAACAGAACATGTCTGCTTTAGACATCTCTTGAAAGGAGATCCGACGGAGTTTCTGACGCCGCCGCTTATCAGAGTGAACGAATAAGAAGAAGAAGAAGAGATTGAAGGAATCGGATCTAGAGACGACGATGCGAGTTTCAATGTGTTGAATGCTGTGACTGCCATGGCGATTTTCCGAGTCTTGGATTCTCAAAAAGTCGACAGATGCTTGGAGCTTCTTTGCGTGGTACTTGTTGTCTCGTGACTTGTCCTCTTTTCCTTTTATTTTTTTGGTTATAAAAAAAAAAAAAAAAAAAAAGAAGCTGAAATTTCGTGACCAAGAAAATAAATCTGAATTTTATTCTGCGGGTTCTCATACTTAATGGGCCTTTCACTATTATAAATGTGCGTTTCTTCTATACAAAGCTTTGTTTAAAGTATTGTTTCTATAAATTAATGGGCTTCATGGGCTTTATAGAAGTTCCAAACTAATCTTACTTGCGAGCTATAGAAAAATTGTTGACCGCTTCTTTTTGTGTGTGTGTGACTGTGTGTGTCATATAAGAATGTTATATGTTTAATGTTTTTAATTATTGGGTGTTTAATCTTTAAAAGATATGAAAAAATTGGAGTTTTTTTTAATCAAACATTTTGATGAACGTTTAAGAAAAATAAAAATATATTGAACGTGCATGTAGCTATTTGACCATTGTTCTATATTGTCTAATTTACACTGAGCCTATAATGCTTTGGCTTGGCTGCAAATCGAAGGAAATATATTATTCTTTTTCTTTCAACGAATTATTACTGATTTTACATTGGGATTTTGAATCTTTACGAAATTTGTTTGGCAAGTTTTTATCGTTTTAATTCAAGTGTGGTGGTGTATATATGATCAAAGCCTCAAAGAGCGTGAACTCGCTATAACCACATGTACACATCCATCGAATTCGTTTGATATATTCGTGGTGATTTTTCGAAAAAAGACTTCTTAAATTACCAAAAAGTTTGGTCACTTCAAAAATTAGTCCAGCGTTTTAGTAAAATTCGAATACCCGATAGATACCAAATCCAAAAGTTTTGTCGTTTTACTTTAAGAGGCAATAGCAAAATCAAAATACACTACGAGTCAATAGCAAATACACTACGAGGCAATAACAACTCATCTATGGACCTACCTTGATATAAGATCATGTGGGGACTTTAGACTAGTTGTAACGTCATGGGTTCGAATTATTTCATTGTTTTGTCAATATCCCACCAACATTTTCTTCATTCATTTATAGCCCAAATCTTTGTTCTATTGACATACATCATACATATATATTATATAGTATATATGAGCACATATTTGATATGTACATGGTTTATTTAATATTATATATATACCACTTTAATTATAAACAAGTGCAATATAAATTTGACTAAAAGAATTGGCAAGTACTCTCACTTGTTCAAGTTCCTTGTGTTGTCCGTGTCCATGCATCCATGTCACAAATCAAATACTTTAGAAAATTCAGATATATGTTTCCAATATGTATTCTAACGAATGAATATCTTAATACTCAAATTAGAGTCAGGTATTTAAGTTTTAGTTCTAGGTATTTCAGTCATTCTATAAAATCTTAATTCTTCTACACAAATTTCCAATCAAGAATAAAATATGACATCAACTTTCTAAATATTATAAAGGAACTATCACGAAAATATATAAGAAATATTACATATAATAATAGTTTAAGACTTCTTATATAGTTTTAGGTGTTGACAAAAACATATAAAAGTTTAGGTTCAATTTGAATATTCAAACCCAAATCATTTTTAGTATAATGTACCAATAACTATCACTTCTCTAACCTGATTTTATGGATATCCAAAATTCAAAAGGAGCGGAATGAATCTAGAGCCGAACTAAAATGCCCACAAAATATACATGTGTGTGTATGTGTGTGTGTGTGTGGTACGTAGAAAAGCCATATAGAGACATGGGTGCAATAATGTTCCATTCGAAAGTTTACCCATCACAATGATTAAATCCAGTTCGTTTGAATCATTACTCTTTACGTGCCAGTTCAAAGTAAAGAACTACAATTTGAGGGACGTAAACTTATATATAAAAATATTTATTGGACTTGTTTAATAGTTTCTTGTTCGAGAAGTAGTTTCTACTCGTATTTATCTAAATATTTCTTTCGATATACATATAAATACGTTAATCGTTGGACTTGTAAAAATGAGTTACTCTTTCAAACTTTCAAGCATTGCGTATAGTAGATATGAAGTGTTTATTTTGGTTTCTTCTATCTTGTGTTTAGTCTCAAGGAATATTTTTCTTTTTTCGCAAGAGGTAGTTCATCTAACAGACATAGGCATGTGAAAGGAACAAACCCTAGTTTTTGCAGACTTCGGTAATTTGTATGATGGACAATATGGGCCCTTGAACATGAGTGATTTCTCCATTGGAGAATTTATGACCATTCCCATGTGTTACTCTTTTACTCTTTGTCATTGATATCTTCAAATCAAATATCAACTCATTTTGACCCATATATATCTACCTTGCATATTCTAATCAAAAGTATGAATGTCAACAAAGATCTAATTAAAGCCAAGTTTGATTGTATCCAGCTTTTACAAAACCATTTCAGAATTAGTTTAAAAACAAAAATCCAGACGGTAATCTACCAAAACAATAAACCTCAATGATAATTATAAATATTTTTGGATAAGATGTTATCAGGTTTGGATTTTTGGGGTTAATTCGATAGTCAGCTTAGAACAAAATGTATTTGAAGACTTTAAGAATTTGGTCGAAATATGTCAAATTGGTATGATTCACAACTTTAAACCAAAGACAAAAAAAAATCTTATTACGCAATTTCGACAGAAAAGTAAATAACACTGTGAATTTAAATCGACGCATATCTACCTATGTGATCGATCCCTAGCTAGCTATAGGTTTCATAACCACAATATCGTATATATAATCAAATATGGTGAATGTGAGGTGACAAGTGACAAGTATGGCAAAAGTAAATAAAGCAAAAAGAGATATGGCCACTCGAAATCAACATCTCTTTGTAGTTTCTAAATAGGTAACATGAGGTGAGGGTACATGAGGCTAGACGATCACTTATCCATGGCCTTTGAAATAGACTTCACAATCACGTCATGCATTACATATACATATATATATATATATATATATGATAATGTATATAGTCATAATCATCAGAATATTCTACTTCCAAGATATTATAGACGTAACTAATTCAAGTACTTTGGTGGAACTTTAAATTTACTATTTATGGAGCTAGGTTTTTGTTTTTGTTTAATTGATATATCGTCAATAAATATGAATGGTACGTCTACTAGAAGACATCCTAATGTGTACATGATTTCAGTACCTATGTAAAAATGTATCAATAATTTTTATAGGAGTCTTTTTTGAAATTCAAATAAATTTACCAATAAATTTTGTAGTATGAAAAGTTCATCTACAGACTTCAACGTAACAATATATTTGACTTTTCGTACCTATATGGTTCAACGTTTATCGATTTTGCACATTGTGATCATTCATTTCATCCATCATAATTTTACTTTTTTAAATACACTAGAGAAATCGAGAGGATTTTAAATAGAAACGCTACATAATATGATAATAACTCCCTTTCGTTTTCTATAAAAGAGGATAACATACCAGCAAGAATATATGTATACATATATATATAAAAGTTTTGAAATAAGAATTATTATAAACTACATATCAGTTGTAATAATAAATGTTACAAATGCTGTGGTCGAAATTGGTTTTGAACTGATGGCTTTATCCTTTGACGTTGGACATAGGCCGATCTACATTTGATGTGACATTGTAAGATCTGTTTTATTAATGGATCTAAATCTCTTCGTTGGACCCAACACATGTGGGTTTTAATGTCATCACACAGTTTACTCACTTCTCTCTTTTGTTTTTTTCCCAAGCAATTCCACTACATATAAATTGAAATGTTTTTTCAGATTACGGAAATTCCGTGCTTTCGGATTTTGACCAAATGGATTCTTTGATATTAAAATATAATGTATTTGAAGAGAAAACTCTAAACTACCATTTTTAGAAAATAATAAAAATATTAAACAAAAAACAAAAGTATATCACAGCACCACGAGTATGTGATTTGGAATAGTAATTCTTTAAAAAAAATTCTTCCTAAAAAGTTTATTTTACATATATATATATATATTAAGTATTAGTCTATTCCTCCTAAGTCCTAACACTTTCATTCAAAATTGTATTTCATATTTAATATCTATATGGGGTACCCGATACTATAACATATTACATGATCATGTTCCAAATATCATGTAATCTTAGTTATATTCAGTATTTGTTAAAGTCTTAAAGACTCTTTTAGATGAGTCTAAAGAGTCCAAACTTCCATCGAAAAAAACTTAAATTACCCAAAACTAAAAGAATGTACTTATTTTCTTTCCGTACCAGGCGGAAAATCGATGCATGAACCACGATACTAATAATTGCATTAATGGCTCGAACCGAATGTAAAGTGAGGTTTAATTATACGGTCTGTTAATTAGGTTTAGTAACCTAATTAATTAACTCCAAGTTTCCAACCAACATAAACACGTAGCTATCTAATGTACGTAGTTGATAATTATTTTAAATTTTATTTAACCTTTAGAAAATCTTAGTCAGGAAGTTCTTATTCTTTCTGTAAGTTCTGTGAGTATATGATTGTTGTCATATATAGAGATTGCTTGAATATCATAAAAGGACATTAAAGATGTTAGGTCGTGTGAAGTAAGTGATGATATAACATGAAGCATATATTGTAAACTAGGAGCTGATACATGAAGCAGGAAACCCCATGCTCCCAATCATATCAATCTTAAGATCATACCCGTGAGTTTAGTCAAACAAAAAGGTTATTGTAATTATTCTTTTTTATTTTGTTTTTGCCAAACTGTAACTAAATATTTAAAATCTGAACATAAAACTAAACTTTTCATAAAATGATATACGATAACTAATTTTTTCCACTAGCATTATAGTTTCTAAAGATCGAAATTAATAAACACACTTTTGTCTAACCCTCTTAATATATTTCCTTGAAAGGTCATGTAGTTAAGATTCAAGTATTTAGGATTTATGAAAATGTCATGTAACAATTACTGGCAATTTCGGGTCTTCAAATTTGACGTGAATTAGTTGTGCACTTTTGTATATATATTGAAAAAACAAAAACAAAAACAAATTATAAATCATGTGAGAAAAAACAAAACGATCAATCGTGATCATTCTTAACTTGTAATAAATTTTGGTCCATCCATATTAAATGGTTCTAGGGGTGTCAACCATGGATGAAATCTTGTGGATTGGTCATAAACCACAAAATGGGTTAGTTTTCTGATTTTAGAAGAAAAAACGGGTTTCGTGGATTAATGCACTATGGATGGCAGTCTCAAATTGAAAGTCCCAAGTGATGGACACGACCCTTGGATTGGATAATCCTCAAGTTAAAAGTAGTAATAAAGATTAATTCTTAATGTTAAATAAAGATGTTTATGGAGTATTTTCTTAGAATAATTTTACTAAATAATTATATTAATATCGACTTTTGTTTGACAATCAATTATATATATATCATATTTACAAGAATAAAATTCAGCACAGATTAATATAGACATTATTTTTCTATCCTCTACAATAATTAAACAAAGAAAGTTAAACTTCTAAAAACTTGCGAACCAATCTGCAAAAGCCATGGTCATATGTTAGAACTTAGACGAGATTGGTTGGTGTTTCTAAAACGGAGGTTTGTTCAAACTCTTATCAAAAGGAGGTTTGTTCAATACTAAGTTACACATGGCCTGAAAAAACGTATCAGATGGGTGAAAAGAAAGAGAGCTTGAAGAGAACAATATTATGAAATTTGTATACAATATAGATGTTAACTATGCAAAATTAGGAAAAAAAAAACCTTGTACAAAAAAATCAAAGAACCCCCCCAAAAAGGTTAACTCTTAAAAGTAAAGAAAGTAAAAAAAAAATGGAAAACAAAAGGCCACATCATCCTCTGTTTACACAAAACACCCAAAACAACAAGTGGAGGAGGTAACACAAAAAAACAAACACACACAACACCCTTTTGATTCACTTTGGGTCTTCTTCAGGAGAGGGCTCATTCTTCTTTGCTTTTCTCTATCTGTGATCTATCTCTGTCCTAAAACTCTAATCTTTCTCCTAAAATTAGAACTGTTGAGAGATACATCGTCGATGAGAAGAAGCCGTCAAGCGTTTTGTTGGCTGTGTAGTTTCTAGTTTCCAAACAGAGCCTATGTCTTGTGCGATCTTAACCGCGTCCATTGACGCACCTGAGAGCCCTCTCCTCGTAAACCCAACCGCATACAATCCAGTCCTTCCTTTCCAACCGCTGCTTCCAACCGCTGTTTTCGGGAAACCATTCTTTGCAAAGAACTCACTCTCCTATAACAAAACAAGAACACAAAAAACCAAAGTCAGTACATTTGAACAACAAAAAGACCGATCCGGTTTGATTAAACCAAACCCGGTTAGCAAAATTTCAAATTTTTGTTTTGGTTTTGGTTTTGTTTTCTCACCTGTAGCCAATATGGGACGTTGCTGCGATAACCAGTGGCAAGCACAACTGAGTCGACGTCGAGTTGTTCTCCATTAATAAGTTCGACTCGGTTTCCGTTAAATCTTTTGATCCCTGGAACCACATCGATCTTTCCTGATCGGATCTTCTCCAGAGCTCCGATGTCAAGCACCGGCGTTTTGCCTTTCGCGCTCTTTAGCTCCATCGGACCCATCTCGGGTCGTTTCAAACCGTATTTCTCGATGTTTCCAAGCACGAACCAACAAAAAACCAGCAATATCTTGTCTACGAGCCATAAAGGAAGCCACTTTAGCATATTCATCGCAAGCTCAAACGTCGATTTCCCCATTACTTCTCTTGGCATCACATGAACCTGATGAAAAAAGATCGTAAATTTTGGATCAGATTTTATATCATCCTAATAAAGATCGGATTTTTGATCGGAAAGTTTGGATTTTTAACGACTTACGGAGCTTCTAACGACCATGGAAGGCTTAGCGAAATGATTAGCTAAGTCAAGAGAGACTTCCATGCCGGAGTTTCCACAACCAACGACTAGCACTTTTTTCCCGGCGAATTTCTCGCCGGACTTATAATCGCAAGCGTGAATCACCTCACCGGAAAACTCAGAAAGCCCTTCGATCTCCGGCATCACTCTCTCCGCATTTTCTCCGGTAGCCACCACAAGCCACCGGCAAATATACTCGACCTCGGAACGAGTCGACTCAGCGTTCGACACGGTCTTGACTCGCCACAACCCGCTGGTCTCGTCGAACCGGGCGGTTTGCACACACTCGTTGAACTTTGGGTTGATCTCGAAACGGGAAGCGTAAGACTCGAGGTAATCGATAAACTCACGCTTCGAGGGGTACTCAGGGAAACTCTCCGGGAAGGGCATTTTCGGTAATTGGCAGAACTGCTTGGGAAGGTGAAGCTTGAGACGATCGTAAGTACGTTTTTGCCACAGAGAAGCAATACAATCTGCTCTCTCAAGGACGACGAAAGGAACGTTTTGTTCCCGGAGACAAGCCGCCGTCGCTAATCCCGACGGTCCTGCTCCTACGATGACCGGTCCGTTGACCCAAATGCACCGGTTTGTTGTTACGTCCTGATCGTGATCCATCAAACGAAACATGTTCTCCATTTTCTTTTATAAGTTCCCTTGTCGAGTTTAGTGAGAGACAGAGACAGAGAGAAGTTAAAGGTTTGGACTTTGGACAGAGAGAGAGAGAATCAATGGAGGTTATTGGAAATGGTTTTGAAATTGGAATGAAGATAGTGTTTGGAGGTTATGATGCTTTATATAGAGTGAAGATCCCATGTGGCGTTGAATATATTTCCACGAGACGATATTTATTTTAATATTTATTTTATTAAATAATCGTGAGCTTCTGATATTTTTTTTGTAAGAAAAAATTAATAATAACAGACCATTTGTGAGTATGATTGCTTAGAGTTGTAGTATTGATTAGGATGTGTATAAAAAAGGAGGTAAAATGGTGTGTGACGGTTGAGCACTTGTAATAAACAGTGGTAATGCTTGAGGAAGAAGTAATTATTTTGGTATTGGGAAATACGATTTATACCGACCATTTTTGTGTTTTACTTAATTACATCTGTTAATTAAGGAAAATATTAGTAAAATACTACAAGTCTTTCTAAATGGAAGTGATGGAATTAGGGAGCAACGATGGCGACGCATTTTCTTCGATGGAACTGATTCTCGTGGGACCCGAAAGAGGAAGAAGAAGATGACGTGGAATGGTTTAGCCACGTGGAGAGGATGAGGAGCCAAGCTGTGTAGTGTGTGGAACCAAATGAATAAAACCACATCAGACCCATTCCCTTCCATTAATTAAGCTTCTCCACTATTATTATTTTCTTGGTCCCATTCACCACATTTTTCGTTTTTTATTTCTTCTTATAAAATATGAAAATCCGAAAAAATAAAGATGTATTTGAAGACATCCATAATACTGATATTTTTGCAATACGTAATCATATAGGTACGGAAAATGCGATTTGTCACAACATATTCATGTGTTTTCTGCTTTATAATATATACATATCAGAGAATTGAGATAAAACCTCTTTTGGAAATTTAAGTTGTTCAAATTAACTCACTCCATTTTCTTTTTATAACAAATTCAATTTCTTAAATATTTAAAATTTTATAGTAAACAGACTTCGATCCTTTTTCTGTTTTAACGCTTTTTCTATTTTTAAAGATTGTTGGATGTCAGATTTATAATATGGTATAATAAAGTCGTATGTCAACTATAGAGTTCGTCATAGAATGAGCTTTGGCAAAATTTAAGACAGCAATAAGGTTAATTATTGTTAATTTTTTTTTATATTTTGAAATAGAAGAACCATTATAAATAAAAAGTTAGCATTTATATTTATAAATACTGTAAAAATTTATGAAAATGTGTGAAAGTTTTAAATAACTTGAAGAAATTATCAAAAAAATTTAACAAGAAAACGTAACGAACCATTCTCACCGATTTTTTTTTTATATTTAAATTAGGTACAATCAACAGTGATAACCTAGATCATTCTGTTTGTTAAACTGAGCCACCAAGTTTTCGTCAATTGAATGTTCTGCCTTCTTAAATTTGTAAAAGTGTTAGTTACTGGGCTGCTGTTTTACTAGTTTGACCGAGATGTATTGATTAAAAATGAGTGGATAAATTTCATAGTCGTCTCGTCGTTTATGTATATTCAAAAATTACAAGTATTAAAAAATATTTTGTTACCTCGTGTTCCTAATCTCATGAAATGTCACCATCTCGAAACTTTTATATGATTTTTTTATACTAACAAAAAATAAATTAGGCAATTGAATCCATCAAAATATAATATGTGATAGGTGGCATTAGGCCTGGCAAAAAAATCCGGATCCGAATATCCGAACTAGAACCGAATCGAAATGGAGGTACCGAATTCGAACCGAAATTTTTAAAAAAATCCGATGGAAATTAAACTCTTATATTCGAAGAACCGGAACCGAACTATTACCGAACCGAGAACCGATTGGGTACCCGAATTATCCAAAGTATAATTATATATCCTTCTAAATATTAGTTTTTTTTTTATATTTTTGATATTTGGTATATATTGGTTTTACAGATATATTTTCTTTATTTTTGGGACTTTTGGGTATATTTTTAAGTTCTGATATATATATTTTTGAATTTTTGTTATTAAAAAAGTGTGAGTCGAATTAAAAATGTGAGACAAAAGATCCGGATCCGATTATCCGAACCGAACCGAAATAAAGGTACCGAATCCGAACTGAAATTTATAAAAATACCCGATGAATCCTAACTTCCTCTACTCAAATATCCAGAACCGATTGGTTCCGAACCGAAACTGAACCGAATATCTGAATGCCCAAGCCTAGGCGGCATATGATTAAGGAAGGCTTTAATAGCTTTAATAAAGTAGGAATAACACGATTTTAGCTTTTGTAACTAGCTAAGCTATGCTAGCAAAGTGATGGTGACTAACTGCTTCAATGAGATCTTTTTTTCTCTTCATTGGTACTTGTAATCACAATTGTAAAGTGCATTTTTCAAAATAAACATAAAAAGCCACTCATATTGGTGGCTAATATTTAAGTTTTTGAGTTTGCCAAAAGAAAAGATCTTTAATTATATTAGAAAAATAGAGGATCCCACCAAAACCCACTAGAAGGATTGTGGGAAGAAGAAACCTAAAATTAGAGATGTAAAGCCATGTGCATGGAACCTTGGTTTCCATGGAGATTTCTCTTCTTTTCATGTCATAACATTTTGGAAGCTTTGAGTTTGGCATATTTATATTTACATACATTCGCCAATAGATATGTGTATGTGTATACGCGTAAAAACAAAAAAAAATATATATATAATGAATATATGTTAACAAAGGATACTTAAAAAATGTATTCACCCATTTAAATGTTTTAGCTTCAACCGGTTAAAATATTGCTATTTTATCGTTGTTGGAGCGAATTTTACAACTCGTTTGGAGAACAGATTCACTCATTCTTGTTATCTCATCTTACGTCCTTGGTCCGAAGGACTAAAATTCGAATAGCACTTCAACTTTTTTTAAAGGGAATATATTGGGATATGGGTTACTAAAAAAGCTTATAATTAGGTATGAATCAATGTATTATCATCGTGCATGAGTCACGACCACTTATAGTTTATAACTTTTTTGTTTCTAATCACGATAAACGAAACGTACCAAACTCTTTATTAAAATTATTAAAATAGTTACACTATTAATGTGTATTCGATCTTAACCATACATTCATAAAGCCTTAGTTACTTATGTGATATAGAGAATGAAAGTGGTCGATCAATTCTCTCACGAATGTACGGACTTTTTGTATACTTATTATTGGTTTTTATCTTTGGATTTTTGTAATCACTTCGCGTTATTTCATGTATGCCAGCTACATTTTTTTTCCCTTTTTATATGTCATTTTATCCAATATTATGTTCATTTGAATTTAATTTAGAGATTATAAAGTAGAAAACATGCTAAATAGAAAAAGAAGAGACTATATATATGTGAATTCAAATATCCGATATTATGATGAACTAGTAAATATTTAAGTTAAATATGAACTCAAGTGTTTTTTTTTCTCACGTGTATGATAAGAAATTGCTAAAATTTAAGCTTAGACTATTTTTGGTCAAATGTTTTACAAATGTAAATGTTGATTTTGTAATTTTATGAATTCAGATAATGAAAGTAATCCGTATAGTAATGTTAATTTATACATGTTTCTTTTTTTTCCATCTCGATACAGTTGCGTGTATGTAACCTATTTACCTTCTACTTTCTACTCTGTTCCGTTTGTTTTAATGTGTATTTTCAACTCATCCTTCTGAGGAATCAATTATCGTTTAAACCTTTAACGCTTCGGTATAAAACTAATAGTATTAAGATTTAACGGTTAATTATAATCATATCAAAGTGTTAAAGTAAAAAAAAATGTAAACGATCAATTAAATGGTTAGTCACGCGTAAGGGAGAAAGGGAGAAAGATGAAATCATTGGGATACGAAAAACGAATCGTTTCATCACAATTAGGCGTAAAGTGAAATTTGCAGCTCATTCGCCGCAGAAAGTTTTTAGTTTACTTAATTAATTAATCAAAAAAACTAACCATTATATACGTATATACATTGCTCATCGTTTCCTACAAATGTTGGTGCACACCTCTATCTCAAAGTATTACTCGTTTCGTTTCATAATAAGTATCATTCTGACATATTTCACACAGATTAAGAAATTAATAAAATATACAAATATATTTTTAATTAATATACTTTTATAATATTTAATTATAAAAACTATTATCTTTAAATAAAGGGTAAAACATGAAATAATAGTAACAATTTACATTGAAAATGCAGAATGATACTTTTTTAAAAAAAAAAAGAAATCTAAAACGACACTTACTATAAAATAAAGGAAGTACTATTTTATGGTTAACATTTTCGGTTAGTATATATAAATTTATTCAATAATACTCATAAAAAAGTATTTACTCTTCTTTTGGTTTGTGAAGTTGTCTTTTTTTTTGTGCAAGATATTAGATAGTTATTTAACAACATCTTTATTTTCAAAAAAAAACATCGATATTTCTTTTTCACAACAAATATTATATCAAAACTTTATAATCATATTACTACTCGAGTTCTCCGCCATCTTGTAGAAATCAGTTAGCCATATATTATCTATCATAGTTGATTGGAAAATAGAGAATCATAATCTTAATTATTTTTAATCATTGTAATTTTGTAGTCTGTTGGGTCGAGTTTTAATGTGTCAATCTGTATTTTATCTTTCCAAACTGCTTCCGGTGAACAATATTAAAGTAAAATAATATTTGTACTGTTTATAAAATATTCGTGTATTCTTTTGTAAACAATGTGTAATTTATTATCAACGCAAAAAAGGAAAGGATTACGCTCAGAGCATGATTGTAAAGGGGGGCCATTCCCGAGATTAGAACAGCTTTTTCTGATTTAACAATTGATTTTGCAATGATAAAAGGACTCTTTTGTTTATTATTCATGTAATTCTTTTTGATCTATAAGTAATTATTTATTTATATACGTTTGCTTTACTAGCAACTAT